CACCTTGTACAACGTTTGGAAGTTGGATAAGACCTGACCATACTGCAGCCAGGTGCAACATTATTTCTTTAAAATACTGATACAACACAAAATCTAGCATCAGGAAGAAATGTATGCGCTAAACTAAAAATCTTGAAAAAATAATTGAAATATTTTACAGAAAAACAATTACTGATTAAGGGACCAGGTTGTGTGAACTATAAGTCTACAAAGTGACCTATTGTAGACAACAATATGCAGAGACCTCATGACAGCTGATTCGCTTGACATGTGTGATGACGTAGTGATGCACCAGAGCGCAAACTTCACCTGCTTGGACCCGAGGACACGAACCTGCAGCACCGCCTAGTGGACAAAACCAGCCAGTGCGGACTTTACAGTAGAAAACATTTTTTGCATGCTTGTGGTCGACGTTTTTCAAGTTTGATGAAATGAGCAGCCACACACAGTGTGTGTGTAAAGCATCAGCTGCAGAACACAAAGAGTAAGAAGTGAGTAGACAATTAAAAAACATTTAAATCTCTGACACCTACAATAAAAAACATTTAGAGCAGCTGTTACTTTGTGTCAAAAGTGTAATTTTCGGGTCATTTTCTGTTGTCATAAACAAGCTGCAGGTAAAGGAAAACCTCTGATGCAAACGCACGCACACACACACGCACACACACACACACACACACACACACATCTGCATGCACACGGACCTGTTGTGATTTTGGGGGTAGAACGTGTCTCCTCCTGGATTCTCCTTCAAATCCATGTGTGAATCTGCTGCTGCAACCTGAAGCCTGTCTCATCTTTCCCTCACATTGCAATACATTTAATGTAGATACATTTGGCTTCATGCCTCAATGAGTGAATATAAAGTAGCATGCATAGTTTGTCTTCATCTCATAACTACTACACTGTAATAACAGCACAACATGGCCCACTGGTAGGGGTGGTGGCACAGGTCCACTCATTTCACCCAAATGGAGCTTTTCTCTCTACACTCTTCCACCTTCCACCCATCTGTCTTTCGAATTCCATGCTGTAACAGTTACTCACCCGGTACAATTAAATATTGTTGTCCTTTACCATCCGCCAAGCTCTTGGGTCACTTCTAGACTCTCTCTGCCCTCTTACAACCCGACGGACTGGCAAATCCCCTTCTCTTCTCGCTCTACACCAACTCTCTCGGCGCTCATTCGCTCGCATGGCTTCTCCTACCACAGCTATGCCGATGACACCCAACTAATTCTCTCCTTCCCTCACTAGGACACCCAGGATCTCTGCCTGTCTGACTGACATCTCTCAGTGGATGTCCGCCAACCATCTGAAAATCAACCCCGACTGAACTACTTCTCTTTCCGAACTTCTTACGTTCTTACCGAACGTCTCCTACCCAGGACTTGACGGTCAACTTTGGCAACTCTGTGTTAACGCCCAATATGACTGCTAGGAACCTCTGCGTCACTGTAGATCCTGTAGATACACGCTCTGCAACATCAGGAGAATACGTCCTCTTCTCACTCAGAAGGCAGCCCAGGTACTGATTCAGGCTCTTGTCATCTCCCGCCTGGACAACTGCAACTCCCTCCTGGCAGGTCTCCTCGCTACCGCCATTCGACCTCTGCAGCTCATCCAGAATGCAGCAGCTTGACTGGTCCGAAATTTTATCACTACTCCACTCCTCCGCTCTCTTCACTGGCTACCGGTGGCCGCCCGCATCCAGATCAAAACATTGGTGCTCACATAACATGCTGTGAATGGATCGGGTCCAGCTGACATCCAGGACATGGTCAAACCCGACATCCCGACCCGCACTCTCCGCTCTGCATCTGCAAAACACCTCGTTCCTCCCTCACTGAGAGCAAAACACTCGACTAGATCACGACTCTTTGCTGTCCATGATCTGAAATGGTGGAACGAGCTCTTTGACATCAGGACCACAGAGAGCCTTCACATCTTCCGCCGCAAACTAAAGACACACCTCTTCTACCTCGACTAAAAGACTAACAAATTGTAGCACTTAAATTGTACTTATAATGCCACTTACCTAAAGCAAATTGTAAATGGGCTTATTTGAGGAAATTGCATTTTCTGTCACGCCGCTGGGGCCACAAGGGTTTAGACTCAAAAGCAGACTCAAGGCGTAGTAGTCAGAGGCAAAAATACAAGATGTTGCGGGCTGGTTCCCACGACCTCTCCTCTGGACCGTATCCCTCCCAATCCACCAGATACTGGAGGCCCCGGCCACGCCGCCGGATTGCCAAGAGCTGCTTGACTGCCAAGAGCCGCTTGACGGCGTATGTTGGCCCACCATCAATGAGTCGGGGGGGTGGTGGGGGTTTGGTGGCAGGGACCAAGGGGCTCTCCTTGGCTGGCTTTAGCCGGGCTACATGGAATGTGGGATGCACTCTCATGGGTCTGGGGCGTTTAAGCCTCATGGCCACAGGATTGACCACCTTAGAGATGGGGAAGGGACCAACGAACCGTGGCGCCAACTTGTGGGACTCCACACGAAGGGTCAGGTCGCGCGTCGATAACCACACCCTCTGGCCGACCCGATAGTTAGGGGCTGAAGTCCGTTGCCGATCCGCCCTCCTCTTCAAACGTGCCGAATTCTTGAGGAGAGCCTAGCGGGCTCGTTCCCAGGTGCGACGGCAACAGGGATGCTGGGAGGCAGGACTCAAATGCAGACGTCAAAAGCAAAAAGACTTCAATAGTCATAAACTCCAACACAAAATGGCCAAGGGGCAAAAACGCATACAGGTATCAAGGGGAAAAAGGCAGGCAGGAACTCGGAACATCCAGGACATTTGACAAGGAACAATGACGCGACAAGAGACACGCGGCTTAAATACACTAGGTGCAGGTGATTGGACACAGGTGGAAATGATCAGACAATCACAGGGGAAGACAGGACAAGGCAGGAAGTGACGTTACCCAGGGAGACAAGAAGCAGAAACTACAAAATAAGACACGAAATAAACCACACCGTGACAGTTTACTATGGCTATCTGTTCGCTGGTACACTTTATTTTTTATTTGTATTAATTTGTTTGTAAACTAACCTAAAGCCTTATATTTTATTTTATTCCTCTTGCACTATGTTGTCTTATCTGTCTTGTTGTCCATTGTCTTACTGTCTGCTGTTATGCACCAACTGCCAAGTCAAATTCTGTCTGACATATTTAGGTAATAAAGGTCCTGATCCTGATTACTTACTACGCTTGTAGTCGCAGAATCAGGAGGGGCTTCAACATAATTTCAAACTACAGCGACTTCTTTTGCATCCCCACAAAAACATCATGCGGATTATTGTGTATATAGAAAGCTATTTAAGAGATAAATATGACAGCTTTTCCCCATTCACCTTGTATAATTTTTATAGTTTGATAAGACGTGACCATACTGGTGCAACATTATTTCTTAAAAATACTGATACAACAAAAAATCTAGCTTGAGGAAGAAATATAAATATAGAAATCTTGAAAAAACAATTGAAGTATTTTACAGGAAGCAATAAGTAAGCTGAGTAAGGGACCAGGTTGTGTGAACTTTAAGTCTACAAAGTGACCTATTGTAGACAACAATATGCAGAGACCTCATGACAGCTGATTGGACCCGAGGACACGAACCTGCAGCACCCCCTAGTGGACAAAACCAGCCAGTGCGGACTTTACAGTAGAAAACATGTGATCAATGTTGGAAGTTTCTTCCCATAACAGCACAGTTTAGTACAATTTGAAAATAATCCAATCCAGTCACTATAGATTTAGATGTTTTTGTAAGTATGTTGTCACTTGAAAAGCATAATAACCATGTCAACTGAATAACTTAATTAAGTCAGTGTGATAATGAATTCCCTGTGATTTGTATTTATTATCTCAGAACACATCTACGGCCGGTTTGCTGTTGGCTGATGCGTTGAAACGAAGGAAGGAAAATGTGTGAAAACAATCGAGCAGCCGCACAGTGTGTGTGTAAAGCATCAGCACAAAGAGTAAGGAAGTGAGACATTAAAAAACATTTGACAACACATTCGTGTAAAAAACGTAATCTCTGGTGGCATAAAAAACCTGCAGGTAGAGGAAAACCTCTGATGCAAACGCACGCACACACACACGCACACACACACACACACACACATGCACAGCAGATGATTGTCTTGCACTCTGCACTAGCCGGTACAGACAGCAATCGCACGCAAAACCACAAACACCTTTTTAGTGAGACACAGGATATGCAACACGCACCTACATGCACACTAACACGGTCACACACACGTCCTCCGGCTCGCAATGCTCCGAGCATTCAGCCTGACACAAAGGTGACGATGACAACGTGTTGCGGTTCGTATTTTACTGAAACGGTCGCATATCACAACTGACGTCGTTTGGCTCAGTGGAAATTCTGTAGATTCTTTGGTACTATTGTTCAGCGGATAAACTGGGTGGTGGTTTACTGCTTGTATGAACATGAATAAAAGGCAGTTATCCACGTTATGATTGGGCTAACAAGTCCTTTCACAAGACAGACCTGTGGTTTCCAAAAACAAAGCAACAATAATTACATATTTTGTCGGATAAATAAAATGTGACCTTTCTGGTAAAATATTTTTCTCTTTAATTCTCAAATTCACACACAAGTACAACAACAAAACAAAGGAATGCTTGCAAATGTACATGAAAGTTTGTGTAAAAATCAACTTAAAGGCCGCAGTGAATAACAATAACAATAAAACCTCTTCAAATGACATTATTCTATGCAGCAAGAAAGTAAAAGCATGGAGGGAAAACACATTGTGATATGACATGACATGCAGAATAAATAAAGCTTCTTTTTTTCCTTCTCAGCAGAGGAAGTACAGACTGCGCAGTCCCGTTCAAGTCAAGAGTGTGAACGAATTCGTCGCACCACCGAAAGAGCAACAAAGGAAAAACGGTACAATGAAGAAAAAAAAGAAGAGAAAAGCGGGTGAAGCCAGAAAAGGCGTCTCCATCACTCACGCGCCGTCACAGTCTGCGCTCCTCCTCTTCTGTTGGGGTGGGGAACAATAAACGCAGATTATAAACATGAATTATGACATTAATGTGATGTAAAAAAACAAATGAAATAAAAACCCACCCTCCAGGTGCAGGCGTTTCTTCCGCTTGCTGCAGACGCAGCAAACAATAACGCCGATAATCAGCAGCAGGACGACACCTAATGAGGACGGACAGATGCTCGTTATCTGTGCCCCCCCCCCCTCCTTCATCTCCTCCTCCTCCTCCCATGAAAGGCCCTCCAGAGGGAAGGGAGGCCCCGGAGGACCAGGGAGGAGGTGGTGATTCTTCTGGAGGGGCCGCTTTCCCCCAACAAGATGTTTTTTAGTGTCAAATCATGTGATAAAAAGATGGCGGCTGCTTGGTTTGCAGGGAGAGCAGACGTACCTCCTCCGGTGGCCACGACAATCCAGGTTTCAATCCCAAATAGTTTTCCTTGGATCGCGGAAATGGGGGAGGGAACGAAGACGAGGAGAAACACATCGAATCAGTGTTGATTCTGGCCCATTTGGCTGTTTTTTTGTTTCCCGCCGTCCGGTCAGAATTGGACAGACGACCTTGATAAAACTCACTGTAACAGGTTTGATGAACCTCTTCACTGGTCTCCGAGCTGACGCGGTTGGTGAGTTTGCATGTGATCGGACCCGTCACCTGATCGCCCGGTCGGGTCAGAGTCTGACCTTTCTCCGTGTCCAGCACCTGGTTGTCCTGAAGCCACTCAAAATCGAAACCCTCGGCCTGCTGGGTAAAAGTCCCGCCGAGAGATGGACGAGAAGGTCCTCATGAGAAGATGTTGGACAACATGATACATATGAATGAAATAAAACATACTGTTGTCGGTTCTCACCTTTGGTTGAACATCGCAGGTGAATTTGACCTCGGTTTGATTACATTCATGTGTCACCGTGGGCTTGGGGACGGGGTCTGAGGAGAGGACATCGGACTCATGATGCATCGCAACACAAGTTTCTCATGTTTCCTGTTCTTGTTTTTTAGTTGCAACCTACCGATCACACATAAACGTGTGGATTTTGACGCCCATCTACTCTTTCCGTCGCGGTCGTGAACCTCGGCCTTGTAAGGCCCCGCGTTGCTCTGCGCCACGTTGGCCCACGTCAGGGATCCGTTTGCAGTAACAATATTCTTTCCCTCTGAAGTGAATTTGTCTTTGGTTTGACGTAAGATGGTTTTCATGCCGTGCATCCATGTCAGCTCGTCCGACTGGTCCAGCGCGAAGGTCATCGGCAACGTGGCCTTCCTGCCTGACGCAACGTAATAGTCGCACTCTTGGGAAGAATCTTTGGGCCGAAAGAAAAGGACAAGAAACACACAGGAATTAAAACTAAAATGCAGGTCAAAGTAGCCTTGGATACAGAAATAGCATGTGTCCCATTTAGCGCACAAACTTCCTTTTTCGTGTAAAGGATCAGAATAGAGTTTGGCTGCGAGCTATTTCTTTGTAAATTTGTGTAATTAAGCTATTTATTATAACGCAATTTAAAGAACAAGACTTTTGAGAGTTTCATTGTGTGAAGGTCGGCCCACAGAAAGTGAAAGGCTACACGGTACGATGAAGAGGGTCGACATCTTTCCGTTTCATAAAAGGGAAATCAAAAACATTCTGTGGTTCCTCTGAGCATAAATGAACGTTTTAAGTGTTTATACACCACCTCGCCTCACGTGTTGTGTCACGGAAAACAATGTGAAATACTTCATTTTGTAAGAAACCTGCAAAGGAAATCATTTTAAAAGCAACACACACACACACACCACAGGAGTGTTTGCGACATTTGATAATCTTACGCAGCACTAATTTAAGCGCAGGCCTTCCCTCCCACCCCGCTGGCACCCAGTGTCACGCTCTCAACATGTGGCCACTTCCGTATTTTCGGAGGCCCGGTCTGGTCTGGTCTGGTCTGGGTTTGTTTGGCCAAGCCTTGGTTGGTCCCAGTGGCGTAAACCAGCCCGTATAACGAAGCACGGCCCTTTGCTGCAAACCGGTCGGATGATTAGCTGGACTGGTTTGACTCCGGTGTGACTGAGAGGCGAATGATCGGGGTCATTGGTGAGGGCCAGCGCAGTTTTGACTCCCACGCAGGCTAATGGGGACTAATGGGACCCTGTCAGAGGCCGGTCACACAATGTAGGATAATACATGGATGACCAGTTGGGTACTGGGAGGATGAGCAGGAGCGAGATTGATGGGGAGGAAACACTTCAACTTTGGCCATTTCCTCTCCTTAACAATTGTGTGTTTAAGCATTATTTCCCCACAACACGACCATCAAACACCGGAGGTTTACCATTTTTATTAACAGCATTTTGTAACGTTTTCTCCCCAATGATGTTTCTGATGACGTGCTGGTGTTTGATGTAGCCTTTGGCTCTCAGAATATGTTGTCACTCGTCGAAATGACTTCCTTACAGCGGTTAAATTCAATCGTGTAGCGTTTTCTGACACTTGAGAAGGTGGGCAACACAGGACCCTGCCAGTGAGAGAGAATCGGGCCAAACCCGGTTCGATAACATGCCGATTTAGATTTTTTTGCTTGACGTTACATCGTTACATCGCTGACAACACAGTCTATTGTTTTTTCTCAATGTCTTGGATTCAGTCTCCAATTCGGCATGAACACACACGCCGAATACCACTTATCATTTACTTAAATCTGAACTTTTTTAACCTGTTCGCTTGGTGCACCGCTAAACTTCTTCCATTAAAATAGCGGGCGGATGGCAGCAGCTAGCAACGTTAACCAGTTCAAAATGTTGACATTTTATTTAAATTAAGCGCTGCTTGGTGGATGTGATTCGTGCCGAAATGATCATTAGATCACGTAGATGCGACACACTGTTCATTTGATCATTTTCATGGCGTTTACGTTTGACCACAAACAACGAAACGTTAAATCGACAGATTCCTAGACACGGTTTAACGTTGGCTTCTCCTCGCGGGGGACCGCCGACACGTATCACACGAGTTATTTAGCTATGAACAGAGAAGCAAAGAAACGTTTCTTACCGAACATTAACAGCCCAAAGACGAGCGTCACGACACTAATATCCATTTTCATTCCTCCCTTTATCTCGTATTTCTCCTTAATGTCCCCCCGGGTTTTCTTTGTCCCGTGCGGTGTTACGCCGGTCCTCTCCCGCCGCTGACGGTCAATCCAATAAAACTCTTCAGATTCGAGCAGCGAGTCCCCGCACCGCACGCCGGGCGGAGCCGCAGAGCAAAACGCGCGCGCGCGCGAACACACACACACACACACGCGCGTGCGCTGACGTGCACACTGATCCAGAATATGAAAATCCCGACGGCAGTGTTTACACGGTTCACACACGCTGCTGACACTGAACCGGTTCAACGGGCGCAGGAGGAGGACGAGGGGGGGCGGCCGGAAGTTAGGTGTCGGGCCGCAGGAGGAGCGGGGAGGTCCCAGGTGGAGAGAAGAGAGAGTCCCGTATCGATCGGTCTCAAGGTTTACAGTGCGCATGTTATTCTTTACGACCCGTCACTGTTGAATCACCTCCGATGTGATGGACTCCTCCTCAATGAACTCTTTTTATTGATCTGTTAGGAATTAAACTGCTATCACACCACATGTCAACATCCAAAAATGGTCATTTCTCCTGCAGGACGTGACGAGCGGACACATGCATGCCCTCGGGTCACAGTCGAGTGGTGTGCTTGCACGTGCTCACATCCAGAGGTCAAAGGTCAAAACTTCATGTGTCATCTGCTGTGATACATTTGACCATCCTATTTTTAAAATGTGTGTGTGTGTGCGTGTTGCAGGGAAGAATCAAGTGTGCAACCTGCATGTGGTCTCAACACGGTAGCATCTGTTATTCACATCTGTTCAAAGTGACACACACACACACACTGGATGCAGTGTCTTGCTGGCCTACTCCTCTAGCAGTCTTCACCCAGGATGGAGATTCTTGGCGGCGGATCAGGCTTTAATTTCGTACCCGTTCCAACTAGACCCTCAGATAATGATGCATTTTCATGTTTGCATCCGCTTGAGGCCTGATTACTGCAGAAAACCTGCAGGCAAATGAGAATAAGGCGATGATGCACAGTCTGAACTGTGGCATTGGCATCAGCAGTAGTAGTTACGCCTTTAGTCGCAGGAGCAGGAGGGCTTCAACATTATTTCAAACTTCATTGACTTTGTTTAGTTCCCCACTAAAACATGAAGTGGATTATTGTTTATATAGAGAGCTATTTAAAAAGTAGATATGACAGCATCCCCCTCACCTTGTACAACGTTTGGAAGTTGGATAAGACCTGACCATACTGCAGCCAGGTGCAACATTATTTCTTTAAAATACTGATACAACACAAAATCTAGCATCAGGAAGAAATGTATGCGCTAAACTAAAAATCTTGAAAAAATAATTGAAATATTTTACAGAAAAACAATTACTGAGTAAGGGACCAGGTTGTGTGAACTATAAGTCTACAAAGTGACCTATTGTAGACAACAATATGCAGAGACCTCATGACAGCTGATTCGCTTGACATGTGTGATGACGTAGTGATGCACCAGAGCGCAAACTTCACCTGCTTGGACCCGAGGACACGAACCTGCAGCACCGCCTAGTGGACAAAACCAGCCAGTGCGGACTTTACAGTAGAAAACATTTTTTGCATGCTTGTGGTCGACGTTTTTCAAGTTTGATGAAATGAGCAGCCACACACAGTGTGTGTGTAAAGCATCAGCTGCAGAACACAAAGAGTAAGAAGTGAGTAGACAATTAAAAAACATTTAAATCTCTGACACCTACAATAAAAAACATTTAGAGCAGCTGTTACTTTGTGTCAAAAGTGTAATTTTCGGGTCATTTTCTGTTGTCATAAACAAGCTGCAGGTAAAGGAAAACCTCTGATGCAAACGCACGCACACACACACGCACACACACACACACACACACACACATCTGCATGCACACGGACCTGTTGTGATTTTGGGGGTAGAACGTGTCTCCTCCTGGATTCTCCTTCAAATCCATGTGTGAATCTGCTGCTGCAACCTGAAGCCTGTCTCATCTTTCCCTCACATTGCAATACATTTAATGTAGATACATTTGGCTTCATGCCTCAATGAGTGAATATAAAGTAGCATGCATAGTTTGTCTTCATCTCATAACTACTACACTGTAATAACAGCACAACATGGCCCACTGGTAGGGGTGGTGGCACAGGTCCACTCATTTCACCCAAATGTAGCTTTTCTCTCTACACTCTTCCACCTTCCACCCATCTGTCTTTCGAATTCCATGCTGTAACAGTTACTCACCCGGTACAATTAAATATTGTTGTCCTTTACCATCCGCCAAGCTCTTGGGTCACTTCTAGACTCTCTCTGCCCTCTTACAACCCGACGGACTGGCAAATCCCCTTCTCTTCTCGCTCTACACCAACTCTCTCGGCGCTCATTCGCTCGCATGGCTTCTCCTACCACAGCTATGCCGATGACACCCAACTAATTCTCTCCTTCCCTCACTAGGACACCCAGGATCTCTGCCTGTCTGACTGACATCTCTCAGTGGATGTCCGCCAACCATCTGAAAATCAACCCCGACTGAACTACTTCTCTTTCCGAACTTCTTACGTTCTTACCGAACGTCTCCTACCCAGGACTTGACGGTCAACTTTGGCAACTCTGTGTTAACGCCCAATATGACTGCTAGGAACCTCTGCGTCACTGTAGATCCTGTAGATACACGCTCTGCAACATCAGGAGAATACGTCCTCTTCTCACTCAGAAGGCAGCCCAGGTACTGATTCAGGCTCTTGTCATCTCCCGCCTGGACAACTGCAACTCCCTCCTGGCAGGTCTCCTCGCTACCGCCATTCGACCTCTGCAGCTCATCCAGAATGCAGCAGCTTGACTGGTCCGAAATTTTATCACTACTCCACTCCTCCGCTCTCTTCACTGGCTACCGGTGGCCGCCCGCATCCAGATCAAAACATTGGTGCTCACATAACATGCTGTGAATGGATCGGGTCCAGCTGACATCCAGGACATGGTCAAACCCGACATCCCGACCCGCACTCTCCGCTCTGCATCTGCAAAACACCTCGTTCCTCCCTCACTGAGAGCAAAACACTCGACTAGATCACGACTCTTTGCTGTCCTTGATCTGAAATGGTGGAACGAGCTCTTTGACATCAGGACCGCAGAGAGCCTTCACATCTTCCGCCGCAAACTAAAGACACACCTCTTCTACCTCGACTAAAAGACTAACAAATTGTAGCACTTAAATTGTACTTATAATGCCACTTACCTATAGCAAATTGTAAATTGGCTTATTTGAGGAAATTGCATTTTCTGTCACGCCGCTGGGGCCACAAGGGTTTAGACTCAAAAGCAGACTCAAGGCGTAGTAGTCAGAGGCAAAAATACAAGATGTTGCGGGCTGGTTCCTACGACCTCTCCTCTGGACCGTATCCCTCCCAATCCACCAGATACTGGAGGCCCCGGCCACGCCGCCGGACTGCCAAGAGCTGCTTGACTGCCAAGAGCCGCTTGACGGCATATGTTGGCCCACCATCAATGAGTCGGGGGGGTGGTGGGGGTTTGGTGGCAGGGACCAAAGGGCTCTCCTTGGCTGGCTTTAGCCGGGCTACATGGAATGTGTGATGCACTCTCATGGGTCTCGGGAGTTTAAGCCTCATGGCCACAGGATTGACCACCTTAGAGATGGGGAAGGGACCAACGAACCGTGGCGCCAACTTGTGGGACTCCACACGAAGGGTCAGGTCGCGCGTCGATAACCACACCCTCTGGCCGACCCGATAGTTAGGGGCCGAAGTCCGTTGCCGATCCGCCATCCTCTTCAAACGTGCCGAATTCTTGAGGAGAGCCTGGCGGGCTCGTTCCCAGGTGCGACGGCAACAGGGATGCGGGGAGGCAGGACTCAAATGCAGACGTCAAAAGCAAAAAGACTTCAATAGTCATAAACTCCAACACAAAATGGCCAAGGGGCAAAAACACATACAGGTATCAAGGGGAAAAAGGTAGGCAGGAACTCGTAACATCCAGGACATTTGACAAGGAACAATGACGCGACAAGAGACACACGGCTTAAATACACTAGGTGCAGGTGATTGGACACAGGTGGAAACGATCAGACAATCACAGGGGAAGACAGGACAAGGCAGGAAGTGACGTTACCCAGGGAGACAAGAAGCAGAAACTACAAAATAAGACACGAAATAAACCACACCGTGACAGTTTACTATGGCTATCTGTTCGCTGGTACACTTTATTTTTTATTTGTATTAATTTGTTTGTAAACTAACCTAAAGCCCTATATTTTATTTTATTCCTCTTGCACTATGTTGTCTTATCTGTCTTGTTGTCCATTGTCTTACTGTCTGCTGTTATGCACCAACTGCCAAGTCAAATTCTGTCTGACATATTTAGGTAATAAAGGTCCTGATCCTGATTACTTACTACGCTTGTAGTCGCAGAAGCAGGAGGGGCTTCAACATAATTTCAAACTACAGCGACTTCTTTTGCATCCCCACAAAAACATCATGCGGATTATTGTGTATATAGAAAGCTATTTAAAGAGATAAATATGACAGCGTTTCCCCATTCACCTTATATCATTTTTGATAGTTTGATAAGACGTGACCATACTGGTGCAACATTATTTCTTAAAAATACTGATACAACAAAAAATCTAGCTTGAGGAAGAAATATAAATATAGAAATCTTGAAAAAACAATTGAAATATTTTACAGGAAGCAATAAGTAAGCTGAGTAAGGGACCAGGTTGTGTGAACTATAAGTCTACAAAGTGACCTATTGTAGACAACAATATGCAGAGACCTCATGACAGCTGATTGGACCTGAGGACACGAACCTGCAGCACCCCCTAGTGGACAAAACCAGCCAGTGCGGACTTTACAGTAGAAAACGTGATCGATGTTGGAAGTTTCTTCCCATAACAGCACAGTTTAGTACAATTTGAAAACAATCCAATCCAGTCACTATAGATTTAGATGTTTTTGTAAGTATGTTGTCACTTGAAAAGCATAATAACCATGTCAACTGAATAACTTAATTAAGTCAGTGTGATAATGACATTCCCTGTGATTTGTATTTATTATCTCAGAACACATCTACGGCCGGTTTGCTGTTGGCTGATGCGTTGAAACGAAGGAAGCAAAATGTGTGAAAACAATCGAGCAGCCGCACAGTGTGTGTGTAAAGCATCAGCACAAAGAGTAAGAAGTGAGACAATTAAAAAACATTTGACAACACATTTGTGTCAAAAACGTAATTTTCTGTTGTCATAATAAAGCTGCAGGTACAGGAAAACCTCTGATGCAAACACACACACACACACACACACACACACACACACACACACACACACACACACACACACACACGCACACACACACACACACACACACATACACATGCACAGGAGACAACCATCTTGCACTCTGCACTAGCTTGGCACAAACAGCAAACGCATGCAAAACCACAAACACCTTTTTAGTGAGACACAGGATATGCAACACGCACCTACATGCACACTAACACGGTCTCACACACACGTCCTCCGGCTCGCATTGCTCCGAGCATTCAGCCTGACACAAAGGTGACGATGACAACGTGTTGCGGTTCGTATTTTACTGAAACGGTCGCATATCACAACTGACGTCGTTTGGCTCAGTGGAAATTCTGTAGATTCTTTGGTACTATTGTTCAGCGGATAAACTGGGTGGTGGTTTACTGCTTGTATGAACATGAATAAAAGGCAGTCATCCACGTTATGATTGGGCTAACAAGTCCTTTCACAAGACAGACCTGTGGTTTCCAAAAACAAAGCAACAATAATTACATATTTTGTCGGATAAATAAAATGTGACCTTTCTGGTAAAACATTTTCTCTTTAATTCTCAAATTCACACACAAGTACAACAACAAAACAAAGGAATGCATGCAAATTTACATGAAATAGTTTGTGTAAAAATCAACTTAAAAGGCCGCAGTGAATAACAATAACAATAAAACCTCTTCAAATGACATTATTCTATGCAGCAAGAAAGTAAAAGCACGGAGGGAAAACACATTGTGATATGACATGACATGCTGAATAAATAAAGCTTCTTTTTTCCTTCTCAGCAGAGGAAGTACAGACTGCGCAGTCCCGTTCAAGTCAAGAGTGTGAACGAATTCGTCGCACCACCGAAAGAGCAACAAAGGAAAAACGGTACAATGAAGAAAAAAAAAAAGAGAAAAGCGGGTGAAGCCAGAAAAGGCGTCTCCATCACTCACGCGCCGTCACACTTTGCGCGCTCCGGGACCTTTCGTCCTGGGCTGAGGAAGAGGAGGCGGCTGCTCTTCTTCGTTCTGACCGGGCGGCCTGGGGGCCTGCAGGGGAAGAGACAAGGAGCACAGGGGTCAGACCGCACGCGGATGCCGCCGATACAGGTGAGAGCCGCTCCGCCTCCTCCTCCTGCGCCTACCTGGGCGGGCCTGCGGGGGCTGGGCCGCGGCTGCTCTGGCGCTCCGGGGCGCTGCTGTCTGGAGCGATGCTGGCGAGGGCCGGTGTGGCCGGCGGGCTGCTGCTGGGGCTCACGGTGGTGGCAGTGGGGCTGTTGATCCGGACGGTGATGGTGTTGAGGGTGTTGTTGCTTTTCATTGGTCCACGCCAAACGGAGCTCCTCCTCTTCTGTTGGGGTGGGGAACAATAAACGCAGATTATAAACATGAATTATGACATTAATGTGATGTAAAAAACAAACAAATGAAATAAAAACCCACCCTCCAGGTGCAAGCGTTTCTTCCGCTTGCTGCAGACGCAGCCAACAATAACGCAGATAATCAGCAGCAGGACGACACCTGATAAGACGGACAGATGCTCGTTATCTGTGCCCCCTCCTCCTCCTCCTCCTCCTCCCATGAAAGGCCCTCCAGAGGGAAGGGAGGCCCCGGAGGACCAGGGAGGAGGTGGTGATTCTTCTGGAGGGGCCGCTTTCCCCCAACAAGATGTTTTTTAGTGTCAAATCATGTGATAAAAAGATGGCGGCTGCTTGGTTTGCAGGGAGAGCAGACGTACCTCCTCCGGTGGCCACGACAATCCAGATTTCAATCCCAAATAGTTTTCCTTGGAAAATGGACGCTGGTGAGGGAACGAAGACGAGGAGAAACACATCGAATCAGTGTTGATTCTGGCCCATTTGGCTGTTTTTTTGTTTCCCGCCGTCCGGTCAGAATTGGACAGACGACCTTGATAACACTCACTGTAACAGGTTTGATGAACCTCTTCACTGGTCTCCGAGCTGACGCGGTTGGAGAGTTTGCATTTGATCAGACCCGTCACCTGATCGCCCGGTCGGGTCAGAGTCTGACCTTTCTCCGTGTCCAGCACCTGGTTGTCCTGAAGCCACGCGAAGTTGAAACCCTCGGCCTGCTGGGTAAAAGTCCCGCCGAGAGATGGACGAGAAGGTCCTCATGAGAAGATGTTGGACAACATGATACATATGAATGAAATAAAACATACTGTTGTCGGTTCTCACCTTTGGTTGAACATGGCAGGTGAAATTGACCTCGGTTTGTTTACATTCATGTGTCACCGTGGGCTTGGGGACGGGGTCTGAGGAGAGGACATCGGACTCATGATGCATCGCAACACAAGTTTCTCATGTTTCCTGTTCTTGTTTTTCAGTTGCAACCTACCGATCACACATAAACGTGTGGATTTTGACGTCCATCTACTCTTTCCGTTGCGGTCGTGAACCTCGGCCTTGTAAGCCCCCGCGTTGCTCTGCGCCACGTTGGCCCACGTCAGGGATCCGTTTGCAGTAACAATATCCTTTCCCTCTGAAGTGAATTTGTCTTTGGTTTGACGTAAGATTATTTTGATGCCGTGCATCCATGTCAGCTTGTCCGACTGGTCCAGCGCGAAGGTCATCGGCAAAGTGGCCCTCCTGCCTGTCGCAACGTAATAGTCGCACTGTTGGGAAGAATCTTTGGGCCGAAAGAATATGAGAAGAAACACACAGGAATTAAAACTCAGAGGCAGAACGCTGCGATATTATTACTGATAACTACATTCTACATTTCACATTTAGATCTTTTTTTCACATTCAGACTTTTAACCCTGATGTGGCGTAGGGGGCGGGGCATCAACTGAGAGGGGCGAGTAATCAGGTAATCGGCTTTCTTTTTGTTTCTCAAACAAACAAAACTTTTGACCTGGATTTGGTGCCATAGTTTTAAAGAACGAGACTTTTGAGAGTTTCATTGTGTGAAGGTCGGCCCACAGGAAGTGAAAGGCTACACGGTACGATGAAGAGGGTCGACATCTTTCCGTTTCATAAAAGGAAAATCAAAAACATTCTGTGGTTCCTCGGAGCATAAATGAACGTTTTAAGTGTTTATACACCACCTCGTTTCACGTGTTGTGTCACGGAAAACAATGTGAAATACTTCATTTTGTAAGAAACCTGCAAAGGAAATCATTGTAAAAGCAGGATGATAACAGCGTCTCTGGAGATAGGAGATCATTAGAGAACTATTTATTATCTCCAGATGACACCATTCAGCTCTGGGTGACAATCTCCAACTATTTGTTATTTGGGTTGTTGACGATTAAAACGAAAAACCGCAGGGTTTTTTATGAAGTCACATCCGGATCAACTTTGACATTTAAGAAATGAAAGGCAATAAAATGTGTTCACCTGCCACAACTAAAGCCGCTTCTTAAGAACGATAATGAATCATTTGTTTAGTTGAACACACATCAAATGCATTTCTGTCCACACGCAGTGAAACAAATAGAAAAATTACATCGCGAGAGCTTTACAAATGATCAAATCATTAATCTTTCAACTCACTGTGAAACTCTTTAAAATATTTGATCTTTTTTTAATTAGATTGATGAGATTGAAAATAAAAATGTGTATTTATAATTCTGTGTATATTTTAAGGTTAAAACCAGTAAAACTCTTCTTCTCTTCTGCGTCTTGTTTCATCCGTTTCCATCATAACTGCCACAAACATGGTTATTTTTAGCTGCATCTTGTTATAGATCCTCAACAGGAACTCAAGCACAATTTGCTGGTTTAGAAAACAGCTTTGAATTTAGATCTTATTAATTTTCCTCCCAAAAATTCTGGTTGTTGTAATAGTCAAATGTACAGGATTATTCCAGTGTTCCTGTATATTTAAGCCCATTTATCATATATATTAAATATAAATTATTGACCTATTTTTAAATTAGAAATTAGTAGTAGTGAAAGTAGTGAAAGTTGACCAGAGTTCAAATATGATTTCTAATCTTTAAAAATAAATGTTAAGAATTAGAACGACTACACAAAGTCTGTTTCAACCCTCACACTAAAAAAGCCCGCACAAACCATTCACTGTTTTTAACATCCGTCCCGTTATAACGCCTCCCGTCAGGACCAGGAGTGTGTTTCGTACCTGTGGAGGAGATGGCCGAGCAGCAGAGCAGGAGCAGAGAGACGGTGAAGACAGCGGCCATCTTCATCGGCATCCTCAGCACACGAAAAAGAAAGAAGAACTGCAGATTTCCATTTTCAAGGTTACTTCCTGTCATACCAGTGGGGGGTGTGTGTGTGTGTGTGTGTGTGTATGTGTGTGTGTGTGTGTGTGTGTGTGTGTGTGTGTGTGTGTGTGTGTGGTTTCTCTAGGAAGTGCAGGAAGTGATCCAGGGGGCCTGATCTACTTTGAATGTTTTAAAACAAAGGGAGCAGCTCAAGCTGTATTCAGTAAGCTCAACTGCTTCGGTTACTAAAAATATAATAAAAATGAGGTTTTGAAGGTTTGTGATTGGTTAAGAAAACACTACAGCGCTCGCAAAGGCCCATGATGACCGGGTGCAAATCGCACAGTTCAAAGGTCAACCCTGGAGCAGGAACGGATCTGTTCTGAGAAAGGCCCGCCTCGGAAAATGTGAGACTGTGCACCGGGAAGTGAGATGCACTGCTGAGGCTTCTGCTGTTGTTACAGCCGGTTCTGACGTTTCACATCCTCCTGCAGCTTCATTCTTCTTTTGCTTCTGGATTCAACCTTAACCTGCGAGTGTGGGACTTTGTGTGGATGCAAAGTTATAAGTGCATATTAACCAGCAACAGTTAATTAACAGTTAATGTGGCTGATTGATCAGCGCTGTGCATGTGTGCTCTACTGGACTTTTTTTTATAACGAGAGAAAAACACTCGCAGCCTGGCCACACGGGGGCGCCGCCACACCGGACGAGCACGCTCTTCATAATGCAAATACAAATATAGAACAACGATGATGGTGCTCAATGAGTATTTTATTATTACATTACGTTGGTTGCTACATTACTATGTTTATACGTCCCGGATGTAAACAGATCTTTAATGGCACTTGTGTGTTGTTTCTGAGTGTGTGTCTATTTAAGTTTAAGTTTGTGGTTTACTTCTGTCCATATATAGAAAGTGTGGTAAATACTACAGGTTCCGTATAAAAGTGCATGAGAATGACTTCATTATAATAAAAAGATGGAATTTACTGACATTTTCCTGCATTTACAGCATACATGTATTCATATAAAACGCGTTGTGATGGAGTGAGTTTGTGAGAGCGGGACACGGAGGGGACACACATGACCCTCTTCAGTGAGATGGGCCTTTATAAATAGAGCTATTTTTCCACTGCTCTCATCCAACATGCCCGCGCATCAGAGACACCTCGGCTTCCAATCACCATCCTCCGTGTGAACCTCAGCGACCAATCACAGCCACTCGGACCACATCGGAATGCTGTAAAAGACCGGAGCCGATCAGATATTTGAACGTCAACATATGACCTCGGCACAGTATTTCTAGCATTCTGCCCGCTTAGCTCATAGAACACTTTCTTTTTTAATAAAAAAAAAATGCATCGAGAAGAACAATTTCAGGTTTTGATTTGGGCTTTGGTTCATTTTGTCCCAGAATAAAAGGGCCCATCTATAGAGGCCTTAGCGAGTTAGCACGCTAACTATGTATATATACATATATATATATATATATACATATAAATTCTGGGAATGTCCTTTAGCAGCTGCTGTTGACCTTCAGCGCTACCAGCATGGTCCTCTCCTTTGCGCATCTCTCTACAGCCCCGACGTGGTGACACAATAATCATGACACAATGGAAAGACGGCCGGCTGTGGTGGCAGCAATGAGAACATGTAGTCATGCTTCTAGCATCTCTCTGTAACAATGTCACCGCTCAACGACTCAGAAGATGCATTTTAGATAAGCAAGTACGTTCCACAAAGGTTTTGTCTCTAAGGAATTGGCGTTAAAATAAAACGCGAGTGTGATTGTGACAGAGGTTTTTCAGAAAACTTGACCCCCAGTAGTTTCGGGTTTCTATTTCCAGAGGAATGACACGCGTGTCCAGGGACGGAGGCCATCGGGTGATGCGGATTAGCGAGATTTTATTTTGAGCGGGACCGGCTGCTTTTTGTTTGATGCGGCTTAATAGAAGAGGTGTGAGTACGCGCGGCTGGATTAGAGGTACGACGCCGTTGGGTCTAAAATGACACCTGTGGTGGATTTGTGGCGTTTGGATATTTGGTGTGGATTATATCAGCAGATGTTGAAGTCAGTGTGCTCAGGTATTTTGTGGGACTTTTGATCCCTGCAGAGCAGCTTCCCAGCAGCAGTACGAGCCAAGAATCATCCAGAACTTAGAATCCACGACTGGTTTTAAAATCTTCCAAAATGTTAAATCATAACCTGTGACCTAAACATAGGCGATATCAAATGTGCACAGGACTTTAAGGATCCATAAAAGTCATTAAAAGAGATGCAGGTCTATGTGGTCTGTGTTTTAACTGCAGTAAGAATATGTAGCACAGTAGTAGTTCCCTCCCCTCCCCCGGTCTCTAAATGAGATTTTTCTAAATTGAATCTTTGTGAAATTCTTTTCACAAACACATCACAAGGAGTTTTGAGGGAATTGTTCTGGGGTCGTGCTATCCGATGCGTCCTGCTCTCAGGCGGAGGCCTTTGGGGAGAAGCCTGTTTAAAGGTCTCCTCCACGCAGCTGCCTGAATCTGGAGAGCAGAGCGAGTCGACGGCAAGCGGAGAATGTGCGTGAAGCTGCAAGTCCTCCAGAGTAAACACAGCTGATGGGGTGAAGCCTCCCTGCTCTCCCCTAAAGTGCCCTTTCTTTGAGAGGGGATTTAGGAGCGTAATGGGCGGCGAATTCCGAGGCGATGTAACCTCCACACTTCCTTCTGTCACAGCTGACACGCACAGCCAAACATTCCCCGTGTGTTTACAGCGCCGAGTGATGCGTGGCCGGACGTCTGGGACGCAGTTTGTTATGGCCATTATTCAGCTTCTTTCTACACACCAGAGCAGAAAACAGAAGCAGCACCGACACCTTGTGTTGGATTTGTACCTGTCAACACGTTGGAATGTGGCCTCCGAGAGCCTCAACGGGAAAACATCCCCACGGTGATCAGGAAGGATCGTCCACATTCTGTGAACATCGGAGACAGGTTTCACGAGGATGCGTTTTGGGTTCTCCTCTCTCTGTGTCTCTCTGTGTCTCTCGGGTCTCGAGCAGTCTGCTGGCGTTTCACCATGTAAGGCTGCAGAGCTCAACTGCTCCTGGGAACGGAAGAAAAAAAGGAAACATTGCGGAGCGCTTTCTTTTTAATAATTCAGCGGCGTGTTTGTGTAGACAAAAATGGATCGTTGAGACGTAGCCCTGACTGCACAGACGACCACGTTGACTGCGTCTTGTCAACACCTCGTCACCGCCGCAGTGACCCCCAGGGGGATGAATCCTGAGGAAATATCACAACAGCAGACTCATCAGCAGCATTATTCTTTTCTTTCCCACTTTTCCCAAAAGGTCACCAGTGTCGTGTTATCTGGTAAAGAACGTGACGTTTGTCACAGAGGAGGCCGATGGACGCGTCCTCTCGCTCCGTGTCTCAGGAGCAGCAGCATCAGACACACACAGCCTGTCTACACGCACGCTCTCCTTTTAAGGCAGATGCAAAGCTTTCTGGGCCGCGCCGTGGGGGGGGGGGTATTTTTACATTTTCCGGGCCTTTACTTTATTTTTAAGGCTTGTCTCTTTTGATTCCTCCCAAGTGGAGGACGCTGACCAGGACGCTGACCAGGACTTTACACAAACCCTGCCAAAGGCCCAGAATAAGTTGTTTAACATGAAAAATAACCTTTGTTCACAGTGACATCAATCAGTAGTTCACACGGCATCTGTCAGAAACAAGCAGGAGCTCAAAGGATCAATTCCCAGACTCTTTGCCATCCTTTGTAACCGTACAAACATTTGCTATAATGATTGAAAGCATCATGATAACGGTTTCTGCACATCCTTGATGTCCTGCCAACGTTTTGAATGTGCTGCCTGGTGTCTAAAAATGTTCACATTCAAAGGTGCAAAAATTTAAACAAACACCATCATTGGATCGGCGAGTTTTACAGTGAGTTTGTTTCTGCACAGCACGGCTCAAGGCCTCGATCGGACTGATATCATGTGTGAAAGAAATGTTAACAGATTCAAATGTTTTAATGTATTGGATTATTTCAAGGGCATTTTATCGGTTAAACAACTGCTTTGTTTTGAGTATTAGAACGGGAGCTCTGCAGCACGTATGACAGACACGGCATCCCCACTCTCCTTGAATCGTTTCTAGGATGCCCTGCCTCTCTCTCTCTCCCTCTCTCTCTCTCTCTCTCTGTGTCTGTTTACAGCCGTGCACAGCGCTGCATAGCTGACATTTCTCTCTCAAACTCCGACCAGCTCTGCTCTCCGCTCTGAAAGGTAAGATCCAGCATCCTGCGCAGAAACAGCTGCTCCTCGTTTCCATTTCTCTCCTCAGCAGTAGACGAGGAGACGATGAGGACGCCAGACATTGTTTAGGAGATAATAACGCTGAGAAATAATCTGGAATAGAAGAGGTGTTATTATTGGTGGATTAAATGACCCTGATGGGGTCTGGATGGAAACTGTAGACAGTATCCAAGGCACAGCATGTGCTTTTATAGTTTATCTTTGGAGTAGCCGACGCTTGCCTCACTAATAGACGGATGTGATGGAATTATATTGAGTGAGAGCTAAAAATTTTCATTAGAGTCATGACCTTTACAACTCTTGACAGTTGTTGATGTTGCCCAAAACCTTGCAGAAACAATACAAAGCAAAAACCAAACAAAGGAACAAACACTCCCAAATCTGCAGGCGTTATTTATCAGTCGATATCATTATTTTCCCTTTTTTTGTTTTAATATTTTTTTAACTCAACAGTATTCGGATTTATCTTTTATGTTGATTTAATATTTGCGTTTCAATTGTCATCAAAGTTAAACTCGATTTATGATACTTCCACCGCGTGGACACATAGTCAAACAAATATCAAGTTGAAACCTAATGAACGAAACCTAACAATATCTAAATGATCAGCAGATCAGCAGAAGGGCGATGCTCACTTATCAATGACCATTAAAGGTCAGCACATGACTGTCTCAACTACATTGCACGTCTTGAAAGCATTTGACCGTTTTCGTAGACGCTGCAGCTATTTTGTTCCCAGAAACGTGCTGATTGCAGAATGTGATGAGCTGTCCGGCGAAATACACACTTAACTCCTGTTTTGTGGAAATGGGGATTAATTGTCGCCGTCTCGCATGAGAGCTACTAACACAGTAGGGGGGGGCAACCAGTCGCTCACGTGCAGTCAGTCCCACGGCGTTTAGCTGCATCGGCCCGCACACCAGGTGGGTCCCGATCTAACCCCTCAAAGGTCAAAGGTCAGAGTGCAGAGTCGGGGCGAATGAGAGCTCCTTTTATGACCTGAAGCGAGGGGTTGGCGATGGGTTCCAGGTCCAGCAGGAGCTAGAGGGAGGCAACGTGTCTGGAATTCCTCCAGTGACCACTAGATGGCGGCAACGCAATGAAACGGGGACAGAAGAGAAAACATTGGAGGAAATAAAACCTGTGGTACGGATTTCTTTGAGATACAATTGACATTTATCAAGAGGTCACTTAACGCTTACCCAGGAGCACAGGAGTAAACCCAGTGGAGAGATAGAAAGCGTTTTAATCTAGAGAATAGTTCATCTGAATTATTAAAAATGTATTTTTCGTCCACCTACGAATGTGTCACCTGTATCTGCTTAAGTCCATCCGGCTTTATACCTTCAATTCAACCGAAACTAAGTTTCTACATTTTCTCATTTAAGGGCCTGAAAAAGCTCCTACAGACACTTGAGTCAGGTCAGAGGTTGCAGAGTAGGCCGACGCTCTTATGGAGGTATGCCATGGCCTAGGAGGACGTGTGTGTGTGCCTGCGTGTGCGTGTTAAGGCGTTAACGTGTCAACTGAGAAGTGGTGACTCACAAGCAGATTACAAGTGGAAGGAACCAAAGTGAAATGATAAAAATAGAGGTGTTGATTTGTCGGTGGAAGGTCTCACTTCGGCAAAGTAGAGAATGAAAAAGAGGATTAAAGTTATAGTTAAATGTTAGAGCCAACAACAGCAGGCCACTTTACTTCATTTTGGGAAACCTTTGGTCTAAATTGTTGTCTACTTTTATGGAGTGTTTAGGTTCATTTCTTTTCATCGCACCTTGTGCCTGCAGACCACGTGGGTCACATCGCGCGGCCGCTATGCTCGAGTCTGACTTAACCCGTAATTTTCATTTTCGGGAGCGAAAGCGAAGAGACGCATACAGGGGTCTTTGTCTCTGACCTTTTTTCTTACTGCTTCTCCAGCAGCAGGCAGAGGACGACAGACGAGGCCTTTAGTCTTTTGACTGAACCGCTTCGGGGCCGGGCCGCCTGACCACCTGACCCGAGCCCGTCTCCTAGCGACCACCTCCCTGACCTCGGTCCACTTTGGCCCCGAACTCTCCCCCCCTCCTCCTCCTCCTCCTCCTCGCCATCCGTCTCCATGGAGCGCGTGCAGCACATGACCAAGTCGGCCATCCGCCGAGCGTCTCAGATCGAGGTGAACCCGCAGGCCAAGAGGAACCTCCAGGAGCTGTTTGTCAACTTCACCCTCATCCTCATCTGCCTGCTGCTCATCTACATCATCGTCCTGCTGAGCAGCTGAGAGGGAGTGGTGGGGGGGGGGGGGGCAAATCTTCGGCTAGGTGAAAAATGGGAAATACGGAAAATATCAATGCGTCACAGTCGCTTCCTGCAGCACATCACCACCGGGAGAATAGATGACAATGACATAAATAAACGGCTAGATGTGACACACAGAGATGTTTCTAAGTGCTGTACGCCTGTAAAGGGAGGGAAGTTCAGACTCAGAGCATCTTCAACCTTGAGGCAGCTTACCTGCACGGGTCTCCGATGGGCAACATGAACATAGAACCTATTGCATGTATATATATGTATATATATATATATATGCAATGGCTGCACAACGCTTCTGATTTAGAAATGACCTGCAGTTCGTCAATAGTGAGGAAAACTTCACTTTGCATGTTGTGATTTAACTTTCTGTGTATGCCATAAAGGTTCTGTGAAAATAAAAAAAAATTCTTCTTCTGTGTCAGATTGTACCGCCTGACTTTTAAACTAAGCAAAATAGATTAAAGTGGTTTCCCTGCTCCATGTGTGATTTATTCATTGCACATATTCATTTAACAAAAACATAACAAATGTGCATTTAGATATGAAACATACAGGTCTGGATAACTGACCAGTTTATGAGAGTTGGATTATGTATCTTGCATATTATCCAGAATATGGTTTACATTCATTTATTCCTTTCCTCATTCGTTTATCTTACTCAAAGATGTATTGATGCATACGTGTATTTATAATATATGATAATATAATCCATGTATTGCATTTAAATGAATTGATAATTCCATGTTTTTCTTTGTATCTCTCTTTGTAAATTAAAGTGCATGAATGAATTTCAACAAAGGTCCACATGCACACGCATGCACACACACAACACTAAGAGGAGCACAAGAGAAGATCTCACAATCATTATTTTACTGTTCCTTAACATACAACATAAATTATATAAATATAAATGAATATTGTTGTTGGTATAATTGTTATATATTTGTACGTCATAAATGACAAGACATTAAAGACGTTGATGTGAAAAGTCCCAAAGGTGACATCAAATCACCTTCACATTGAAATAAAAAAAAAAGATTCCAACCCGACAATTTCTGTTTCAATAAGTTTCAGTGGTTCAGTGAGGGTCAGCCGATGTTAAATGTAAAAAAAAAAACATACGGTTTCTTTGCCATTCATTTTCAAAGGTTGCAACGTTTCAAAAAGCCTTTTGTGAACCTCGTGGGTAACGCAGGTCAAAGGTCACGTGACATGTGTACAGCTGCAGTTCTGCTGATGACCACAGCAAACGCCGGTCCAATGAGAAACTAGAGCATCAAATCATCACTAACAGTGCAGTCGTGTGAACGGGAACGACTACGTAAAAAATAAATATATATATCCTTTATTTTCTATTTCATTACAGTGTTTTATTCATTTTTAATACACAGGCTCACCACGAACAACCACCCAGGAGCGCTTTTCGACATATCAGTTGACGACCATGTGATTTCTTTAAAGCTCCCGTTTCGTTCCCCAAATCAAGACCGAACCAACATGGAGAAGAAGTGCTTAAAGTGCAGAGACAAAGTGGAAACATTTACATCACGGCGAGCCGATTACCAAAGACTTTTTAAAATGTAAATTTAAAATAGTTTATGGTATTGTTTTTGTTTTTTAAATTCAGCCTACTTCAGTGGATTTTTTGAATCCCGTCAGACGGCAGGCGTGGAAGACTGTTCTTCTTGGTTTAGCTTTTACGTAGAGGACGAGGACGTGAAGTCATCAGTGGGGAGATAAAAAGGAGTGGAAGTAAGAATGCGATGTGGTTGTGAAAAAATGCATTAATAAGAAAGAAGCAAGAAGAGGCCGTAGACTTCTGCGTCGTCTGACGCGGATGTCGAAGCGCAAATGTCAATATATCAACATGGTATATATTAACACGTTCTTCACAGTGTGCGTCGAGGAATGAACAGACCTCCTCCGTATTCATTACAGATCAATATTTACATAATTAACTATTGAATATGCATCACGTCACAGGGCGAGTGTTTGATATTAGGACACAACAGTGGGCTGGTGTCCACCTCCACCCTCACACACGCGGCCTCCTTCAGGCTGCTGACGACCATGCAGTTTGTACACTTGTGACTTGTGAACGGACTCCACGGACCTTCGGGTCCTGGAAAGGACGCGGCACGACAGCTATGTAAACTTTCAAGTCAAGTACGAAAAAAAAAAACAAGAGAGTACGCAGAAAAAACGAGAGGATTTTCGGGTGAGTGACGGCAGCGTCACAATGCTAAAAAAAAGGGCCGCTTGATTCGGCTCCGCTTGATGTTTCCCCTCCTGAGCCTGTCGGGGTGTGAGGGAATGCAAATCAAGCGCCCCTCAGGTAGTTCACAGGTTTCAGATTGACGTCCAGACATGACCTGTGTGTACACGGGGACAGCAAGCTAAAGTTAGTGGGGGTTTTGGTGTTTTTGGTGTCGTCGTTGCGGTGCTCTGTAGTTCATCGTACTCGACTGAAGGCGAGCGTCAAGGCAGAAAACACTTTACACAGCTCGTAAGACACATCACAGAGAGACAAACACATCTGACGTGGAGCTGAAGACATTTCCCCCTCATATACAGTTACTACTGTCATGAAAGGATCATTTCCTGTCACTTAAGACAAATCATTTCAACAAAAATCTTCTCTTCCAAATAAGTTTAACTAAATTATTCTTTTAGAAATGACCTTGGTGAGAGAGGTACTGATATGAAAAAGAATACAGCCTTCTTCTTGATATTATCTCTTTGCAGGATTACGTTTTGTACGTTTTAACAACCGTGCGATTAATCGTGACACTTTGGGGAAAGAAGTCCAAACAATTACTGCATCCGCGTTATCGATTTACTTCCACTTCTTTAATATGCAATCTAATCCCTGTGTGGAAACCACTCCTGTAACCTTCAGAGTGTTCTACAGACGTGTCTCTTAAACGGCTGCAGGGGGAAGTCCACCATGTTTCCCTCCGGGCTTTAAAGAAATCGTGGGCGATGAAGGCCTTTAAAAGATGAAATCGCTCCGTCGCTACTTTGGAGCTCATGCAAACGTCACGTTTTATATAAAAGCGTCCGTATCCTGCTACCATGCACACTTTAACGGGGCGACGAGCAACGTGTATGGAAGCCCTTCCCTGCACCGGGATCTCAGGTCTGCGCGTGGTGCATGGGAGCGCCGGGTTTTAGCGGCGGATGTTTGATGTGGATGTCGCCCAGAATGTCTCTCAGAAGCGACAGTGTGACAGGTGTCCAACTTTAGCTCCCTGTCCCGTTACCTCGTTCTTTTTTTGGGGGGGTGGGCAGATTGTTGTTGTTGTTGTTGTTGTTTCTTTTGGGGCCGGTCAGAAAGTGAAGTACTGGGCGTACAGCTCCTCTTCTTTTAGGACTTGTTCTTTTCTCTTTGCTGCCTTCCCCGCTCGCGGGTCCGATGGCGTCGCGGCGTCGGCCTCAGGACGGCTGAGGGAGGGACGAGAAAAAAAGGCGCGTTGAGACGAGGAGGACGAGAGGGACCGAAACCGATACAGATACACAAACCTTTTTTTACCCAGTGCAGGATTACAACCTCGGCAGCATCAGAGTGAGATGAATTAGTGTCAGGATAGTGAACAAAAGTTCTGGATTTTATTTAAGAGTTTATTCTGTGTACAATGTGTGTGTGTGTGTGTGTGTGTGAGTGAAATAGTTCAAAAAGAGATTATATCTTCATTATTTGTCTCCATTGACCCAGAGCTAATAAAGAAAGGCTGCGGAATAAAGAGATCCCAACGAAACCCGACGCACATTTTGTTAACATGCAGAATGCACCAAACGGCAGAAGGTACCTTCTTCATGTGGTTGGCGTGTGTCATTTACCCGTTAAAGCCATGCATCTACTAATGTCTGCAGCTATTTCTGATGCAGGTTTGGACGTTATTTTGTTCCATTTTTCGAAGAAAATAAGCCCTCCTTGAGGTTTGGGGACGTGGGGTGTGGACAGAAAGGAGGGGAACTGAGGGGTTAGGTGAGATATACAGACGGTGGGGCAGCAAACATCTCCTATTCACTCCCGGGGAAGTGAAGGTGAACGGGAGGCAGCAGTGGCGGCAAGGCAGATTAGTTCTCACCTCCTAAAGCTTTGCAGGCCCTGATGGTGCACCAGGGCTCCCTGAGGATGAGGAGCGTGAGGAAGAGGATGATGTGGAGGATGAGGAGAAGGAGGAGGGGGAGGAGGAGGGTGCTGAGGAGAAAGAGGAAGAGGGCTGAACAGGGGCGGGGCCTTCCTGGGTTTGGGGCGGGACCTTTGGAAGTGGGGGGGGACAAAGTGGCCTGCTGGTTCTACCCTCCTCCACCTCCCTCTTCTTCCTCTCAATACTCAATAGGGGGGAGCCGACTAGCTGGAAAAGCACCGATCTGACTGGCTGCTGGTTTTTAACTACAGAGACGAGGAGAGAAGCGGGCAAAATGTTTTCCACTTTAGATCTCACATCGCCCACAGTGAAGGAAGGAGAGCATGAAGGGAAGGAAAGGAAAGAAGGAGATGACTGATGCTGCTATGAGGCCGGAATCAAGCATCATTGTTTCTGAATGGGGTAAAAACAGAAGGTATGACGGCTGTGTACAGAGATCACTCTCTATGATGTGGGATGGGATGATTTATTTCCCTTTGGTGACTCATAGCTCAACGAATAGATTACAGGGTAAGAATCAAATGAAAATAGATGAAGCCGAGCACAAGGACGCTCTCCTCTTACACTGTGCGGCAAACGTCTGTTTGTATTAATGTACAACGAGATAAATGATCGTGATGGCAGCCTTTATCACCTTGAATAATAAGCAATTATTTTATTTGGCCACCACATACAGGTTTTTTTTAAAAACGTACTTCATCTTGTGATTGATTATAAATTTTTTATTATTTATTTTGATTGATTAATAAATGTTTCCCTGATTCCTGATTAAGTTTGTGATCGTAAAAAAACAAATGTTTCAGTTCAAAATGAAACCAGTGGTTGAATACGGAAGCCTTGATGACATCGAGAACGCGCTCTCACGTACGTCCGCGTGCGAGATCGCTCACCTTGATAAGAGGGTTGATCACACCAACGTTGGCACTGGAGTTGAAGACCTTGCTGAACCCCGTCTCCCTGTTGACCAACTCCAGCTGGTAGAACTTCTTGTCATCCTGTGAAAAAGACAACATTTTAAAGCGCTGATGCTCCCGAAACCCAACCGTTCTCTTAATGGATCTAAAAATCTAAACCATAATAGCGCCGCCATTCATTGTTTTTGCCGCGGAAAGCTGCGACTTCTGTCCCTGAACTTGTCACGTAGCACGCTTGTGATGACTCACCACCAGCTTCTTCACCAGAGCTTCTCTTTCGGTGACCATCTCTCTGAGCTCTGCGATAACGTGCAGGTCTTCTGGTCGGCTTTCCCTGTGTCTGAGCTTCTCCTCCGTCCCCTCCAGCCTGAACGCGCACAAGGAGAGAGCAGTGGTTTCTACCAGCAGGGACAACAAAAAAAAAGGATCAACACAACTGGATCACACACACACATCTGTGACTCACAGTATCTGCAGAGCGGTAATCTTGTCCTTGAGGACCTCCTGGGCCTTGTTGAAGTCCCCCAGCAGGATTTGTATTTCTCTGTGGTGGACTATACTTATTTCCCCCAGATCCCTATCGTGTCTCTTTGAAAGGTCTTGCTCGTGGGCCCTACAGCGGGGACAGACGAAACTCATAAAGGGCACAGCTGGAACAGGAAGACAGCGTAAGCTTTGTAATGGAGCGGCAGTTGGAGGAGCTTCTGATCCATCAAACACACATCTAACGACATGAAATGTTACATCCATTTGACAAGAAGAGCAAAAATAATGAGATAACAAGAAACAATTGGATGACTATTCCCGTATGAAACACCTCGGGTGATGTCTGGCTGCTGTTTCGTACCTTATCTGATGGTTCGCTTCGCCGCGAACCCGCAGCACCTCCTTGCCCTTTATCTCCAGCTCTCTGGTCAGAGTGTCGATGGTCTCGTTCAGAGAGTGGATCTCGTGGTCCAGGTCGGTGATGCGGTTGCTACGGGAACACAGCTCTCCTTGCAGGTCTGAGATGCGAGCGAGGAGCTCCTGCTCCTAGGTGCACATCGACGGCAGACGGGGAGTCAGAAGATGCTAACTGGCTCACGGGCGGGAAAAAAGAGATAGGAAGAAGAAGACGGAGAGGTACCTGCTGGCGGCTGTGCTCCATCGCCTTCTCCAGCTCCCGCTTGACGGAGTGGCTGTCTTTATGGTGGAGCTGCTTCAGATGCTCTATGGATGCAGCATGCAGGTGGTTCAGCTCTGCACGGAGAGACGCTGCCGGACGGAGAGGAGAAACATCAGACAACATCTCGGCATCATGGGAGGAAAGAACGAGTATGATCGAACCAAGTTGCTGAAGGTACATATGTATCATCTTCGTGCACCTTTTAGTCATCGAAGTTGCTTTTTAAACTTCTTAATGTTGAGGGATTTAATCTCAAGCTCTCTTAATATTAAAGGCAATTATTTTCTATTGCATCCTGATATTTGGTAATCACGTTTCCGCGCCGATTCGTTTACCCAGCTTGGCTTTCCCCTCGTCCTCCAGCTCGAAACGCAGCGTCTGCAGCTCCTGGTCGGACTGCTGTCTCAGGATGTCAAAGGTCCTCCTGTGAGCCTCCTTCAGGGCATGCACCTCCTCCCTCTGCTCCTGCTTCAGACGCTCCTCCAGGGCCTGGCAGGAAAAGAGCACCCAACAGATTACATTTTAAAAAGGGATTCCATGTGGCGAATACTTGAGCAAGTTGGCTGTGTCCCAATTCTGTACAAATTGTCACCAGTGAAAATGCAATCAATTGTTTTGTATGTAATTTAAAGTAATCAATTTTTAGACTTAATACGCTTCTATTTTGACTGTGCCGTTGGACACCGTCCCTCCCCCTCATCCCTGTTGTGTGTGTGTGTGTGTGGATTCGTACCCTTATCTGGTGCTGCCTGGCCTCCTCCATGGTGCTCAGGGCGCAGCAGTGAGCCTCCTGTAGCCGATGCTCTCGCCTCTGATGTTCTCTCTGCAGCTCTGCAGGCACGCACAGAGACGTGAGCGCGCGCGCGCACGAGGGCCGCGGCACGACGCGGGTGACGTGACGCCGCGTTTCGCTGCTTACCTTTCAGCTGTTGGCTCAGCAGCTCCCTCTCCTGGTTGAACTGAGACTGCAGCTGCTGGAGGGCCGACTTGGACTGAGACAACTGCAGCTCCAGAGACTGTTTCAACAGAGAGATCTGCACAGGGACGAGAGGCGGAAAACACACACAAAGAGAAGCAGATGTGGTCTCTGATGTTCACACTGAAGGACAAGGCGCTCATCCGAGTATGCAAAGAAAAGAGACGCATGAATGGGAACTCCGATTTTGTTTCTGTGCGACACATTGAATCTTTTTTAGAGCAAACAACCATAAAACGACTCCCTGGAGGGGCGGAAGGAGGGGGGGTATCAACCCATGGATACCAGCCAAACAGTGACAGCTGCAGCTGGAGATTTCTTTCCGCCGCTCACGTCAACCTGTCAAAGCCCCACCAACGCAAACTAGCTATCGGGACTATTAGGGGGCCGGATTGACGGCTCGGGTCTTCCGACCGCCACTCCTCCTCAAGCTGCTGCAGCTGAACCCCCCCCGGGGGGGATTCAGTGCTGAAGGAGTCCAACACGAGGGACTGTGAAGTAAGATGGACTTAAAATGAGAGGATGAGGAGCAGCGCTGAGATGGAGTGAGTGGGGTTCAACACGGGATGTGGATTTAAAATGACGGACATGTGACCTGTGCAGATTATCCTCCCTTCCTGTGTCCAATCTTTGCCTGATGATGAAATGGATTATTTTATATAGGACGATCAAGTTGGAAAAACAACCTGCAGGTTTCATTAAACACACACACACACACACACACACACACACAAACTGCAGCCTGGGGCTCAAACCTTTTAATGAAAATATTAAAATGAAGAGGAAGTCATTATGGATACGGATGGCACTTCCACCCACCCACATACAGAACAACATTCACCGTTAATATAGCCGGTAGATCATTTCTCCTCTACTTTACGAGAACGAGTGGACGCCATTTGAACGGGTTAGGATGGACATGAGAGTATTTTCAAGGGGCCACGCTTGATTCGTTTGACTCCTAAATCCTCCTTAGAGAAAAGCCAAAGACTTTCCGATACAGCGGAGAACTCCTCCATCACTCGAGAGGCTTCCTGTTCTCACTTTGACAGCCTGTGAGTTTCCATCGTGGCTCTCGTGTGAGGAGTGTGGCGCTCCCGTGCCTCGGCGGAAAGTAGGTCGCAACAGCGCAGTTTTTGTACCTGGGTGCCCGTTTTGTCTCGTCAAAGGGGGAAATGTGTGTGAATGCATGGGGTGCACGGCATGAAAACTGCATTATTAGTTCATTACCTTAAGAATAAAACACTGCTTTAGCTATGCGACTGTATGAGGAGGGGCACGGGCTTCTAGGGAGAAACGGTAAGCAGCATCAGGACATGTTGGTGCTTCACCTGTTCCAGCAGGTCCTCCACCTTCCTCTGCCAGCCCTCTCGGGCCGCCATCATCTCCAGTTCTTTCTGCTGGGAGATCTGCGTCAGCGCCGCCTGCTTGTCCGCTTCGTACTCCTCCGTCAGCTCCTCCTTCAGCAAGCGCACCTCCTCCCTGCAGGCGGAACCAGGTGCACGTCAGTTTGCGCCTCATTCTGCTTCATTTTTCTCCCGCTAAAAGGGGGCGCAGAGGGCCGGGGGGGGGGGGGGGGGAGGGGTTACCGCAGTGCCTCTCTCCATTTGTGGTCCAGCTCATCGGCCATCTTGTCCACCTTCTGTTTCTCCTCCGTTCTGATGGACATCACTCTGGCGTCATGCTGCTGTCTCTGGGTCTCGATCTCCTCCTGCAAACACAAAAAGCTGCACGCATTTAGTCGGGGCGGCCTTCGGGTTTTGTTATCATTTCGCCTGTTTTTTCTCTTTTAAACACATTTTGGGTTCGATGTCTCTCGCTGCTCCCCCGTTTCATAAAAAGCAACAGCTGGTCCACATTCCCCCGTGAAGCAGAGCTCAGCCGGCTCAGTCTCTCCTGCAAAGATCTCGCTGTGAACACCAGTTACAATCCGCTGCTCCTTTTCCTGCCGTCCGAATCCTCTCCTTTCACAGGAGCCCCGCTGCTCGTTCCTCCTCCTGCGTCCCTTTTATTGCCGCCCTCTTTCCGTCTCTCTTTGGGCATTTCGTGTTCACGTGAATGTCAATTTCTACTAGCTGTTTTGCTGAATGTTGCAGCTTCATTCTTCGTCACGTTCAATTAGTTCAATTGCCGACGTGGTCCTCGATTTAGAACATTGCTGATAATAAGATGAATAAACAGCGAGCAGTCTCGCTGTAACACTCACACACATAATCTTGCCGTCTCTCTTTTCAAACATGGGGCCACTCAACTCAAAATAGCCTCGTCGTCATTATCTCGCAGCTGGCCTTCAGTGCTGCACTCACGTCTCAGTTAAATCCAATTTCCTGCGTTCAAAATGCTCTTCCTCTTTGCCATCTCTCGGCCCGTCCGTTCTTTCTGTCTTTGTCGCTCGTTGAAACTTTGGAATATCGAGTTAAGCTTTGATTTCCTGCAAAACCGTCAGCAAACGTCAGGCACTTGGTTGGTTTTGCAGTGTTTGATAGACTTACTGTCAAAATTACTGAATTTAGACTGACGTGAACTGATTCCTCATCATGAATAAAGCGGCGATCAATCGTTACGCTTCAAATGAATTCATTCCAGATCATTATTAGCGCTTACCTTGATAGTATTTCAGCTGAATTTGCAAAAATGTGAAATTTACCTTCAGGCAATCTTGAACGAATAGCTGAATCTTTTGTTTGAGCAAAGGGACATTCATACATACCCCATAATTAATGACGGTTATTTTCAGTAAACGCTTCGGGGTGTGCCTCTGGCTTTCCCTCACCTGCAGGTCAGTCAGCAGGTTGCTGGTCTCTCGCACGCGGCCCCTGGTGGCGTCCAGTTCAATCTTCAGCTTCTCCTGCGTTTCCCGCAGGCAGCTGATCTGCGTCTGAGCTGAGCTCATGCTCTGCTCACCCTCCCTCACCAGCTCCTGCAGGTGGGACACCTGGAGGACATCGACATTGGCCAATCAGTCGGTTTGTCGTCGCCCTCTAAGCGCCACAGAAATACCCCGCGTGTTCCTTTTCCCTGTTTCCCACCTCCTGATTGGCCATGTTGAGCTTGGCCGAGAGCTCCTCTTTCAAGTTGTCGAGCTGCTGCTGGAGGCGGTCGCGCTGCTCCTCCAAAGACAGGCGCTTGATCTCAAACTCCTGACTCATTTTCTGCAGAGGAAAGACAAAAAGAGGATGACCGGACGGATGAGAGGGAACTTTGTCACAGGAGAAAAAGAGACATTTGAATGCCATGTATTAGTATCCCGTCAGCGGCGCGTCGTGGCAGTTGTTGTAGTGCGCAGCATGCCGACTGATTGAAGCCGTTTTCACTTAAAAGGCCATCTCATCCACTCAACAGTTTCTATAATCCCTCAAACCACGACAGCAAATCCTCCCCGTGACGTCTCTTATTAAAACGCTGATTTTCTCTACTTCTTGCTTCGCCTTAGCTGTGAATTCATCCACTCAGGGGGCACTGATGATTTCTCTGTGAACATCCGCTGCAGCAACTGTAGACGTCGGTGGGCCGAATATGTCGATACACACCGCGTGCCACTCCTCATGTACAAAAAGTACATGTTCAGTCCATGCTGCAAGCTCGGCCTCCTACTGAACCACCAACGCTCCATTGTGTAAGCGAAGATCATTCTTTCCCACACTGACGTATCTCACTTTGTGAAACATGGAAGGTGAAACCATGAGAACTATAGATTCCCCCCCCCCCCCTCCCCCCGGTGTCTCATTTCCTGCACACGGGAGCCCACATCCTCTTTCTTCAACCCAATTACAGCAGACGTGCCTGCATCACGTTGATAAAGCCAACGGTAAGTTGATTCGTAAGAAGCTAATTCCATGGTTATTTTGTCATTTTGAGAGGAAATATTTGGTGGTTCCAGCTTTTTCTTGTTCACATTATAGTCAATGGAATAGTTTTAGAGTGTAATTCAAACAAATTGAGTCGAGAGCAAAACCATGAGACAAGTGAGTTTGTCACAGCTACCTCCGCCAGGTCGGATGATTTAAATCATTCATTAACATCCAAAGAAGAACAATCGGCAGCAGGGAGATTGGAGATACGACTGCAAAGCCTCGATTCTGCTGCCGTCTCAAATTGCTTTAAGTAGATTGTGGTGAATTATGAATTAATACGGGACAAGAAATTTGCAGCATTAGTCATTGTACCGCCTCGGTTCAGAAACTCGTTAATATCTTGTTGAAAGGAAGAAAAAAAAAAGATGAAGAAAGAATTTGCTGTTTTAAAAAATGACTGTCTGCGATTCTTCTTCATAAGAAAACAGCCATTAATCTAAAGAGAACGAGGCGCAGCATTGCTCGGCCTTACGTAACATTTAGTCTTTTCACATTGCCTCTCTATCCATCCGTAAATTTAGGGAAGGCTACAAACACACGCCCACAGGTCTGCACACACCACTCTCGCTTGGCTTGGAGGCCGGATTTAATGTCAATGAAAATCAACCAATTAGAAGCCGGCTTCAAACAGCATTAGAAGTATGCGCTGAAGAGAGGACGGGCGAAAAAAAGAAGAAAAAAAGGAATGTCACAAAAGAATAGAGACACAGGAAGAGACAGCGGGGGAACATTGAGCTCAAAATTATTTAAAACTCTGCGATCATATCAGAGGCGGAAAATAAGCTGTGAAGTGGAAGGAATGGTTGCGAGTTGCCCGCCAGTGATGGATCATGCTGCCTCTGTGCCTCTGAGCCAAGTCGCTTCCTCTGGACGTCAACGCGCTTCTCAATGGTCGCTGAATGCAGGTGGAGCCATGTGAGCGTGAAACAAATTGGGAGTAATGCGCCGTAAAGGGCTGCGAGCGGGAGGGAAAGCGAGCGCTCCTCCTCTTCTGCCGTCCCGCGTGGGAGAGGTGGAGGAGGACAAAAATACTGCTGACCGGACAGAAAACCACAACCGACCTCTTATCGCCATGCGACGGGATGGATGCTGGTGACGTCATCCTGCGTCATCGGCCCGACCACTGTGGCATGAGGTAAAAAAAAACGCCTCCCTGTGAGTTTATTTATGTGCTTGTGGCTCACGGGGAAAACAACCAATTATTTGCAACTGGACCTCGTGATCTGACCAACGCATCAGGAACGGGATCAAATCGAGACGTCTCGTTTCTGCACCTTGTTTAAACTTCTTTCCTTCCCTAAAAGATGAAAATCCCTGCAACCAGGGCATCAGTGTAACTAGAGTTACCAAACACTGAGGTTTAATTTAATCTGCGTGGTTCTGACTCAGAGTCGTTGGTTTTGTTTCCCCTGCATATAGTCCCCTCGGCCTCATGATCCGCGGATAAATCATTTAGTCTGCACCCGAGTTTGATTAACAGCTTTCGCACCAACCAGAACCCAAGCAGAAAGCCCGTGCAGCTTTTCCAGAATGCATGCGGAAAGCTACGGTGTATTAAACCAAGCCTCGCTCGGCCTGGATTAACGTCACAGTGGGAGGTGAGGAACCGCTTCCATCACAACAGCACGCTCGCCGGGCACAGGGAACTCATTACCGCACGGCCCGGGGAAGAGAACAGGGGCGAGTAAGAAGCTGTGCGGTCAATCCCGGGCACGTCGCCAGCATTTGTCCTCGGTGATGCAATGTTGTTGTTGGGAAATGAATCGGGGGTTAATTCATTTAAACAGTGTTATTCGATCTGTGTTTGTTAGCGAGAAGGTGATTTGTATGGAGTGCGCAGAGAGGAGAGGGGAAAAAAAGAAGAAGGAGACCTAAAACACGGAAAAAGAGGGACGTTGTCTTAGTATAATGATAACCTAATTAAATGTGTGCAGTCCGTTGAGCGAGCTGCGCGTTCCTCAGAGTTACATATTTCCTAATAGACTAAAGGCCAATTTCACTGAGGAGGAAATGTAATCAGCACTGAAAGGATGGATGCAAAAGAGCACCCCTTAAGAGTTGGATGTAATTACTGTTTTTATGCAAAAACTGTGGTGTTCTATCACCGTGCACATCTTGAAATAGACAAACACACAGCTGGAGCTGAGGATGTGATATTTTCTGGTTTGTCAGCCGTGTGTAAATATCAGCCGTCACTGAGTTTCCTTCTTAAGAAATACATTTCATCCACTGCGTCCATTAGAGCCAGACTGTAGATTTACACCATCAACACAGAGCTCAACATCTGTAGGTGGAGATGAGTAGAGTGACAACACCGACGGATACCGTGATGTTTAAGTTTAATTAATCATGTGCCTCTTTAATCATTTCATGAACACTCTCTCAGCTCCCGATATTATTTTCAATAAAAAAGTCTTTTGCTCAAATTCTTGGGAGGAATCCCTCCAACTGGGCGCATCCGCTGTGAACATTGGACTCACCGCCGCGAGGAGCTTCTTCTCGTCCTCTTTCTCCTGCTGGGCCTCCTCCCTCATGGCCTGGTGTTTCCCCTCCAACTCCTCCAGCGCTCGGACCTGCGCCTCCTTGAAGCGGTGCATCTCCTCCTCGTAGTGCGCTCTCAGCCTGCAGAGCTCCTTCTCGTAACCCTGGTGCTCCTCACGCAGAGACTGAGGGGGGGGGGGGGCAAAGGAGGAGGACAAAGGTTGAAGGGATGCGTGAGCTGGTCCGCGCCTCGGTCTCGACTGGGATTAAAGGTTTGGCTCAACGGGCACCTGTTCTAGTTTCAGCACTTGCTGCCTGTGCTGGTCGTTGGAGGCCTGGCTCTGGTTGAGCAGAGCCTCCCTCTCCTCCTCCAGCCGGCCGAGCTTGTCCTTCAGCCGGCTCTGCTCCTGGTCCAGGTTCCTGATGGTCGCCTCATGGGACATCTGGGTGGCCTGCAAGGAGCCGATCTGACCTGGGAACAGTCACGTCGAAAGGTTGGTAATCGTTCTAGATTAGATTAAATTATTAACTACTTGCCCTTCTTCTAAAGTATACGGTCACAGCTACTGCAGTGAAAAGCAGCTTTACGATGAGGGATTTGCATATTGCAGCATCGTGTCTCAGTACGGTTCAATTACCTCGAGTCGGTTTAGTGGTGAATTTTGACCACCAGGTGTTGGTATTAAATCCTTCTCCAAATATTGTTCCTTAATACTTTTGCAATTACCGACGACCTGAGCTTCTCTTTGGAGGACATCTGCACGATGTTTGATGATATATCTAAAAGGAGTGACAACCTCACGCTTGCACAGACGAAGCTGGTGAGTCAGATGACATTTGACCTGGCGGTGGATCGTCTACGCGGAGCAGCTACCTGAGATATAGAGATACCGTGGAGTCAGAGGAACATCTTACTGGCTTTGTGGAGGAGCTCAGTGGCCTGCTGCTGGACTCGTTCCCTGCTGCCGTCTAGTTCATACTCGGTGTCCTTCAGCTGCATCACCCAGATTTCTCCGTCCTGGATGGCCTCCTCCAGCTGCTTGTGCAGGTTCTGCATCAAACACACAGAAACCCGCAGGTGCATGCCGTATCTTCTAAACAACACTATGTTTTCATCCCATTTAGCCCACCAAAAAATACTGTTACTACGGTTTGTGGGAGGAGCAAAAGCCGGCTCGCCTTGGCATCATTTTCATCTGGCAAAGAAAAAGTGCAGCAACACACACACACACCTTGATAGTTCCCTCCGCGTTGGCCAGCGAGGTCTGCAGCCGGTTGGTTTTGTCTCGGTTCTCTCGGGCCTCCTCGTGCGCTTTCTGGAGCTCACTCCGCAGCTTGGACAGCGAGCGCTGCAGCGCTGCCTCCTGAGCCTGGAACTCCTTGCGAAGCTCGACCTTCACGTGAGCAGAGAAGGACATCGATCAGCCCGAGACCCGAAGACATCCTCCCTCTGGTGAATCCACGCGATGCCCCCTGACCCGGTTTGTATTAGTGCCACCTTTTACTTGTCATTTTTTTTACAGATTTGTCGTTGTTTTCTCGCTGTTTCACCTCGGTCCTTTTCCAGGCCAGCAGGTTCTCCGTGGTGAGCTGGTGGGTTCTCCTCATGGCCTCCAGCTCCCGCTCGTAATACTCCTGAGCTTTGCCCAGCTTGGCCTCGTACTCCTCCATCAGACGCACCTTGTCCCTGGTTATCTCCTCCACCCTCTCCATCAAAGACTCCACCTACACAGGGGGAAAAAAATGAAGAAATGAGAAGAAATGTGTTTGTGTTGTGACTCAGAGGGATATAATGAGCACCTTTACCATCATATCTGTTTATTTTTTATATGAATATTTATTGATTTATTGATCGTTATACTGGATATTTAACAGTTGAGAAGAAAGGAAAAATGTGAATAAAACAAGGGGATGACATGCAACAACGGCCCGTGGCCAGATTACAATCACATATATGCTATATATTATATTCATAAACCAACTGCGCCTACAAAACAACCCTATTTTTTACATTTGTAAAGCCAAAAACACTCAAGAAGCCTCCAACACAGCGACTACTCCATCAAGTAACTTGCTGAACAAGCTCTCAGAAGATAAAATGCTTCGATCTTCCCAGAACACATCTGTCTTCCTTCCTCTCTCGCTCTTGTCCCACCTCTTGTCTATGGAGCTCGGCCAGTTTCTCCTGGTCCTCGGTGGAGGTGGCGCTCTGGTTCTGCTGGTTGTTGAGGAGTTCCTCCACCTCCTGGCGGTGGGTGGCCCTCAGCTCCTCCAGCGCTCGCCGTTTATCCGCCTCAAACTGGGCCTGAGTCTGGCTGAACGCCCGCAGCTTTTCCTCAAAATCCCGACGCATCTCCTCCACCTATTGAAACCACGAGACATGAACTATTCCGGTTGAATCGCTCGGGTGCTGTTGCCAACTCGGTCTCAACCAGCGCCAAGCTAAATGCCCACAGCATCTCTTGAAAATTCCTCTGTAATGATTGGAAAAGTGCAGAATACTTAATTCTATTACCTTCTGCTGTCAGTAAACTTATTTGTTATTTCCCTCGGGGCCAAAACAAATGCTTGCAGCTTCTCTAACGGGTTGAAACGACAGGTTGTAGTTACATCAAAAAGATCTGACGGACAAGAGGTGGGAAAAAAATATACAAAAATGTATTATGGGATGGGATGTCATGTGATGGGATGTCCTGCGATGGCGGCAGGCCGGTACCAGCTGGGAGCGGACAGAGCTCATTCAGCCACCAGCTCGTCACATCGACGCAAACTTCAGGTGTTAATTTATGCCCAGCGATCAGACAGAATGGTGTGATATGATGCATGAGGTAATCCTGCTTAGTCATCTTTTTACAACTACATAATGTCAAATTATCTAGCTTTTCATTCTTTCAATTTAAACAAGTGGCGTGCACAGTGGTGGAGCAGCACACGGCGTGCATTAGTCATAAAGCTGGTGGGAATAAGTGGCATGCTTGCGAAATTGTGCTTCGTCCCACTTAAAAGGAGCTCAATGTGAAATTTGGGGTAATAATAAAGCAGCAAGCAGCTATTTGCTATGTCAAGACACAGTGGGCAACGGCACCCTGAGCAGAGAAAGAAGCCGATCGCTGGCGTTGCCTCAAACATTTAATCAAAAACATTCAATAATGTTAATAGTTATAATAGTAATAATATAATAATGCTAATAGTTACTTCACGTGGATTTAAAGTCACTCGGAAGATCAAAGAAATAGCTGCTTACCAACCTATGGCAATAAAAAAAATCCCCCAGCCATCAAAAAAGCCCAGTAAGTACGTCTTTTTGTTTGTACTTACCTCCAAACTTGACCTAGTTCACAAAAACTTGTGTGTGTGTGTGTGTGTGAAGCCGTACCTCTCTGCTCATAGAAACCACTCTCTGTGTGTGTTGGGCCTCCGTGCAGAGCTGCGAGTCCTCCATCCTCTGTCTGTACATCTCAAACTCCGCTAAGGCCTGAACGGAAAACGAAAGCAACCAGCAAGTGAATGCAAAGCGCGGCGATAATTCCTCAGGAGAACCCGAGGCTGAAGATAAGGACACGAGAACGAACTAATGCGCCTGCGAGTGACCTGTCGCTTCATGTGCTCGTGAAGTTCCACAGATTCTTCCAGGCTGGCCAGCCGCCGCCTCAGGTCCGCCTCGTCCACCATCTTACTCTTGTACTGCATGATCTTGTCTCTGGTTTCGGTTACAATGTGTTGGACCTGAAAAGCAGGGGGCGAAGTCAATATTTTGTCAAGACAAAAAATAAAATATGTTGTGCCGACGCACCATGTGGAGGATTTCCAAACCCTGAATAAGAAGTGGGTTGAAAATAAATAAATAAATCTGGGAGGCTGCTCGGCAAATGCCGTCTCCAAATGTTTCTTGGCAGCGGAGAAAAGACACACTCGGAATGTGTAACACTTATTAGGCACCATGAGGCTCTAAAGCTTCTATCTAAAGGCAATACGAATGAAAAAAACACTTTCGGTTTCAGTTTCATTTGTGTCTTGTGCTTAAAGAAACTTGAGCCAGAGATCATTTGTATCTACGGCCGCCAGTCCATAAAATAAACTATACATGAATATCAAAGACACAACTGCTGCATGAAACAGCTGTTGAAGCCTGGAGGTAGTCGAACAATATTTAATTCAAGGTATCAAGCAGGAATATGACACACTAATCAAACAAATTATAGCGGATGGAGCAGATATTCTACCTGTGACAAATTAAAGGAAAAAGCAGAATGAATACAGATGCCAGTAAATAGTGCACGATGAATATCAAAATGATGTGGATCAAATCCTGTTGCCATTCAGTCACTAAATCCAAAGCAATCTGAAAACATAAAGGAGATTACGCAGCTACGAGTGAGACACCACCATCATCAAAGCACCAAATGGGGTCTTTTTTAGACCTGGAGAGCACTGGAGCTCTCCTGAAGGGTCCTCAGGAGGGGATTCATCCTTCCTGCGTGGACACTGACGCACGTTAATCCACTGAAAAGGGGCGGGTCTTCAAACCTCCACCGGTGGGACGCTAATCAATCTTTACCCCATCGTCATTTAAAGGACACGGTGTCCTCTTAATTAAGATGGAAGGTGCTCCGTTGTGTTCGTACCTCGTCCTCGTGGGCGTCTCTCAGAGACTCAATTTCCTCCTCGTGCTCGTCGTTCTTGGTGTTGAGGGCGTAGATTACCTGCAGACAGGAAGGGAATTAGACGTCAGAATGAAAGCGCGATGAAAAGCTCCTACAACTGTTTTCATATCAGATTAATCAGCTGCGCTCGCCTCGACACAGTGTCAATATCAGACTGCATCGAAATCAATACTAATAGCATCGGGAGAGGAGGGAAATAAGAGTCCCAAGGGAAAGTAGCCTTTTTTTCCCTCACAAGTCAAAAAATCACCAACAGCTCGCACTCCCTCTCCCCCCAGAAAGGAAGGTAGGTGATATGTTCTGCAGGTAAAATGCAGCAGTGTTTAAAAGAAAAGAAGGAAAGTTGAAGCCCCGTGTGAGCAGCTCAAATGCCGCCCTGCAGAAGCTTCACCGTATGTTCCACTAGATGCAGAGGTGTGTAATGAGCACATGCGTGGTGATTATGCTCCATCAGGCATAGTAAGAAATGCATGTAATTATTACTTACTGGAGTCAGATGGGAATTTTCTATTTCATTAGAGGGCCCTGTGGTACTCGAGCGCTGCTGTAAAACATCTGCTCCTCAACCCCTGACTACAATTATTTAGAGTGCAGATTATGATTATTAATAGTGACAATGTTGATGATGATTTAGGTGGCGTGGACTCTTGGGAAACCGTCATTGTCCATTTGATTTGCTCAACGTGCACTGTCCTGATTTATATTCTTACCACACTCTGAAGTGCTTTATAAACATTGGAAAATATCTTTATTCAGGATGTGAATAACCTGAAGTGGCGGTCCGGATGTATTGAAGGAAGCGCGACCTCTCAAGAACCAACTCAAACCAAAAGGTCACCGGACAGAATGAGAAGATTTAACCGTCACACACCTGAACAAGTTGGAGCGATTGTCTGCTCAGGAAAATTTGCCCGCCACCCTAAATCTGTTAAATAGATTCCCAGCAGCCAGCCGGCCTCGGAAACCATCCCTCAATTATACATGATTATTTTTATGCCGCTGCAGCGCCTGCTGCTTTCATCTCCCTCTCCTCTCCTCTCCCTATTGCTTTCATCCTTTTATCTCTCCCTCTTTTTGTTCAGTATCTCCCTCTGCTTCTCGCTGCACCTCCCAGGAGAAGGGATGCTTCACATTACTATTTGTGTCTGCAGTCACACACTGAAGCTTGTTCTATTCCTTCGCTCAGATGTCTTAAAGGGATTCGGGTTGCAAAATACATTCAGCAAATGACAGAAAATCCCCCCAAAAATTGGAAAGATCAATGACATAAACATGATTTAGGGGATTTTTCAATATGCCGGAGGTATGATTCCTTTAGTCAGTGATGTCATATCACAGCTGGAGGCCGTGGTATTAAGGAGGCAAAAAGGAGACATTCCCTGCGCGAGGTAATGGAGGTATGTTTAAGGGTTGATGGCGCTTGTTGCTCTTACTTTGTGTATATTTCTTAAGAGAATTAAGCATTAAAGTGCAGTGAAGAAGCAGGTGTTTCAATAAAACTTTTTGGCTTCAGCCATTGAGGGAAAAACCTTTATCCACCCTGACAACAAGGACAACCTGGACGAGGCGTCGATCCATCAAGCCGGCACAGAGCAAACACGTGACACGTCCTGGATACAACAACTTTTACAATAAAAGAATGAGTGTAAGAGTGACAGCAAACAGCTTCTTTTCTAACGGAGGTTGGTGTGATTTCCCCCGAGCTGCTTCTCCTTCTAAAGGAGCTCCACCAGCAGAGCGAGGAGGGCTTCCATGTATCTACACGTTGTCACACGTCAAGGTCTTTAAAATAAGGAAGATTCTCACGCCTAGAACATTGTAAAAACCATAACATGAACTTTCAAATATTGGAACTATTACAGCGCACTAATCACAAGGCCAATTATCAACCTCGACCTTCAGAATAACGATGTCCGAAGGCGAGCCACTGCAGCAGTTGACGCCGACCCCTCTCATGGTTTCCTGAGGATTACCATCATGCTCGGTAATGACGGCATTAATGAGTCCAATTCACAGAGGTGCTGCCGTCTTAACGGGTTTATACTCCTCTGTTTTTTCCCCCATCAGACACCTCGTCCGGTCGTGGCCCTTCGCACCTGTTCCCTTCTGTCGCTGTCGCGCCGCCTCGAGCGGTGTGAGAGACAGAATCCCAGATGCGTGGGTTCGGAATGTGTGCAGCTACAGACTGGCTGGCAATCGGAGTCTCAATCAGAGCTGTCACAATAACTGTCTGATCCACGACCACGCTTTCATTCTCCTCATCTGGTGTCTTTGTTGGCTGCGGGCGAGGGAGGAGTAAAAGCTCAGTGCGGATATCAAACCTCTTTAGTCCCGTGTGCTGCAAAGCTGCAAAGTAGTAAACGAGGCCGACGCTCGCGTGTTGTACGACTATGTCCTACTTTCTCCCTGCGGTACCTCAAAGCACTGCTGCGTGTGGATTATCAGCGGAGACAATGCAGCACCTGAAGCTGAGCGTGAAGAGAAAAAGGATGTAGCTTATGCAAGAATTACCAATCCCTAAATGGAGCAACACATCATCTCCAGAGAGGAGGAACACATGCAGCGCAATGAGCAGGACCAACATCGTGAATTTTTTAAAATAGCAAGCAGGTCCAGAAACACCACGCAGTGAAGTGCTCTGATCAATTGCTCTGCCAATGAATACATCGTGTGACTGATTCTAAACCCCAAAATATTCATTCTGCAACTGTATAACAGAGAAACACCTCACATTAGGCAGGCTACTTTTTCCCCTGCTATTTTTGCATAAAAACCTGCAATCCCAAATAGTTGGATTAGCTCTGATTGAAGTGATTGATCAGCTGACTGAATCAGCGTGAGAACGCCGCGCATCAAACGCAACCTGAAGCAATACAGGGCAATGAATGCAGCGACTTTAACAGACTCATAGCCCCCCTCAGCCTCGTCTCTTTGACCGCAGTAAAAGGTTGACAGCAGGCCCCGAATGCCCTGGACGGGCTGTCAGCTTTCTCCCCGTCACCCTGGAGTTCAGCTAGTCTGCATTTCTCTTGTGTGAGGAGCACAAGCAGAATCCATGTTAAGCCCAGCCGCGTCCCCAATATACGTTCTCTGACAGCCTTCCGAGTGTTGAATCGGCCGCTTGTGCCGAAACTCCTCGACACCGAAAGCTGTTCTGGTCAACCGCGGCCTTATAATCCTCCTGGATGTATTTCCGTTGCCGTGTGTGTTCATCCTGCTGATCATATCACCGGGGCCTGTTATGTAAAATCTCCCGTCCTCTTTTGTCTCCCTCCTATACGGCACGATCAAATAACCTGGTTCATTCACATTATATTCACCCTTTCACAAAAGTCAAAAGATGTTGTAAACGGTGTCTGCCACCTTAAATCTTTTAGTACAGCGCGACACAGAGCCCCGAGTTTGGCACACCGGATTCAGGTGGAGTACAAAGACGCAGCTCTGCTAAACCTCTGCGTCCCTCCGAGATGACATGAATTCACCGGCCCTTTGAGCAGCCGTGGAAGCCCTGCGATGGCTGGGAAGCGTGCGCGGGTTAAGCGGGGTAGAGGGTAAAATTACAGCCCACGCAGCATCTGTAAGGCTCTCAGCTGTATCGGTGGAAATCCCTCACAGAGCACAGTCCGATCAGTTGCAGGGAGTACAAGCAGAGCAGAGAGTACTAGCAGCCTGCACGCTGTAGTAAGTATTCACAGGGAAACTCTCTCGAGGCATGCATCAAATGCACCTCTGCGTCATAACAACGCCTGGCATCAGTATTTAACGGTGACCTATGACCTCTGCAAGGGCAAGGACGCAGAACACTGCGTGTAAAAACAAAAACAACAACAACTACTACTACACAGGATACCAACACATCCACATGTTTACACATGCCATCCCGACACCAGACCCTCGCAGCACTCCTCCGTCTGCACCCCCCCCCCCCCCCCCCCAAACCCGAAGCCCCCTAAGGACCTTGGTCAGCTGCGCTATCTTCTTGCTCATCTTCAGGTGCAGGTCCTGCGTGTAGTCCAGCGTCAGGCTCCCATCGTAGAACATGCCGGACGGCGGGGACGGGGCAGCGTTGTACTTGGCGTTGCTGCCCGCGGTGCCGTACGGAGGCAGCCAGCCTGCCCCCGTCGCCATCTTTCAGGGGGGGAGGGGGGGACGCGACGCGTTGGAGGTCGGAGCGATGGAGCGGCGGCCGCTACGCGTTAAATCCTCCCATTAGTTAATCCTCCGGGTTTTGTTTGTTTGTGTTATTCCCGAGAGCGCGAGAGACGGGGAGACGGAGACGAGGAGCCGGGGACAAGTGGTGCGGGCATCCGCGAGCGGGAGCGAGCAATCGGGGTGATGAGAGTGGCGGAGACGCGCGCCAGCTGCTCAGCCAATGGCTGCTTCAATTGACTGTAATGCAGCTTTCGATGGATTGTTCTTCTCCGCGGGGATTCGTTTCGATGTAGACAAATAAACCTGCCAGGAATATGCTCATTTGTTTGCATTATTGTCTGTCGTGTGACAAATAGAACCGTCAATGTTGCGATGCTAGAAAAAATAATAATGTGATTAATGTTTTCTTTAATTGTCCGGTTTGATTTGCCCCATTGCAGTTTTTGAATTCAGCAAATAAAATGTAGAATATTTGAATGGATTTAGAAAGGGAAGAAGATCAAGTTTGAACTGGAGAACACTCCAAATGTTTTTTAAAGTATACAGTGTTTAAAAAAAGAAGATGCCAAAAATGAACAGTCTTCTCATCAAGACTTCAGTGCATTGCGTCACTCCAGAGATGCTTAAGTTGTGAATGATCCTCCACTGACCTCTGCTGGTCTTATACATGCACTGCAGGGACGTTTATATCAACTGTCTTTCTGTGATTGATCGATTGCACACGAGTTGATCTGTACTCTGTTAACTAAACATCTTGCACAAATATGTAAAAATAAAAAACCTCATACATTTGCAAATAAACTAAAAAAATTGGTAAAAGCTTACGGCTTTTTAGTACGCATTTAGAAAATTAGCTTTCAATCTGTGAATCTAATTGCATATTGATTGATCAATCAATCCAATAATTAGCGGACCGGTGATTCCTTAGTGTTCCTTCGGGTGCCGCATGCTCCAACAAAGGGAATGACCTGCAGGCAAATTACATTTTAGATTATTGCCATTGTTTTCCATTATTGCTTAAAATACTTTAAATGTCTCTTCACTTGAGCCTTATGGCCTGTAGATGGCACTACCCCATTTGTTATGCTGAATCCGAGCAGCGACCAGCTTAGCATTGCGATGTGGTCATGTAGAGTTATTTTAACATCAACACCGAGTGCGAGAATGTATTCTTATTAGATGGCGAACAGTCATTAAGACATCTGCACCGTGAATTCCTCCCGCTCAGTTTCAGCTGCAGACACACAGCTTTGGGCTTTTAGAGTCGACAGCGTTAACATTTTACACGTTCTCATTTGTTTGAATGCGTTTCATTCAATTGATCTTGATGGCATCCAATTACCGGGCGCCCATGCAGCGTTTAAAGGCTGCAGGAGGATACAACAGCTCGTGTTCAATGTATGACGGTACTTCTCTACGGGGAAGAGGCGCACAACCGATCACCTTTAAAGAGAAGACAAGCTGCAGGACGATACATGCTGATACCCGATGACGTAACAAACAGGACTAATTCCACCCCATTTATTTATTTATGGGGGTGCGTTATGTCATCCATCCGTCCAAAGGTCTGTTTAAGGGACAGGGGGCTGTTCACGTGTTGATTCCACATGTTGGTGACGTGTACTCACACGCACAGGCGCATGGGATCTTGGATTCATGCACAGGTGGAGAATGAATGAATCGATCACGTCATGAATCCCCAGACAAATAAACGATTGAATGTTCTGTCCATCCTGGCATTGATTGTGTTCGTGGAGTGACACATATAGTGTGAGACATCACAGACTATAGATGTTCATTTGTAAGAAATCCCACAACTTTCATACAAAACGGGCATTCAACGGTTGAGGGGTGAGGACAGTCTGATACATTTAAAAAAGATAGAGAGAGAGAGGGAGAGGTGGGTGTGCGTGGAAAAAAAGGGAACGACAGAGAAAGCGAGGAAGAGAGAGGAAAGGGGGGAGGAGGAGGAGGAGGAGGAGGAGGAGGAGGAGGAGGAGGAGGAGGAGAAGGAGGAGAGGGGAATTGCTTTGCGGTACACCCGTGCGTAAATGTGACCATCCTCGGCGCGGTCTCTCCATCCCTCCAATCCCTCCGTCCTCTCCCCTCCAGCATCCAGGCGGGATCACCTGCGCGGTGGTCCGTGGTCGCCGTAGCACCGTGGAGTCCCGGGTGAATCGGCTCGGCGCCCTCCTCCAGGGGTTGGGGGGAGCGCCGGGGACCTCGTCCAGGTTCCTGCCGGGCTTTGTGGCCCCCGCCGCCGAGAGCCAAGGCTCCGAGCGGCGCGAGAGACGCGGCTCGACCCGCTCTCGGATGCCGGTGATGAGGGGTCTGATCGCGCCGCAGAACACCTTCTTGGATACCATCGCTACTCGTTTCGACGGGACCCGTGAGTACATCCCAGTTCTCTTTAATCCCCTCATTTCGTGGTGCGCAACGGATCTTGCAAGATGTGTTTAATCTGAACTGTCCACTCGCTTTTTAAATTGCAAAGTCCTCCAAAGACCTGCAAAGTGCTTAAGAAGATTAAGGCCATAAGACATCAGCATGCTGATACTGAAGGAATTATGATGAATGAAAGCTGTTAAAAACATGAATAATTCACCAAACGCCCAAAAGTCTGCTTGTCCTTCCAGAGGACAACTTTCTCTTTTCGTTTACTCTTGATTGACTCTTTACCAAAATATTCAAACCTGCCTCAACGCCAGTAAACCGTGAAGGACTGCATTGTTGATTAATGCCAGTTTGAGTGAGTGAAAGATTTCAAACCATTACATCAGCTACTAAAACAAAACTGATTCTTAAGTCAAAGTTGCATGTAACCTCTCTATTGAGGATTGTCAAATAACCGCAACAACATCATCCTGCAGAACTGTCTGATACGGATAGTTGTGTTATATTGTTGACTGTATATCACACACAATTCATTACAGAATCCTATGAGTCCGCCCGAACCTGCACACAAACCACTGCCAATAAACATGCAAACTGCAGCTGTCATACACTGTTGAATAACACGGTCCAAACGGGCGAACTGATGAGATGTCAGGGCGGAACTCTCTATTTTGCGAAGCAGACAAATGTCTTTTTCTGTGGAGATGACAGGAGGTTTCCTGCAGCGAGAAGCTACTGATGGCGCTGTGGGGAAATCTGTGCAGTAAGGACATTATTTTGCCTCTGTTGGTATTACAGAGGCGTCCTGCGTCCCCCCTGGTAATGTTTCACGATAGCATTGATTCCATTAGAATCTTTCATTTGGTGCATGCCGGCCCTCAGGGGAACCGTTAGACCTGAAGAGGTTTTAGTGGGGGGGGCCACGACTCATGGTCTTCACAGCAGTTTGCGGTCAATGAAGGATCTGAACCGCATCATTTGACCGCAGTGAATAAAGTAAATGCAATTACATGACATGTCATTTAGCTGACGCTTTTATCCAAAGCGACTTACATTGTATATTTAACCCATGGCTTTTAACCTTTTTTGCCCGGGGAGCAATTAGGGGTTAGGTGTCTTGCTCAGGGACACTTTGACATGGGACATGGGGCAGCCAGGGCTCGAACAACTAACCTTGCGGTTCCCGGTGCAACCCCCCTGCGCCACGACGACCCCCAATAAATGCATGGATGCCCCCCCCCTGTCTCCCCGCAACTCGACCTTGCAAGAACTGACTTAAGAGACACAAACCCACTAGGAAGATACTCAAAGTGAACACAAAAGAACAATAGAACTGCAAAGTGATCCAATGATCCGATTACAAAATGGGAAAAACAATCCATATAATAAACAAAATAACCAAAGGAAAAAGCTAAAACAACACAAAACAACTACACAAACGGGCCAAACAACTATGCAGTGTGTGTGTCTTACTCATGTAGAGCCGGTGGGCCCTTGTTACATTGCACAACATCACATTACATGTCATTTAGCTGACGCTTTTATCCAGAGCGACTTACAATAAGTGCAAAGTGCTTTGTCTCACATACGAGTAAGAATGCTCACGTTAAGTTCTTCATTCATGAGCACATTCTCGCTTCTAACTCCTGGCAGACACAGGGGGGGCATTTTAATGAGCTTCTCAAACCAAACAACTGTGCATAGCTGTTTGTAGGGCGCTGCCAACACAGTGTGCGCACTGAGAGGTAGAGGACACGCACAAAAACACAGCGGGCCAAATTGACTGGCAGAGAAGTGTGATGCCGTATAAATTCACACCAGTGACTCTCGCCAAGCGATAGATGCAGGTCCGAAGCGCCGCTGTGTTTTGATCGGCATCCTGCACCCTTATTAACGTCGTGGGGAAGTTCTCAGCTGAGCAGGAGTCTTCCATCTCTGCCATGAAACTTTAATGACTCCGGGGAACTCTGTCTACATTTATTTTCCTGCCAGCAGTGGAAAGCCCTCAGCTGGAGGCAGATTTTAACCCCGAGATATCTCAATACACCGCATGCATATTTATGAGGACAGAAGTCAGTGCTTTTAATTAATCCCTTGGATGGCGATGTTAGTGGGTCAGCACTGTGCATGCTGAATGTGTGGTGGAAGGATTGCTATGAAACGTTCTACATACATGATTCAGCGAATGAAGCCCAGCGATGGTTTATTCATGACCTGTTTAAAAATGTAGTGCTTAGCCTGTAAAATGTCATCTAACAATGTCAAATAGCATTACAAATGTATGTTTTGGGTCAAGATCGGGCTTGGCCACGTCTTCGTCTTATTATCTTAAGAAGGAACCGACTTTTAAATGTCATGTTTCTTTCTGTCCATCAAGTGATATTATGAACAGATCACAGATGACATTATTAAACACGTTATTATTACTACTACTGCAGTGATCATATATTATATATATATCAACATGCAAACACATTTAGAAGCTTTTTCTAGCGTGTTAGCAGGCTAACGTTAACAAAGAATCCTTTCAATGTGCAGGATGTTGTTGTGCACAGTTTTCCGTCAGCGTTTTTAAAATGATGTTATTTGTGCAATGAATCAAAGAAAAAAAGCCTTGTAATCCCCTTAAAAATACTGTGAAAGAAAAAAATGTGTCGCAAACGTGTGTTAGGTGGATGTGGATGTGGCGTGGCGGGCTGTCGCCGCCGGTGCTACCGGGCTTCCCCGAGTCACAGTGGTTTTGTGGTTTTGGGCTCACGCGTTATTACACCTGGATGCGAGCGTGGATGTGACAGGCTGCGCATAGTGCCGGGGGAGCAGGCGGGAAATGAGTACAACAAAAGATCACGAGAACACGGCTTAGAGCCGGAGCAGATGGAGCAGTCTTTGGGGGGGAAAACGCTCTTGTAAGTGTGGGGCCTTTATATGCTGAACCGATAGAGAGATGCATCCCCCTGTATTTTCACAATTTTCCTGAGCTGCCTTCAAATGAACATTCTCGTTTTTGTGATAAATATCCACAAGCTTGAACGACATCAAACAGTTGAAAACAGGTGAGTCACTGGCTGCCTGACTGGGTCCCCGCAAAGAGAAAACCAGGCTGAACAATGAAGGCCAAACAATGAAGGGAATCAAGCCGGTCATTTCCTGTTTCAACATGACAATGCCCCAGTGCACAAAGCCAGGTGCTAAAGAGATGCAGCGAGAGACCTCGGCTCGACCGACGCGGCGTGGAGGCTGAGCGGGAGGAAGCGCTTAAAAGCACAACTCCTGTTTGCTGCGACGTGTGCTCACTGCTCTTGAATATTCATGAATCCCTCTATTCTACCATTTAATCATCTCAATTTTAAAAAAGTAGTTTCCGGGGGAAGTGTTTCATGCAATCCTATTAAATTCTGCCACACTCCTTTATGTTGAGAATTGACAGACCCACAGTTTACTCCGCTGCTGCTGTTGTCCGTGCAAATCCATCTGTTTCTCCGAGAGGAACATGACCTCACACTTTTTGCATCAATAGTCCCAGAGTGCTGCGTTGTTCTCACGGTTGCACGCCGAGCGACAGAAAAACAGGTAAATATGAAGCTACATCTGCACGATGGCTTTCTTAGCTTAGCACAGATAGCACAGCTTTTAAAGGTCTATATTTGGTTAATCGATAAGTTGCTCTGCACATGGATTTCCTGAATCCATTTTTTATTTGGCTGATTATATTGTAATAGCTGTCTTTGTGCCAAGCAAGGTGACTGCTTATAGTTTCATGTAACTTACAGAAATGAGATTAGAAATAATGTTTTTGTGAGCATTCAAATATTACTGTGGTTTGTAAACCAGCTGCTTAGCTTCAGATGTAAGCTCCACCCACTGAGATTTACTTTGACCAATGAAATAACTTCAGAGGCATTTGTAGGTGTGTTCAAATCTGGATTTGATTTACTGGACCTGGTTAAAAAAATGTTTGTTCCCCTTTCATCTTCAAATTGATCTCTTGTGCTATTGCTCACACTCTGCAAAGGCAGTCTTCCCATTCAATTAATTACCTTTAATAATGTCACTCGAATGAATACCATGTGTTAGTCACACGTCAATTCAGTTGCATAATAAGAATAATGAATTATTCAAGTCAAACGGTTTGTTGGAGCTCAGACTGAGGCGATCTGACAACTGTCCGCTGTGACTTCTGCTGCACAAAACAACGTCTGCGATGCAGGAACAATTTAGCCTCAACTTGAAGTTAAAATGTATTCTTAATGGCAAGATTCCAACAAGCATGTACTGTTTTACTTTCAAGATTTAAATTTGGCATGTTTTGAGGCTCTCAGTACTAAAGTGTGTAGCCCATAATGGCAGAAAATGGACATATTTTAGATGGTTAAGAGGCATGGCACGAACAAAGAAAAAGCGTAAAAGGGAACAGTGGGGGGGGGGGAGAAGATGAAGTGAATATCAATGAAAAGCAGCAAGCGTGTTGAATTCTCCCAGAGGTAAAGCTCTTCAAAGACTAGAATTACACTGAAGACCTTTAGAAGGCAGAAAAGTACATCAAGTGAGAATGAACAACACGGGGGAAAAAAGAGAGCCGTGCAGGGAATTTGAATTATGTTTTCTTTGAATTAACGAGAAGTCACAGTGAAATTGGACAATCGGAGACACTGAGGGAGCTTTTGTGACACCTCAGCTCTGTATTCAAATTAAATGGAGATGCTATTGTTTGCATTTATATACTTTTATAGTATATATGAATAAATAATATGTATAACCCATTGCTCCATTTTAAACGTATTACTAAATAATTTAATAATTAAACACATTAAATAAGGTTGTATTTGTTATCATATTAAAAAACAATAAACCACATATTTTTTCAGATTTATTTCATAGAATATTTTTTATTGATTGACACTTTGCATAGTTTAATTAATGGTAATATTATTCACAGGACAGCAAACACTATTTAAAGGGTTATTTCTGTTTATTATTTTCGTGTAGGAACTATCTATTGCGCCTCTGGTGTTAGCGAGGGTTTGTATCGGCGGAGTGATACGATGTGAAGCGGTCATGATTTGTTTTTAGTGATCAGCTTTCTTTTACTTTTTGAGATGGTCATGAAGCGGTTCTGTGGAAGAAGCTTTACCGGAAATAGTTTTAATTCAGTAACCACAACGTTTATTTTTTTTGTAAAGCTAGCGATGAGGCTCTGACAAATCAGTCTTTGTTTAAATTATCTCGATACAAATGGGAAGGTGTGCAATATAATTTGGAAATGATTCCCGCCACCGGAATGCATTGTTGAAGCTTCTCTCCTCGCGCCAACAACAGGTCAAAAATTCCTCCTCCGGCTTTTGTTTAATTACTAAATAACGTTTTGAGTTTGAGTTTTAGCTCCAAATGTACGCGTGTACTGATAATGTTGTTATGCTTGTACGCTAAACCGAGCTGTTGAAAGTATAATATGTAACCGTTAGCGTTAATCATTGCACCTGCTAGCCAGATTTAGCGTTAGCATGTTAGCATGCTGGCGTTAGCTAACAAGTGGTTAACAGGCTGCTAGCATGACTGTAGACTCTCAGGGTTTATCTAGTAATAGGACATTCCTTTAACAGATCATTTGGAACTCTTGAAGTGAGAAAAAGGGGTTTGGTAAAGTGAAATAATGCTTTTAAAGACCATCATTGGGTCCCAGCAGGAGATGAAATGTACTTGATTTGAGCAGCTTTATAGTGACATTGAAGCCTGGCGCTATAAGAGCTGCCAGCCGAGCACATCTTTTGATCCAGGATTTTATATTGATCAAATGAAACAGTTGCGTGTAAATTATTCTGGAAACTCTGAAACACCATAAAGCTCACGTTCACAATTTGATCCAAGCGACACATTCTATTATTAAATTCATAACATCTTTATTGTGTTTCTCTGCTTCCCTTTCCTGTCCCATTTTAACCTTCCCATATTTTCTCCTACCAGACAGTAACTTCGTCCTGGGGAACGCTCAGGTCCAGTCCGTCTATCCCATCGTCTACTGCTCCGATGGCTTCTGCGAGCTGACTGGCTTCGCCCGTGGCGAGCTGATGCAGAAGAGCAGCATGTGTCACTTCCTTTGCGGCAGCGAGACCAGCGATCTCCTCACCTCGCAGATGCAGAAAGCTCTGGATGAACGTCGAGAGTTTAAGACTGAAATCATTCTGTACAAGAAGAGTGGTGAGGCTGGAAGGCTGGGAGATTTTGTGGTGATTAATTATGTTTAATGAAGGAAATGTCAGTGAAATTAATCTTTGATCTCTTTTCTTTGAGAAGGTTCCAAGTTCTGGTGCCTGTTAGACATTGTGCCCATAAAGAACGAGAAGGGCGAGGTGGTTCTGTTCCTGGTGTCACATAAGGACATCACAGACAATAAGGATCAGGACCATGCCGATGAATCTGAGACTGGTGAGAGAAAGCCCGGACAGGAAAGTGAGGCCCTTTTACCATTCCGCTACAATTCACATGAGATGATCCGATAGAGGCTGGGATATATCCGTAGACACGAATGGTGATATTATGGAGGGTGATTGGGAGCAGTCTCCAAGTAAATAACTGATTCTACTTTTTAGATTAAGACTAAATAAATAAAATAATAGATAGGCTAAATAATAGCCACGTTACAATCTCTAGATCAGAGTTTGGGGGCCACAGATCTGGACAACGGCAGTTTCTGCCACCTTGTCTCTAGTCTGGTGTCCTTGATTTTTCAGATGAGGAAACCGGCTTGGAGATCCATCCGGTCAGCCGGCCACCAGGCCTGAACATGGAGCGCCGCCGCAGTCGCGCCGTCCTCTACCAGCTCTCTGGACACCTCCAGAAACAAGACAAAACCAAGAGCAAACTGAAGATCAACAATGTGAGACATGCTCTCCTGTATACCTCCTCTCTTATATAATCTCCAAGCATGAAGGATTAATTTAGATTTGTCTCTGAATTATGTGGAATTCCATGTCAAAGTACACGTCTGAACTGAAACCTTTACTGTACCAAGAATAGCAGTGCTGCTAATGAAAAGAACATATTCATGCAGGCTGGTGGAGATGCTCAAGCTATAGGGACGATCAATTATTGATAATGTAAAGAAAATATATATACTCTTGATATGGGACATAAGTGTCAAGTCAAGAATTTGAGCGTGTCTTTCTAAACTGCACATCTAGAATGTTCTCGGAGCCAACGCCAACCCGGTCCCAGAGTACAAGGTGGCGGACGTTCAGAAGTCTCGTCTCATCCTCCTCCACTACGGTGCGTTCAAGGCCGGCTGGGATTGGCTGATCTTGTTGGCGACCTTCTACGTGGCCGTCACCGTTCCCTACAACGTCTGCTTCACCGCGGTGGAGATACGAGAGGACGGCCCATCGGCGGCACGTCACCCTCCGAGTGTCAGCGATATCTTGGTGGAGATACTTTTCATCATCGGTGAGAAAGCTCTGGAGTCTTTGTTGTCAGAGGATTAAACTATATCAGGCAATTGGTTAAATAAAGTCACGCGTGTTTGGTCTTGAATTTATCAACAGTAAGAATGTCATTTTTTGTGCCCTTCCATTTATAGTTTTCAATATCATTTTAAAACTTTTTTCTGGTTTATGTTTAATCAAGCAGCTCTTAAGCCACCACTCCTTCTCCCTTAATTGGCCCAATTAGCTGCCTCCAACTCCCAAAGCGCACAATTGTTAAGGAGGTGTCAAATATTCTGGGAGCACATCTGGGTATCAGGATGCATCACGTTAAAGGATTAGCTGGGTTCGTGTGGAAAACATTTGGGGGGAGTGAGATAAGAAGCTGTAAGACTTTCTCATGAAGCCTCTTAGCACAGCTTAGCACAACAACTGCATGAGGAACAAATACAACCTGTTAATTAGTTAGTCCTGTGTGCCAGATATCGTGCTGAACTTCCGCACCACCTTCGTGAGCACATCTGGTCAGGTGGTGTACGACGCCCGCAGCATCTGCATTCACTACGTCACCTCCTGGCTGTTTGTGGATCTGATCGCCGCCTTGCCCTTTGACCTGCTCTACGCTTTCAATATCAGTGTGGTGAGTCTCTCTCTCTCTCACACACTTTAATATTATCTTTTTTGTTTTGAGTATTGAGCTGGTGCATATACAGTACATCCTCCATCCTCCATGTTGTTGGGTCTTTAGGTGTGTGTGTGTGTGGCAGAGGCTTAATGGCTGATGGCTGTGTTAATGGACGTCATTTGTTTATCGATGGTGCTCTCCTGCTGTCCGATTTGATAAGACCAAAACCAAAAATGATTCTGTAAAGAAAAGAAGCATAAGACCCTCAGGAACCAAACATCTCGTTTCATCTTGTTCCACCATTTGTTGAAACCGTTGCTCTTTTTGCTGTGGTGTCTTCAAGGAAAGAAGACTGAGATTAGTGTCAACAAGCAACCCATTATCGGGTACCCGGTAATGGTGCTAATTAGTGAGTACGCTGAGGACAAACAGGTTAGCCTGATGATGCGGAGTAGAGAGCTGTTGAACACACACACACTATGATGGACCACTGGATCTGAAGGAACTCTACATTATTAGATGATACTATGAACAAAGTTGCAGTTTGGACTCAGGTAGAGCTTGATGTTATATGACTACTGAATTACATTCCCTGAATGGATCCATATGCAGATATCTGGAGGATTGAATCCTATAGAGGGGTGTGATGAAACCAGATCTGTTTCAATTAAGAGAACAATTATTTGAGACTGAAACAAGCAGGATTGCAAATGCAGTAAACAGAAGTGAGCGAGGAAATCAATGAAGGGAGGATTTTTGATGAGGCAATTCTTCCCTCGGGCGGGACCACAGGGATTCTTCCAGTCCAGGATTTTAATGGCAGTGATTTCTTCTGAATGGCTTCTGTGGTAAAAACATGCAAATGGACGTTTATCCTTAGTTCAACTCGGTCTTCTGAATTATTTTAAATCCCATTTGAGCCACATGGTTCAGAAGATCTGTGGAGCAACCTTTAAATGTTGTCTCTGCACCGGGAAAGAGCTCGCGGCGGCACAGCTCACTGTCAAGATGTCTGATTAAAGTTTTCACCACGCGTGGCTGATTTTTAATTGGCTCCAGATGGGAAACTTGTAAGCTTATACACAAGATCCGTGCAACCCATGACTCCGCTATCTCTCGCAGAACTTTGGGGTTCACCTTCTGAAGACGGTGCGCCTGCTCCGTCTCCTGCGCCTCCTACAAAAGCTGGACCGCTACTCTCAGTACAGCGCCGTGGTCCTCACCCTGCTCATGTCCACATTCGCCCTGCTGGGCCATTGGATGGCCTGCGTCTGGTACTTCATCGGACGCAGTGAGATCGAAAGCAACAGCCCCGTCACCTGGGATATAGGTTTGTGTCTGTTGCAACTGCACGGAGCAATTTTGTGACGGCTGTAAAGATGGAGACTGTCCACAACAGCTCTGTGATGTGCAATGTGGAATGTGGCAGGAGGAGACTCGGGGGGGGGGGGGCTATGGGGTGTAATGAGTGTTTAATCATGGGTGAATCAGAGGCTTTTAGAAGCATCTTATGAATGCATTTACGCATCACAAGTCTCCTCCAGGGTTCTTATTCGGCGACAGCTTATTCATTTACATTAGAACACGCTGGTCCCGTCATGTCCTGCTCTTTCATCTGCCTAATTAAATGTCAAACCCTGACATGTATTGATTGCTCATGTTCTACTTAATCAATCCCTTGTACAGACGTGGTACACACGTAGTGTCCATCGCAATGGTTGCTGAGTCACGTTTACCAAAGAGGAATATATAAAAACACTTTCAAAAACACATGTGTGTGTATGCAAATAGAAGCTTACATTCTGTGGCCTGTGCCAGCACTGAAGTGATTAGTGTTCCCTTCAAGCCAAGTTGTCTCAGCTAATCAAGCAATCCAGCATCATCAAACTGGCCCTCTTCCCACCAGGCTGGCTCCATGAACTGGCCAAACGCCTGGGAACGCCGTACTTCCTGGCACCGCTGACCTCGCTGTTGGGAGTCCCCGACGTGGAGCCGCTCCACGGGTCCGCCGGGCTGCCGGGCTCCGGCCAAGGGAACGGCAGCAGGGCCAGAGCGAGGACGGCCGGCGGCTCGGGGACGACGCTGAGCGGCGGCCCGTCCGTCAGGAGCTCCTACGTGACGTCGCTGTACTTCGCTCTGAGCAGTCTCACCAGCGTGGGCTTCGGCAACGTTTCAGCCAACACAGACGCCGAGAAGATCTTCTCCATCTGCACCATGCTGATCGGAGGTGGGATGAACACCAGAACAGTCGAAAAAATAAATGCTCATTATGTCACTATTTTGTTTCTATACCCCCGAAACCGCACCATGAACTGCTCGTGTCAGATAACTGAATAATGGCTTCTTTGTGGTGCTTGCGCAGCTTTGATGCATGCTGTGGTGTTTGGAAATGTGACCGCCATCATCCAGAGGATGTACTCGCGCCGCTCCCTCTACCAAACCCGCACCAAGGACCTGAAGGACTTTATCCGTGTGCACCGGCTGCCCAAGGCCCTTGAGCAACGCATGATGGAGTGTTTCCAGACGACCTGGTCCGTCAACAACGGGATCGATGTCAGCGAGGTAGGAGGGACTGACGGCGATACATTAAGTCACTAAACGTGGTAGAGATAAGAGATCAAATTATGATACACAATAGCATCCAAAGGATGACACACAAAGGGATCATCAATCAAATCCTATTTTGTGCGCCTTGGTTTCACTGAAGGTTCTCTTTCCTTACACAGCTGCTGAAGGACTTTCCAGATGAGCTGAGGGCCGACATCGCCATGCATCTGAACAACGAGCTGCTGCAGCTGTCGCTGTTTGAGTCGGCCAGCAGGGGGTGTCTGCGCTCGCTCTCCCTCATCATTAAGACGTCCTTTTGCGCTCCCGGGGAGTTCCTCATACGCCAGGGAGACGCCCTGCAGGCCATCTACTTTGTGTGCTCTGGCTCCATGGAAGTACTTAAGGACAACACTGTGCAGGCCATTCTCGGTAAATAACAGAGCATCGCATTTTGTGTTTCAGTACGTATTTATTGATTGTCGTCCTCGTTTTAATTATCGGGTTTTTCAGAATTAGGAACTATCAGTACCAGCCGATACATAACAATGCACATATGAGATGACATAATACATAATAAGATGCATGCAATTCACACCCCATAACACATTGAGGTTCAGCACCATGGACAGCACCCCGGCTGCATCCCGCATGCTGTATTGAGAGACCTGCTCAGAACTGTGTTGATTAAGTGTGTCAGTATAACAACGGCCGCCCGTTGGACCTGCAGTCCGAGTGAGTCATTTAGTTCATGGTTCATAAATAAGTTGATAAAAGAGATGTCAGAGACTGTGTGTGTGTGTGTGTGTGTGTGTGTGTGTGTGTGTGTGTGTGTGTGTGTGTGTGTGTGTGAGAAAAAATGCTGTGGTTTGTGGTTAATTCACAAAATATACTGGAGTGAGACCATGAAGTTCTTTTTAAGAGTCTTGAATCATTATGAGCAGGAGATGAGAAGAGGATTTTATTCCTGAGGAAGTTGTTGTGAAATCCAGCAATAAATATTTTATATTTTCATGGGGAGGAAGAGCAGCCAAGTGCTGCAATCAAATTTTAAACTAACTGCAATTTTCCCATAGTCTCGACCTATGATGGGGCCAGTTGGGTAGAGGCCAGAGGCCCAACATGAAATCCATCAACTGCATTAATTAATGCACCTGGAAGCTGACACCTGCCTCCACAATAGAAGCCCTACAGAACATTGTCCTACTAAAAGTACACCGACACGCCCTCCTCTGCATCGATGAAACACAATAAAGAAACACAAACAGTTCTGGAATCTGCTCAGCTCATGTAACGCAGGGGGAGCACATTTCCAATACCCTTTTTTCATGAATAACTAGTGTAAATAATGACTTTACTGCTCACTACAGAAGCAACTCATTAGTGCACACACACGGTTCTCAAACACTCTTGGTTTCTCTCCCTTGTGCCTCGTTTTTTTCTCCCTTCCCGCTGCCTGCTTTCCTCCTCTTTGCGCACACAAATCCAATGTGGCAGTGCCACATTGGATTTACAGCAGTGGAGTAAGCAGCGAGGTACGGTGCAGTAGAAAAACAGAATAATGCTGAAAAACAAAATAGTCAAACCGTACATTCCTCCTCTGTGCTCTTGAGTGTGTTATTCTTAATAACTGCACGGTCCTGAGGGTGTTATCCCACTCCAGTAAATAAGCATGAAAGATGAAAATGCTTTCCAGGTCGAGGCGACCTGATTGGCTCGGACTGTCTGACCCAGGAGGAAGTGATCAAGACCAACGCCTGTGTGAAGGCCCTGACCTACTGTGACCTCCAGTACATCAGCCTCAAAGGCCTGCGCGAGGTGCTCGGCCTCTACCCCGACTACGCCCAGAAGTTCATCACCGAGATCCAGCACGACCTGACGTACAACCTCCGGGAGGGACACGACACCGAGGTACGAGCCGGGCGCAGGACATGAAGCTGCAGCACAAGTCTTAGTTGTGACGGTTAAGTTGGGGACAATTAAACACATTCAGTTTAGCGCATCCATCCATCTCCTGTCACTTATCTGGTTCTGTGTGTCCCGGATGTGTCGCGCTTTCCCTCCTGCACGGAGGATGTTCTCACTGTGGATCACGCCGAAGGCAAAATATCAGGAAAAATCAGAGAAAATGCTAATACACATCATTTAAATCTTGATTAGTTAGGTTGTTTATATTTATTATATATAGAATTATTCCCACATAAGCCACCAATTCTGGGTGAGACCCACAGGAAGACGCTTTCTGTTTTCTTTGGATTAGACTGAGATGTGACCTCCTGCACCCGTTTTTACGCAACGCCGGAGTGATGCACTTGAAGGGGGATTAGCCATCTGGACGGGGAGCGAGGACGGAGACGCAGCTTCAGCCAGCAGACATGAGCTAAACATGAATTCAGAAGCCGGGGATTTCCAGATGGAATCTCAGCTGTAGTGTTCACATGAATAACCAGCGTGTACTGGAAATAACTAAGTCACATTTCGCTGTGAGTAAGCTCATTAATTAGAGCAGAGGTCCCAGAGAAATGCCAGGGGACGATACATCCAAACAGACAAAAAACCTGTTCACTGATAACTGGTTAAAAAAACACTAACAAGCAGATGCAGGTAAATAAATAAGGATGTGATTCAGTTATAGAGGGAATCATAATGGGCAGCTGTCATTTGAGCGCGGCTGTCAAGCCTCAGTTGGCATTGTTAAGTTTACTAAAGCAAAGGTTAATTAATTGTGCTCAGAAGTATCAATATAAGCCTTCCAAACATAAAAGCGCAAATATATGGCGCAAACAAATGGTGCTGTTTATTGTCATCGAGCTGAAAATAGAGGTTATTCCACCACATTAGAAGTGGCCGTGTTTGACACAAAGCCAATTCTCAGAGGTGGAAATGAATTGCGTAGATATCACATAACAGTGTGTAACAACAGTCATAACAGTAATACACCTGCTCCTGAAAGTTCTTTCATGCAGCATGTTGGGAATATCAATAGACTGTTCTGTGGGCAGACGTCGTCTGTAACATTACTTTCCTCTACTCTTTGCTGCTCTTGCTGCTCTCTGGCCTTTTTATTATACTAAATTTATTCTCCCCATCTCCTCCACTCGAAAATGTTCAGTCCTCCGAGCCAGTTTGATTTATTAATGCGGAGTTTGGGCTCCGAACCAAACTGAAAGAAACTGAACGTCAACATGCACATAAAAACTTTCACGCAAACTTTCATAAAAAATATGAATGCAGAACACCAACAGCAGTTTTTCCTTCTCCCCTGGGAGTGGGAGTAAAAATAGCGCTGTCGGGGGCGGGTTGTCCCTCGCCAGATAAATATAGAACAACAACCAGATGAAGACAAGACCCGAAAACATCAGGATGAAAGGAGGAGGAAGAGGCAGTGAATTTGCATTCACGTGCCGACACACGCATGCACGCTCACATCAAACACCGCAGGGATTCACACATGCGGCTCCCGCACAGAAACAAACCATAACGCCGCACATTTGCTGATTCAGAATCACACACATGCTCATTCACATGTAAGATACACGCGTTGGCCCGTTTCACATCACAGTGTGCAGTGACCGTATTTCAACATGCAACTCTTTCTTTACGCCTGCAAAGACACGCGTGGAATTTGGTGATGCCCTTAAAGTGGCATGCTGCAAATCAAGGGTGCCACGTGCAGCTAACGCACACAGACGCACACAGACACACACACACTGGAATTCAAAACACTCGCTTCTCCGCCCGGTTCCCTTCAGGCAAACCACTGCTAAAATTAAACCTGCGATCTAAAAATACCAGCCGAGCGTGTGAGCCTAAGACAGGATGGGTGAGACAACAAACGGAGGGGAGAGAAGGGGGAGGGCTGTAGTGACTTGGGGAGGGCGTGGTGGGGGCAGGCGGAAATGGGATTTGTTTGCTAGTTTTTTAATCAGCTTATAATGCCAATAACCTCCCACGTGCCACCAACAACAATCTGACTGCAGATATATTCCACTTTTGTTACCGTCTGTTTTGTTACTCGTCAGGAGTCATAACAATCTACAAAGGTTGAATCTTTTCAACTTAATTATGGGAAAATCTTTGGAGGAGCTGAGTGTCTTTGTCGTGTGCTTCGGTTGTCAATGGGAGCGCTTCTGACAAACTGAATGGACAGCAGCAGCATTGCAGCTGTTGTGAATGGCAACTCTTGGCGCTTTCAGCGGCGCCCCCTTGTGGCCGCAGAGTAACAGCAACATATTGAATTAAAAGGTGAAACTAATGTCTCTCTCTGGTGTTTCTACGCTCCTCAGGCGGACTGCGAGAGCAACGGAGAGATCCCCAAGAAGCTCGCCTCCATCAAGGAGGTGGAGGAGGGATCGGGGTCCGAGGGGGAGCACTCCCCTGTCCCCAAGATGCCTCCCCTGGGCCGGCTGGGCCGAGGCCTGCGCTCCCCACTGCGCTCGCCCCTCCGCTCCCCGCTGCTCCCCCAGAGGGCCTTTAGAGCGGCGAGCGACCCCTCGCGGCCCGCCAGCCTGCAGATCCCCGTGGTGCGCTTCAGCTGCCTGCAGCCGGACCTCAGCCCGCGGTGAGGAACCGCCCGTTTGCCGACGGGTTGTCGTTTTGGAGATCAAACCATGTCCAGTTTGTATTAATGAATGATGTAATTGGTGGTACTTTGGTACCGTGTGCTTATATATTCATTTTTCTGGTTGTCTCTTCCCGTCGGTCCGCAGGTTTGTTGATGGGATCGAGACGGAGAACCAAAGTGGTTCAGCACAGAAGTTTGATTTTTCTCCCAGTGCGACGCAGAGTTTCCTCCCCAGCCCTGATTCAGGTGCCCCAGGTCAACACACACGCACGCACACACACACACACACACACACACACACGAACGAGGCGATGTGCAGAGCGGCAAAGACACAACTACTCTCCTCTTAATTATCAATCAGCTGTTGTGTATTAATTGCATTACTGTATCCGTCCACAGCGGCCCGCGAGGAAGACGACACCATGCAGACTATTGCTATGCTGAAACACGAGGTAATGCTGATTACCAGCATAATAATAGTGGTGCTAAAGTCGGATCCTTTTTATATAAAAAAAAAACATTATAATATTTGATTTCTACATGTTGCCCAGCTGTGTTTATTTTGATGTTGATGAAGGTCTGCCTGATATTTAAAATGAAAGATTTCTCATTATTCTACGTTGTATATATGTTATGCATCATGAAGTATATGTTTCTTGATCTTTAATTAGCTTTAATTATTATGGTTACATGTAACATTTGGCTCAGTCTAAACTGTTTAACTGGTTAACCTTCCCTAACTTGTCCATCACCCGTCCATCACTTGTCCATCCCCGTCCATCACTCGTCCTTCACCCGTCCATCACTCGTCTCTCTGGCTCTCGTCTCTCCAGATGAGCGTCCTCTCCCATCAGGTGACCGCTGTCAGTCAGGAGCTGCAGGAAATGACTCGTCTTCTCAAGCCCCTCTTCCACAGCCCCTCCGTGCTGGCGATACCTGTGACTCCGCCTCCCAGCGTCCTGTCGCACAGCTGCTCCCCGGCCCTCCTCGCCCAACGCGCCCCCACGGACTGTTTGGGCGATCAATCCGTCCCGCTGCCCGGAGAGATTGACACGCTGCAGTGTCCCTCCTCTCGCCCCGTCATCTCCCATCCTCCTCGGGTTCTTGATCCCACCTGCACCGCTCCACCAGTCTGCCATCGCTCGGCTCCGCCGTCACTCAACAGCTCTCCCCGCGAGTACACAGTCATGCCACACCCCCTACCCTCCTCCTCCTCCTCCATCCCCTCTCTCTCCTCATCAACCCACCCGTCATATATCACTCCCCTTTTGGTGGACTTATCAGAGCCTGATCGTGAGCATCCTCAGTCCCGTCTCCACCTCCTGTCCCAGGCTGAGCTCACTCCCTGGTCTCATCCCCGCCTGCAAGAACCCCACCCGGACCTGCAACAGGTGGAGTGGGGGGAGCACACCGCAAAGCTCAGCTTCATCAACGAAGGACAGCCCTCTGTGTGAGAAGAGAAGATCCGGACCGACCAGCATGCCGCACAACTTACTGCATGACAAACGTTTGTCCGAAGGTCGGCATGCCAGGTGAAAATGTAAATAGGTCGATTTTAAACTTAAACTTATCATGAATAATGATCGTGAGCAGTTCTGTATGCAGTTCTGATAATAAAATAGTTTGTTTTACAGTTTCATTTGGATTTCGATGTGATTGTAATATAAACAAACTACACAGGAAGTTCCACTACTTCGCTATTTGGTTCGAGAGAGAGAGAGAGGAGGGGGGAGGGGGGGGGGGGGGGGTTCAGAGGGATGTGGCGAGGAGACGGACTGGAGGGGGAGCAGTCGACTGAGCGAAGGATGCAGAGACGGTTTGCAGAAATGCAAAGTGATGGCACAATGTGGAAGAGCAGTCACAGGGTAGGAAACAAGCATCTTACTCAACATCTTAAACCGCAGAACAGAACGTTCTGAGTCTGCAGCGGAAAAACTACCGTTATTTAATATACTACAGCCATTAAACATCCATCCATCGAGAGCGGAGACGATAGCATTTGTGCTCGTGGTGTCCTTGTCCTCTTTTACAGCCTGTGATTGAGACTTCGTCACGAGAACGCCATCCAAGATTTGAGTCAATGGTTCCTCAGCCGCTCGCGTGTTGCAGAAAGAGAGCCGTTGGATCACGCTGCATAAACACTCTCAGGAAAGTGCATAAACACACTCAGACATTAATACAAATTCAGTGGTCTTATTTAGTTATATACATGTCAAACTGGTGTTCTCATGCATTGAGGGGAAGCTCTTTAAACGGCCACTAGATGTCCGTGTTTCATCTTCTATTTTCCCACTTTAACCATGTTCTCTGTAATTGAAACATTTGGACTTTAATTAATATTACACTATGTCATCATCTGTGAGAAGAAAATAATACAATTAATGCAGCTGCTCATACAATTCAATTATTCAGATTATTGCCGTCCCAGGTCTTTTTCTGGCTTAACCTATTAAATAAAATTCCGTTTAAATGTCTGACAAAGACTTTTGTGCAGTATTAAAGAACAACTGCCAAATTAGGTGTGGTACTCTGAGTGAACATGATCTACCTTCTAGGTATTACAAAATGTTAAAAAATGCAGAAATACAAAATAATATTATATCTGTACTTCAGGTCAGAGGTGAGGTCGTCATTACCATTGTCACCACAAGGGGGCAGCATTTCACCAGGGGAAAGAAAGCAAGCGCCCCTCGTCTACGTTTTCTTCTGTTTGCGGCAGTTAAAGAAATAAAACCAAATATCTTAGTCGCCATAAATTGAAATCAGAATCCAGGTTCAGTATGAAATAATAGTTTCCTCGGCGCCACAGTGAACAGGTAATAAGAGCTGGTCTCAGCCTGGTGAAAGCACGCTTTAATTGCATTCCCTCACACACACACAGACACAAACACACACTTGTGGTGAGCTGTCAAAGATACTTACGATGATGTAGGACAGACAAGTGTTGGCAGTTTACACGCACACACACACACACGCACACACACACACACACACACACACAGGGAGACCAGGAGAGGAGGAGCGACAAGAAGGCAGACAGGCGAAGTAGTAATGATAGCTGACTATTCTTCCATCCAGAATAAATGAAGGAAGGCTGACCAGCAGCCTGCGATTTGGACAGACACACTAACAAACATATTATGAATTTTGAATCCGATGGAAACTCAAAAAAGATTTTGATTATACGTCTCAATTTTGAAGTCAGGGAATTTTGATTTTGTAAAAGCCACAAATGTTAATCGGAATTAGGAGAATATATTGCTAATTTGTGAAATGAGGATTCAGCATTGAAATATGTATGAATGAAACTGAACATCTTTGCAGGCCACTATTTTTTATTTGTTATTTAACAAAAAAAATACTATAGTAACTAAACTCCTCTGTTCATGCTTTGATCTGCATGTGAACAAACACGTTTAAGTTTATTCCATGAAGTGGAGTTAGAGAAGAGCTTTAAGATCTTGGTACTGAGGAAGAGAACAAAGTAGATCTGTAAGAAATTACATCACAACGTTTTTGAAGCGATATCCCCAAAAGATTTGCAGGAAAACAGAAGGTTCATCTTGTTTGTCCCTTTTCATCCTACGATCTGATCCTTTCCCCCCCATTAGAGGGCAGATAATCATCTTCTCTCCCACATCCATTCTGATCGTTTGTAACTTTTGAAATGACAAGGATGAAATCTGTTTCCATAAATCCTCCTGCTCTCTGCCATCTCAACATCTGGAAAATGAATCATCTTTTCTAATTCAGTGATCACATTATTCATTCAGTACACGACTTTCTAGAATAAAGATGGATATTTCCTCTTTTATTTGTTTTTATTAATTTGGTTCTATTCTGCTGCAGAGTTTAAATGTACTGTTGATTAGTACTTAAAGATAAATGCAACATTTTGTTATCCTCTTGTGTCTCTCTTTGGGTTTCCCTCCCAAACGCTCTCCCTCCCTCCCATCCTCCCACCCTCCCTCTCTCCCTCCCTCTCTCCACACGTGTCACTCTTGCTCTTTGCTCAGCAGGCAGCAGCAGTGTGTCCTCGTCCCTCCTCGTCTTTACGTCTCCACGCTCGTTCTGCCCGAGCGCCGTTCTCGACACAAAGGGGGGAAGCGTTGGTGAAGTTCTCCTCCTCTCAGGCTGGATTCTCTCCTGTTCACCAATGGATGGAGTTTATTCCCCAGCAGACACGGTGACTTCTTGAAAAGTGAGTCAGAACAGCTGATCGAAGCTATGGATTAAAGAGTTAATAATGTTTGTTTCACTGCGTTTTTTAAACGCTGAATTTATTAGTAACAGTTGATCTGGTGGACTTAAGATTTGTTTTTATTTCAGTGAAGTAGAATATTTGCGTTAACCAAAATGTGTAATGTGGTCCATAAATATGTATGTTTCTCAATATTTGACAGTAACCAATATTCACAGTATCACCACGGCAACAGAGCTATGATGAATTAAATTAGTTAACGTAAATTGTTATTAAATTATCCGATCTTTGGTTCAGACTGAAGCAATACGGTAATTTTTTATTATACATTTCATGTGATTCATTTTTTATTGTGTTCAATTTGAGATAAATATTAGAACTAATTCTTGACGAAAAGTATTTTCTCTAAACGTAATGGAAGGACTGTCAGTTCTTATATTTAATAATAATATAATATTCCTATCTGCTTTTCAGCACATGTGGATTAACACTAGTATTCACCATTAATCTGAAATTGATCAAAGTGAATTTCTGATTCAGCTTTTACATCTTTTAAAGGAGACTTTATGTTGTGAGGAAAATGAAAAATGTTTGCAAACTGGTTGATAGACAAATAACATTTGTAATTTGGTCAAATAAATATAAAAAGGTTGAAAATCAGAAGAGTTAATGAAAGGATATTTAAATAATGCCATTTATTGTCATATCGCTCGAGTTGGGGAGGAGGGTGAATGTGTTTGCAATCTATTTTTGTCCTATTGCCAATATTATACATTTAATTCAAAAACACCTTTTTAAAGGATTTCCCCGCCTGTTCAAGTCATAAAGATGAATACTTGACTGATACTACTGACTGTAAAAGGTCTGAAAGTTGACAAAGATAGAATCACACAACTAGCCGTTAGCTTCCAGGTTAGCGCTGCTAAACTATGCAACTATAAAGTAACTGATTACTTGAACATGTTTTCTGAATTTGCCATAATATATAATCAAAATATATAATAATCTAAGCATAATTTCCAGATAACCAGTAATAATTTAAACGCGTCGCCTCAGAGATCCATGAAAATGTGATGTCAGTAATGTTTTATCACATACTAATATGATTTAGTATTATGATAAAATGTTTTATTCTGAGGCAAGTTGGAGCGGGAATACTGTTTTGAACTCTTAAAATATTGATGTTGAAAATCAATGTTCTCCTTTTACTGTGCAATAAATATTGTTTAAGATTAATTTATAATTATATTATACTGAACTGAAATATTTTAACCTGGAAAAAACTGAATTGTACCAAACATTAACCCAATTCTATTGTCCTACGACCCATATTTCAATTTGTATAGTGTGTTGCTTTGAATAATGGACCAGCTTTATGGCCTCATGCATATATTGATATTTAACAATCAATATCGACTCCTGGAAGTATTAAAAGAGTGACTCCAGTGTGGGAACGTTTGCCTCTTGTGGTTCTACATGTGCGCGTGATGCATCATTGCTGCATCATTGTTCTAGAAGCTCTAAAGGCGCCTTCAGCCGTTTCCTAGTAAACAAACTGTTTACATCCACTGTGTCTTCTGTTTGTCTTTGAGAATTCGCAGACGAACAATGCGAGGACCCCGTGATTTTCGCGGGCCTCTTTGTATCCTTCCGAGGACACTCCTCGAGGGCCCTTGGATCCCACCTTGAGGGCCCTTTGATGTGTCACCAGACCCGATGGTTTCTGCTGGAATAAACTCTCTTCGGGCTCCTGGGGGTCCTCAGACGCCACTTTAGCGGCTCACGGTTCATTTAATCACTGCGAACATCTAAAATGCCGTTAGAGGCCCTTGAAGGTCTCTTAAAGACACTCGGGAGCCCCCCCCCCCCGTGGACTAGAACCTCCCGGGGGGATCTCCTACGGAGGTGTCTGTGAGCTTCAGCGGCTACTGAGTGAGACTCCACATTTGGGCTCCATGGTGTGCTCGGAAAGGCTGTGGGTCTCCTCCAGTGGTCTCATGTCAGTGGGAGACTCTTTTTGAGCGTAACAAAGCCCCCCCACCCGCGCCCCCCACACCTCTTTTAGACCGCATTAATGGTATAAAAGCCTATTAGCCTCGTAAAGCACTTTAGGCGTTTTCCGTTTGGCATGAAACAGCCTTATGTACATTTTGATTATTAAGGAAAGTTTAGTCAAAGTATGAAGAAAGATAAAAATAATGAATAAATTCCTTCAACGCGACAAACGCAGTCAGAGTTAATTGTCTTGTAATTGTTGACAAAAAGCAAAATGAAAAGAAATAACTTTCCTCGTTAAACCCTTCCGCCCCCTTAGAATTCAGGGGGTTCGGGTAGCAGCACGCACTCCAACACAGTGGATCCAAAAGGGAAGTTTCACAGGAGACACCGTGACATCGGTGAGAAACGTGCGGGTGTGAAGCATGTCGATGGTGAATAAAACCCACTGCAGCTGCACCGCCTCCACATGTCGCCGTCGCCTCCTTCCATGACGTCATTATTGACACCTTGAACGAGTCAAAATGTCTCCCGTGAAAAAAACAGCAGTAACCTGTGATTTATAGGTCACGTGACAGACTAGAGTTTTTGATCCGTCCACACGATGTCTCCTGCTTCGTGACTTATAACCGGAGGGAGGAGAACAAATGAAGGGCACAAGGAGGCCGATTGGGAATGTTGAATATTCCAAAAATGTCCTGAAAGCAGCGCATGTCTAAATGTAAGGAGTTCAACCGCCATTGTGTCCTCGTCCACTCGACGAGTGTGTCGATTAGAGAAAACGACGTAGACGGATGTAAAGCTCTCGGTTAAAACGAGTCCCACCAGAGAAGAACAGATCTTCTTGGGGGGGCGGAACTTCCAACGTTATTTTGGTTTTGGTGGCCTGGAAAACGCCCAGCAATCAGTTTTATGATAACGGGTTAATGGATAAATGAGGCAGCGTGGGAGAGACAGCTGCCCCCCCGAGGGGACCAGCGGCACGGAGGTCCTTCACTTACCTTTACCAAGACAAACATGTCGTTGATGTCACTCGTCAAACCTGGTGGGAAGCTGCTGCTGTGCAGCGAAACCCACATGAATCCAGTTGTTTGTGCTAAGCTATGCTAAGCACATGCCCGCCCCCCTCGTAAAGAGGAAATGTGTCTACTCTGCAGTTATGAACACAGACGTCGTCACGAGGTGCTCCGGCTACATACGCTACAATTTCATATTTCTTTGTCTTGTATTTTTTCTTCGAGGGAGCTGATCATTTGGCATGTGTGTTTTATTATAATCACGCAGCGCTTTTGGGTCTCTGGCGGCTTGGCGGTCGGACCAGTGGAAACCACACAGTGGGGAGAATAACACCCACCGAGCAGGTTTATGTCGACATGGTTCATAAACTTTGGGGCTTTTTCTGCTTTTAAATATTTTCCTCTGACAGCCGAGGAACCGATTTTATGGTTGTAAAACAAAAAGGAGAATTTATATGTAAAGATTTACGGTGACATTGTCGTATAGGTACATTATTTGATGCTTTTACTTTTGGGCCCATGTGAGCCTCAGCAGATTGCATCATTAGAGTGTGCAAGATTAGAAAATGACATTCATGGGACGTAAAGTTGTGATCCGTGACGTGATCTTGAATACTCGGTTCCTATTGGTCAATTTTGATATATTTCTTTCTCGGTAGCGTTTCCTCCGACGGTGCTTCGTCCCGTCTGTCATCGTAACCTGTGTCGTTTACTCCGACGTGTCCAAACAGAGAACAACCCCCTCGTCTGTGTTTAGTGCGATGTGATCGGACCCAGATGCCTCGGACTCCAGTTGTGGTCCTCGCCGCCTCTTTTGTGTGCGAGTGACAGAGAAATGTGCTCGCTGAACAAAGCGATGATGAAACCGCCTCTAATGGCCTTTCGCTGTCGACACTGGCACAGCGTGGAATATGATATGTGTGTGTGTGTGTGTGTGTGTGTGTGTGTGTGTGTGTGTGTGTGTGAACGCAGCTTTAAGCGGCATTGGAACTTGCGTTTCGCTGATGTAACAACTAAACATTCAGTGCTTGTTCGTTTTTTGCGCACTAAAGCGAGTCCCTGTGTCTCCTCCCAGCGTCCCGCTCCGCGCTCGGGGGGATGGAGCAGCGCGGGGGGGCGGAGAGCCCCGGCCTCCGGGACAGCGCCAGCCCAGAGGAGAGAGGGGAGAGCCCCGCCTCCAGCGGACCCCCGCCCTGGAAGTCCAGCCGGCGGGAGGTCAACGGCAGCCCGGCGGCTCCGCGGATCCGACACAACGGCGCGGCGCTGCGACCGCTGGGAGGTGAGGCCGTAGCACTGATCACAGCCTGCGCCACTTTGACACGAGTCCCACCTTCGTATTTCAAGCCATGAGGCCTTTTTGCTCTGATTTTGACCCCGAGTGCGTGTGTGGGTCCGTTCAGGGCAGGAAAGTCTACCGAGGCCTCGCTTGTTGGTAATGAAGAGCTGCATGTAAACTCAAAAACACCTAACACGGAGGACACTCACGCACAAATGCCCATTATTCTCTCATGCAGTTGAGAACATCATCATGCATCGTCGCACAAACAGTGTAACGGCGCACACACACATTTTCGGCTGGGTCCCCCCCCCCCACACACACACCCTCTCCCCGAGGGAGTTTGTCCCGTTGGCCGATGGCGTTTTTTTGCTCAGGGACAAAGATTCAAATGCTATCTAGACTCTCGCTGTAGGACCACTCTGCTCTCCCTCCGCTTCGTATGAGATCCATTTTTTGTGCAGATCAGTTGAAAAGTTTCTCCTTGAAATGTTATTTTCTGACGGCGCTCCGGGCTCCTTCTCCGACGGCCTGAACGGGCCGGCTCTCCGTCTGACGCGGCTGCTATCAGAAACAGCTGCAGTGTGCATTTGTCTGCAGGCTATTTTTGGCAAAAACAGTTCTGCATTTTGAGGAGTTTTTGTAACTGATGCCGTTTGCAGCCAGAAGTGCTCGACCCAATCGGGCAACCCTCTCTTTTATGGAAACATTAAGGAACTTCCACTTCCAGACTAAGCAGAGGGCCGGTGTCAATGAGTCTGAGCCGTCTTCTCCTGTCACTCTCTGCCTTCCTGCCAGGTCTGATGATCCCCGTCTACTGCGTGGTGGAGCGCGCCGACGCCGGCCGGGCCGGCGACTGCGAGGGGACCGGCGACCTCCACGCTGAGTTTGTGCTGGTCCACAAGGACGTCCTCTTCACGCAGCTGGTGGAGACGGCGCTGGTCGCTCTGGGATACTCCAACAGCTCCGCGGCACAGGCAAGTGGTAAGTAGGGTCTGTGTGTCTGTGTGTGTGTGTGTGTGTGTGTGTGTGTGTGTGTGTGTGTGTGTGTGTGTGTGTGTGTGTGTGTGTGTTTCAGATCAATAAAACCACGTCTGATATCTTTCTCACTAAATAGCCAAAGGTCAAAGACAAACTATAATAAAATGCTGGATATAGTCCAATGCCACATACAATCGTATTGAGAAGAACTCTGCAGTGTGTTGCAACAGAGTGATGGACACAATACTAACTTTAATGACACTAATTGACACCATTTAACAACGTTACGTTCAGTTGTTGACAAAAGGCATCAGCCTCTGCTTCTTTGAATCACAATCTAGAGTTTTACATTCTTAGATCTGCACAGGAAACGTCTCATGTTTCAGTGTTTCTTTGGGAGTTGATGAGAAATTAATAATTCCCGCAGCAGTTAATTGAGTATGACGGGTTTTGCCACAAGGGAAATGTTCACACGGAAGGTATTTACCAAGACGGTATTTTAAAGATTGAAGACTGTCTGTGTTGCGGCCCGGGACCAAAAACTTTTTCCCATCATTTCGAGTTTGAAACAAGAAGGCAGACGACATCCAGTCAACTGTGAAACAGCAGCCTACACACACACACACACACACACACATGGCAGTTTGACATTCCTGGTGTGTCCCGTAAACACAGGGCGCTCCGACCAAGTGGCCGACGCCCTGCGACCCCCCTCGCCTCTCCCCAAATGGCTACGTTTTGTTCTGAGAAATAAGCCTTTTCTTTTCAAATAAATAATTTTTGGCTGGAGTCGTGCATTTTTTCCCCCCAAGTGTGGTCGCAACCAAAATTATACAGAGTCTCTTTTATTTTCTCCTGCCATTGAATTGCATCTTGCATAACTTTGGCTGTGCGAGTATTTTTGAACTCTTAACTGGCAAAGGCGGGAGGGGGGATTCTTTAACTAACTTGAACATTATTGCAAATTAAAAAGAGGCTATTTCTTATTTAGGGTATATGGTTTCTGTGTTGAATTTAACAACAAACGAAGCAATATTAATAACCTTCAGGCCATGTTTTGGGACAAGTTCACAGAAACAACCCAAACTTTATTTTAAGAAACACACAATATCAGTTATTTTGAGTGTATTTGAAACACACTCCATACCTTAAAACGTTAATTTGGCACTGACAGCATTAACTTCTGAGTTCTTTCATCTCACACTTTGGTCCAGCAACAGTTTCAAATATACTCGTACCAGCAACCTGTTGAGGACATGTTGAACTACTCAAAATCATCACTTAAGCAAAGTCAGCTGCGGGACACACAGGAACCGCTACGAGGTGAAGATGTTGTGCAGTGAGACGGGAGATCAGTGACCTCACAGTGTTTACGCAGTACATCAACATCTCGGTCCTTAATGCAGAGCTGATTTGACATTTCTCCTCTGATTAATCAACTGTGGAGTCCCAGGAGAACAGGCTTTGTTCTTTTGCCCTTATCACTACCATCCTCCTGCAATGAAGACACACACACACACACACAATGGAGGCCAAGCAGGGTCTGTGTTTGATTTAGCAGATCCTAACGCGATTAGGCCTGTTTAGATTTGCGCTTCCAGTCACGGTTCTTGCAAGGTTTGGAGAATGTTCAACCCGAGATGATGCTCCAAGACCGGGAGGGGCGTCTCACACACACACACACACACACATACACAAGCAGGTTAGGTCAACGAGAGAATGTCATATCTAGATTTCTGCTGTTTAGATCTTTCCAACAGACGACGAACACATGCTTCTGAGATATCTGCGTGTGTTTCTTCCCCAGGCATCATCAAAGTGGGCCAGTGGAAGCCGATGCCCATCCACTACCTAACGGACGCCCCGGAGGCAACAGTGGCCGACATGCTGCTGGACGTCTACCACATGGTTACGCTGCGGATCCTACTGCACAGGTCTGCACAGGCCGCGTCTTCAATACGTTTATACCTCACGTGGGGTTACAGGTGGACTTTTTTGAAATCGAATGGCTGCTTCAGACTTATTTTTAGTATTTGGTATCCTCACAAAGACAAATCAACCAAAAAAATGGTCAAAATATCCCCAATGTTTTGTCATGGAATACAAATGTTTCATATTCAACAACAACCACATGTGGCCTGCTGTGCTCCTTTAACACACGGCACAGCTGTGGTATCCAACAGGTTAGTTTAGCGCTTAAGAATAAAATAACCTTTCGCTAACCTTTAAGCAGATCGCTCACTGCTTCTTTGCACTAAAGCCGATTGTTGATGTGGCGGCTTCCGCCGCGAGGTGACTGACTGTATGTGACGATAACAGCGCGCCTCGCGTGTGCAGCTTTGCGCGGCTGGCGGAGCTGCCGTCGGAGCAGTGGAGCCACGCCACCGTGAGGAGCGCCCTGAGAGAGCTGCTCAGAGAGACCAACCAGAGCGCGCTGGCCAAGGAGTGTCCCCTCTCCCAGGTACGGGACACAAAGTGGAATCACTCAGCACTCGCATGTCATGAGATATAAATGTCAAGCTGGGTTTGGTTCTGTTTCTGCCACACACACACACACACACACACACACACACACACACACACGGAGAGCTGAGATGCTGCTAAGTATTTTCCCTAAACCCATGTGGTTTCATCATCAGTTCACCACACACTTGGAGCACTGTGTAATATCACTGTAACACACACACACACACAGCATTGATATCGTCCCACGGGAAAGACTGCAAACACACACACCCCAATTATCCTCCTCACACACACCCTGCAGTCACTAGACCTGAAACAGTGTCATTTTCGACTTGTGATTTATACACACGACTTAGTCATGATGTAATTAGTGATTGGGGGAAGAGTGTGGGTGGTGTCTGTGTGTGTGTGTGTGTGTCTGTTTTTGCAGCCTGGCTCATGTGAGTTTCAACCCTTGCAGAGAGCCATGTGCACATCCCGCTCCGTACAAGTGACCACGATGCATGCTGGGAAAGAGGAGAGGGACTGAAGGGCTTTGCTGATATTTTGTTGTGTTTATTTATGCATTTGTCTTTTGTCAGAGCATGATCTCAGCGATAGTCAACAGTTCCTACTACATCAACGTCTCCACCTCTAAGTGCCAGGAGTTTGGACGCTGGTACAAGAGGTACAAACGCATCAAAGGTAAAGGTTTGACTCACGTGGTGCCGGCGAGGCGACGCAGTTTAATTGTCACATGTTTCCTTGTTAAATTCTCCCACATTGTTCAAAACTTCCACAGTTTAAGTGACCGACCCTTTAGCGCTCCTCCTCCTCCTCTTCCTCCTCCTCCGTTGATTCATCGCCTGCTTGTGCTTTATTGGCCTCACGCTGCTTTGAGAAGTGAAGGCTGTCAGAGCTCTTTTTAAAGCTGACACTCACAACTTATCACAACTCCACTCAACATCTCACCTGCCTGGCCGCCTTTTGTTTTTTTGTGATTCGTTGCTTTAAATGTGATGCTTTTTGTAGGAGTTTTTTCCCTCATTCATCTGTCCGACCCCTGTGTGTGTGTGTGTGTGTGTGTGTGTGTGTGTGTGTGTGTGATCTGCATGAGGCGTCTGTCACTGACAGCTCTCAGTAGGAACTGACTGTCACACATGGTTTGCATTAATGTCACCCTTAATACACATGACAAAACTAAATGCTCTTAACTGCTAATGGAAAACAGCAGCAACCCCCACCAACACACACGCCACCAAAATCCAGGAACAACAGCTCCTCTTTCACTCGTTCTGCGCTCACACACACACACACACACACACGCACACACAGGCACGAGGAAGGTAAAAATCTGAAGGCCTGCCAAACCTCACTCCAACTTTTATTCCCCTAATAACCTAAAATGTGACTCAACCGAACCCAGCAGAGGCGTAACAAGAAGCAGATTTGCGTGGAGACGAGCTGAGAGGCCGCGAGGGAGAGCAGCGCACGGTTGAGGAGGAGACACTTGTTTGATCTTATCTGGAAGTAGTGGAGACAGCGAGTGAAGATAGGGCTCCGTGGTAACCGCATCATCTTCTGCGTCATCAGACCGACCTGTGCTGTTGAAAAAAAAGGAAGCATTGTAGAGAGGTTTTTGAGACCAAAGATGATGTGAGAAAGTTGATTAAGTACTGAGAGATATTGTTGTGTTACATTACTGGATTCACTTTGAAATCGGTCGTTGTGTGAGTGTGTTACTAAATATGCGTACCCCCCCCCAGGTGAATACATCGAGAAGATGTGGTTAGCTCAGGACAAATCCGATATTAAAGGTACGTTCCTGTTCTTTGGAGGATGTTGTAATGTCAGTTGAGGTCTTCAGTGACCAAATGAAAAGATTAGAAATTAGACCGCAGCAGGATTATAACTCTGAATTAATAAAAGTTCATCATCGTGTGTGTGTGTGTGTGTGTGTGTGTGTGTGTGGTGACACAGAGGAGAGGGATTACGACGTGAGCCTCCTCAGCCAGCGACCTCCCTCCTTCTTACCCTCGCCCCCCCACTTGGGCTCCCTGGGCAGCCCCGGAGCTCAGTCCGTCAAGAGCGGCCTCGGGGACCCCCAACCTCAGTGTCTGCCTCACCCCACCAGCCAGCTCCCGCCCCAGCGTGCCCAGGGCCCTCCCCTCCTAGGCCAGGGCGGGCTCCTGTCCCCCCAGCTCTCCCCCCAGCTCGTCCGCCAGCAGCTCGCCATGGCCCACCTCATCAACCAGCAGCTGGCCGTCGGCCGCCTGCTCGCACACCAGCACCCACAGGGAGTCCCCCAGCAGTTCCTCCACCACCCGCCCATCTCGCGCACCTGCAAGAGCGCGGGGCCCGCCGGCGCCGCGCCGGGCCTGAACTGCCCGGGGGGCGATGTCTCCTTCAGCATTTACCAGCATGTCAGGAACGAGCTGAAGAGGGCCAGCATTTCTCAGGCGGTGTTTGCCCGCGTGGCTTTTAACCGCACACAGGTACACTGTAGTGAAGTAGCGTAGTTAACACAAAGGGTGTGATGATGTCACCGCTCACTTCTGTGTGTGTGTGTGTGTGTGTGTGTGCGTGCGTGTGGCTGCAGGGGCTTCTGTCAGAGATCCTCCGTAAGGAGGAGGACCCTCGCTCGGCCTCACAGTCGCTGCTGGTCAACCTGAAGGCCATGCAGAGCTTCCTCACCCTGCCGGAGGGCGAGCGAGACCGCATCTACCAGGAGGAGAGAGAGAGGAGCGCGAACTCCAACCACAACCTCTCCACCAACCACGTCTCCAACAGCAACACTCTCAGACACCCGCAGGTACACGCAAATCCGTTATGAACTCGAACAGTATTCCACCAAATGGCTCTCAAGCGAAATTAAACTTTCCTGGTGTGCAAACTGATCTCAGTCCCTGCAGACAAAGTGCAGCGCGTCGGCCGCGGAGCCGGCGTTGAAGTTGGACCCGTTGGTTGACATCTCGTCGGGCATCTACGACGACATCCAACAGGAGATGAAGAGGGCGAAGGTCTCGCAGGCTCTGTTCGCCAAGGTGGCTGCCAATAAAAGTCAGGTCAGTCCCAATCAAACAATGAGATGCATTCCTTGATTTTTATCCGAGCGCCCTCGCTGTTCGCCGCTAGAGACTCGAGCCTGAACTCGCATTCGGATATGATTTTGTTTACTGTGCTGTTGATAACGTCCTCAAGAATGAAGTTTAAACACATCGACCCGCCGTTGGACGTCCCTGTGCACGTGTGAGTTGATGATGTTTGAAGGAGCTGATGAGGGTGTAACATGCAGGTGTGTGTGTGTGTGTGTCTGTGTGTGTGGGTGGGCGTGTGGGGGATCTGATTACCCGCTGTGGCCGGCCATCATGTCTCCATCCTGACATAAACAATGCGGGTGATGGAGGGGGAGATCTGAGCAGAGTCTGCACTGTAAGAGGGGGAGGTGTGGGGGGGGGTGACTAAGAGAGGAAGTTTAAATGCCTTTGCTTTTGCTCGCCACTGATTTGTTACCACAGACCGAAATGGTTTGAGAGCTGTGAGACACTGAGCAACAGTCTGAAAGGATGAATCGAGGGGTGAGGCGGGCAGCACAGTGGAGAAGGAGGAACAGAAGGATGCAAGACGGAGGGAAAAGATAGACAAGATGACGTGATCACATTATTACCATTAATTTACAGGCTGAAGGCTGCGCATAAACAACAGCTGGTGGCAGATCCTGGGTCAGCCTAGCAGAGATAATCTAATCTTCACACACACACACACACGCCGACTTTTTCCTCCTGCTTTCTTTATTTCTCCTCTCAGGGAACAACTTCTAGAAGACAACACAATAAGGGCTTCATTTGTTTATTCTTTCATTCAATTTTAAGATAATAATATAATAATATAACATACGCTTTTTAGATATTCATTTTGGAACCGTAATGATTGAGAAAGAAGTGAGACTGAATGCACACAGCCAGAGGAGATGCCAATAGATTGTGAGCATCTGCTGCTTAGCATTCAGTCCAACTAGCAACTAGCAGACCATAATGTCAGGAAACAGTGATGCAAACCACACAAGGCAGCCGCCTCCAAGCGTACACGGACAAACAAACAATCACACGTATCAAATCAAGCTTTTTCAAATACTGCTTACGGAACAAACGACATCAAGCAAAAAGCATATTGTCATACATCCAGAATCGAAGGACTCGAAGGTGCAGTCATCGAACCACCGTACGTTGAGTGATCCAACACCTGAATCCCCTGCAGGGCTGGCTGTGTGAGCTGCTCAGGTGGAAAGAGAGCCCGAGCCCGGAGAACCGCACCCTGTGGGAGAACCTGTGCATCATCCGTAGGTTCCTGGCGCTGCCGCAGGCCGATAGGGATCAGGTCTACGAAGAGGAGTCGCGGCAGCAGCACAGCGACCGGCTCCACGCCGTACTGCACGTGCCGGACCAGCAGGTACCAACACGCACGCCAGTCGCCCCGCGGCCTTCGAGTGGCGCTGTCTTGTAGGATGGAGCTGTGGGTTCCGATCGGGGGATTCGTCTGTGGTCACTGGGAAGATCGAAAGAGGGAACAAATCTGTGTGAAAATCTAAATTTTTCAAAATAAAAGGTTGTACTCGCCTGGGTCGGATTTCAAGAAAAGTTCCCTCTGCCCCCCCACCCCCCCCCACCCCCCACTCCCTCATGTGTCCCATAGGTCATTGGAAATAGAAGTGGTAAAATGACTGGCCCACACATTTCCTGCTGAACACTCCTCCATCCCCCACCTCTCCCCCCCAAAAACCCCAAATGTGCTCTCCAGTCTGACCCTAACCTCAATATTATTCAGAACATTCCCTGTAATTATTGAAGCAGAGAAAAAAAAGAATTGCCATTATGTCTATTTAGGTCTTTTAATTTCGATGGACCACAGATTTATGGCGCTGGATTCCTGAGTTTGGGTGTGCTGCTCACCCCACCCTGCTAATGCGCTGAGGCGCGGGGCTTGTTTGCGCGTGCACGTCGCTCGCCGACACTTCCGCTCCTACTTCATTCCCCTTAATGACTCCGAAAGAGGAGCCGAGCGGTTCCCTTATTGCTCAGGTTCATGGTGTAACATCCGCTTCTTGAACCCTGTGAACCGCAGCAATACAAGAATCATTATCCCTTTATGTGCGTGTCCTCCACGTTAAAACCACGTTGTATTATTGCCGCACGACACGCGGTAACAATATCCATTCGACATCTTTGCACGTATAGAAACGTAAACTCCAGAATGCACTCTTTTCCCTGCAGGCTGCGCACAGACCGCCCCTGCGGCCGCCGGCCACACCGTCCCCGATGCGCGAGGACCCGCAGCCCATCCAGCTGCTGCTCCTCCACGGCTCGGAAGACGGGCCTCAGCGCGGGGCCAGCCCCGGCGCCGGCCCCAAGAAGGCCCGCTCGCGGACGCGCATCTCCCTGGAGGCGCTGGGGACCCTGCAGAGCTTCATCGGCGACGTGGGCCTCTACCCGGACCAGGAGGCCATCCACACCCTGTCGGCCCAGCTGGACCTGCCCAAGCACACCATCGTCAAGTTCTTCCAGAACCAGCGCTACAACGTCAAGCACCACAACCCGGCAAGAGAGCCCGACCCCGGGGAGGACGGCGGCGGGGGGGCGGCTCGAGGTGGGCGGGGTCGCTCCGGGTCCGAGGAGTCGAGCGAGGACGGGAGGGGGTCGGTGGAGGCGTTCGGGACAGAGGGAGGAGAGCGAGACGTGGAGGCGGAGATGGAGAAGGAAGAGGGGGGCGGTGGGAAAGCGCCGTCCTCCCCGTCCCCCTGCAGCAGCCCGGACAGCCCCCACTCCGCGGAGCAGCAGAGATAACACGAGCTGAGGGAAGCATCAGTTGATGGATGGAAACCATGAAACTGTGAAGCCACACACACACTTTCATTCACCGGAGCCGACCATCACAGCTCGCTAATATCTGAGGAACTGTGGTACCAGTACATCTAATTTGATGAACAAGTTCTTGACATGTTCTTTAGAGTCTCCAGAGCACCTGTGTGGGTTTTAAAGACGACAGTCGTGGTACAACTACCTCTGCAGCACAATCCACTTCCTTCACAGCTCCGTCAGAGTATTACAAAGGACACACAAACATGGAGGCTGTGTATTTATCAGTATTCAGACCGATGGATGCTGATTACAGTGGATTATGCTGCAGGAGGTTTGAGAAGTTCCAAATCTTCAGGGGGTTTATGTTTATTTATGTATGATTTGTTTATTATATTTTCACTGTTTAATGTTAAGCTTCCTCTAAAGGTAGGGGGGGGGACAGGGGGGGGATTCACTGTAGGCATTATTCTGGCACCAGAGTCCACATGCGATTAAATCTGACCGCAAATACTGTAAGCGGGGCGTGATGTGTTTGTCAGTAAAATCCTCCCAAACCTCACAGTTATATCCTGGTAAAATATTTAAAGCCATTGCAGATGAATAAATAAAGAACCTACTGACATCGTACCTCATGAGACGGCATTCCTCTGTTGGAAAAAGAGACAGTAAAGCCAGACGCTCCACCCATAAATACTCTCCAGGACGTCTCATCAGTAAAGCACCACGCTCCCATCGATATTTATTACCTACTTACCTTTACTCAAATAGAGAGTATTACGGTTGTGCTTAGTTTTTTTTATTACTTTCTTTGTAAATGTGAAAACAAATGAGGGAGAATAAACTCTTCTTTTTTTACAGACTGGAAGAGTAAATGAATGCGTTTCCATGTTCATTGTGATGTAGATGTTGACGGCCCAGCTGCTGAACTCAATCCGTCCTCGTATGATTGGTGTCATTTGTAACACGGAGCAACATGAGGGGGGCAACATGAGGGGGGGTCGTGTTCGCATATCAGATGGACAATCATCTCTGTATCACCGTTGTTCTTTGATTCTGTTGTGGGAAGCAAGTGAAGATCTTATAAAAAAAACCTGTTTAAAGTACTCTGTGTGGAAAGTTTGGCTTTTCAAGAACTGTCATATCTTTGAGTCCTGGAATTGTCATTTTTCCTTCCGAAGACTAAACTGACAAGAGAAGGAAACGCTGAACTCGGCGCCCTGAGTCACTTGTAGTTGTAGAAACAGTGGCTGCAGGTGTTTTCCTGTCGTGCATCAGATGCTGCAGGTAGGAACACTTCATATTTGCGTTACAGAACTAATGTCCTGGGTTTTGCGCCTCGTTAGCGAAAGCAGGCGAGTAAACGACCGCCGCTCCCTGTTCCACGTCGCGTCAAGTGATTCTTCAGACCAGTCGGCGTGGAAACCAGGACGAGAAGCGGTGGCCTTTGTTCTGAGGCGCTCCTCTCGTTCGGGAGACGGCCGCGCAGGTCGTTGACAACTGGTTTATTTCAGTGAAATCACGGCTTAAGCATAACGTGTCCTTGTTCAGTGTGTTCATGGTAGTTAACTCCCATAATATTACAACTGCATCAGTGACTGTTGGTACGGTCCACTGGGCTTCTCCTAACACAGCTGGCTATTAGAGCCGTATGGCAGGCTGATACAGGGCCATTAGAGGTGTGTGAGTGTGTGTCTGTGTGTGTGTGTTGCGGGATCGGGACGCAGGTGCTCGGTGCACTGATATTACCCAGGGTGGGGGGGGCGTGGGGTTATAAGGGGGGTGGGGGGAGGCTCTCTGTGGAGCTCGCAAACACACCTGTGATCTCCTGCTAGCTCGCTCCCGCACACACACACACACACACACACACACACACACACACACACAGTGGGCCTCCAGCCGCTGCACTGCAACACGCTAATACACACTCTGATAAACAGGCTAATACTCGCAGCGGCAGCGCTTTACACACCAATGAACACAACACGCAGTAATCAGAGGAGCAATCGCGTGGCAAAGTGTCTGATGTTTGGAAGTGTGTGTGTGTGTGTGACAGAAAAGGCAAATCTAAGCGTTTTACAGTTATCATCTTTTTTAATATTCCAGCTTTTACCTTTTGCCCAGAATGTCCCCTGCTTCATTGTCGAGGCAAATGTTTTCAACCATTTAATATCCCACGTTTTCCGAAAATAAATATTAAAAGCACTTTGGTTCATGACACACAGACATATATACACACACACATATACACACAGATGGAGAAAACAACCCCAAGGATGAAACAAGTCAGAAAACAACCACATCACATCAAAACAAACATTTCATTATGGCGGCTCTGGTGCTTTAGTGGGCGACCAGCAGGTTTTGCGCCGCCCAAAAAAGACCTTTCAAAGCAAAACAAGTAAAGACTAATGAGGCTATTAAAGGTCTGGCATCTGATGATTTAGTGTTCCATTTATTTAAAGCAGTAAAAAGCCATATTTGCTGTTAAAATACATATTAAAAAAAAGATCCATCACGTAAATTAAAAGCTAACTTTGTGTTCAGTTCTGTTTTTGACAACTTGCGGTACGGGAAATCCATTATGTTGAGGTTTCTCATTGATGGGTGAACTTCCATGCAAACTCGTGAGGTGGGGTCCCACAGGGCATCGTGTCGGGCCCCCTGGTGGAGCCAAAAAAACATCTTTACATATGAAACGGTGTTAAAGCCGATACGATGTGGTACCTCTTAATGCCTCCCTGAGCTTTGAACACAGCCCCACTGACAGACTCACAATCGGAGTCAATGAGCTATTAGTTCTGTGGTTACATAATGCAGCCGTGGCTTAAATCACGCTCTGTAAATAATTGTGTCATTGCACAGTGAGTTCGCTTCACCACCCTGGATTTCACTGCATGTCCTCCACCGGTGGAACCCGACACACTGTTATTTTTATAGAAAAGCTCCATTTTACGAAAAAATTCAATTTAGGTTTTGTTACAGTTGTTGTGAAATACAAGGTTCCAATGTTCAGAGGGGCAAAGCAGTGTTGAAGAAGCTTTTAAATCAGAGATCCCCTCTACAGTGCTCCACCAAAGCAATTTCCATGGTGTCCACAACTCAGAAGGTCTACAAGTGACCACAGCCGACCCCGTCACCTCTCGCTGCAAGCCGCTTAGAGCCGTCGAGGAAGCACAGCTGGCCGCCGGCCCTCGACACCAGCTGCAGACTCTTGTGCAGAAAGAGCCACCAGGTGTCTGCGATTTCACGGTCCTTCCCTCCTCCGCTGGTTCCCTCTGCGGCCCGCTGAACCGTCGCCGGGCTGGATTAACGCCGGCTGTTCCTCCGCGAGACGCCGGCGCTGCTCGCTGCGCAACGACGAGCGCTTGGATCCGTTATTCTAGCTTCACGTTTTATTATATGTTCGATGAGGACTAAATTGTACGTAACGTACAAAGGTACTCAGAGAGCATGTAAACTTAGCTTAGCGCAGTGGCACAAGGGTAATGTCATCAAACTGTTGGCAAGAACTCAAATAAGCATCTACCAAAACGTCTGCCAGTATCTGTGATTGTGCGTTTTGCAATATGAGTGTGCAACAGACTCTTTTGCACACTCCCAAAAGGCCTTTTTGTAAACTATTGCTTACTCTCTCCCCTTCCCTCCTCCTCCTTCCTGTATTTCCTTCCTCACTTCCCCTCCTCCGTCTCTCCGATGTCTAACGACGAATGTTTGAAGCTCAACTGGGGTGTAAACAGAGAGAGGAGTAGCAATCGCACATGCACTCAAATCGATGCACACACACACACACAGACACACTGATGATGAGTGTGTTCACGCAGGCAGCACATACTCGCGGCCTGCGAACCATCACAACAATTAGAGGTTCAGCTGCCTGTTTATAACAGTTTTGAGACAAACAAGCTGCATTATCAGAATAAAAAAGCAGAAAAAGACGCAGATCTCGAGGTTGCAGAAGGAGAAAGAGCAAAGGTCAGATGAGCGCGTACGGTCTCATTTGGGGGGGGGGGGGGTGAAGAGGGTGAAGGGGGTAAAGGGACCAAAATATCTGCTGCATTGAGCATCCTTGCCTTGCTCGTGTGTTATTCCGTAGGAGACACACACACACACACACACACACACCTGGGTAACTTTGTTTCATGAAGACCAAACACAATGGGGCCTTTTCTCAGGAGACATGTTGACATGTCACAGCGGGGGAAAAGCACAGGTGTAAATAGTACAATGAATGAGTTCCATTAAGCTGCTTCAGCTCCGGGGTCCTGATATTGGCCCCCGCCGTCTCACTGTCACGCTGTCATGTCTCACTTGGGACACTTGAATAGAAGAAAGAAAAAAAAACGGCATCGATGTCATTAGCGCCATTTTCCCTCCGGCGACAGGTCAAAATGTCTGCTGTGAAAAAGGCTCGGATCGGCCTTCTGCTTCTCACGTCTCCTCCGCCCGTTGGAGACACGTGTCCGTTCCGCTTTACAGCGGGCCGAGGTCTTCGGCGGGATAAACGTCAAGTAATCTGCACAAAACAATGTTAAATATTTCATTCAAAACGTACCAAATTATTAATTCAAGCATCCATATTTAATATGCATTTAAATTTGCATTGAATGGCAATTTTTTATTTTATTTAGCTCCCAAGGGGACCTAATGCGTTCCGTAACTACGGACTTCTTTAGTGCAGCTCAAGGGTTGCATGTGAATGGATTAAGTGTTTTTTTATCAATGCACAAATTTCTGTATATTCTCCGGAAGGAGCAAAGAAGTGCTCATCTGGATCACGTGCATTAGTTTGTGTCTCGCTGGGACACTTACAGGTAAGGGAAGACAGATGGAGCCGCTCGCCTAGACACTTACAGGTAAGGGAAGACAGATGTGCCACGCCCACCGGCCGATGAAGATGAAGACGAAGACGCCGAGCGGTCGACAGCGACCCAACCAAAGTCTGTCCTCTTCGATCTCTCCAGTCGCCTGTCTTCCCGTCCTGCGCGGGGACCTGAAGCCTCCTCGGCAGACAGCCGCCCTAATTTCATTAATTATAAACCAATATGCTGCTGGCAGCCCCTCTGGAGAGGACTTTGCCCAGCGCTGGCATCTGCTCACACACAGCGAGGAGAAAACAAGGACATCTCTGACTCCCGCCATGGGTGAAGCACGTCGGATGGGACGGGTGGTGTCCTCTAAATGCTGCTGTTACATTATAATCTCAGCCAAGTTTTGCACTTTCCATTGCTTTGCTTTGTTAAAATAGCTTTTTAGGATAGTTACAGAGACGACGCACCTTTTTAATCTTCGGGGCTCTAAATTCCTGATGGCAACATATCACGTTCAAACTCAACATATTATAATGTTAATTCAGGCAAACCAGAACACACACACACACACAGGCGCGTGCAGTCAAAGTGCAAAAGCATGTTACCAATGTGCCAGCTGTTTACTCCCTCATCATTCATAAATCATACACATAAACACACACATCCAAACACACGGAGGAAGCCTGACGAAAGGCGGTACGCTTTTATCTTATTTCTATGTTGCAACACTAAGATTAGTTTAAGAGAATCGACATTATGCAAATGTTTGACATGACCAAAGCTTAAATGATGGGCGTTAGCATGTTAATGGAAAGAGTTACGGATATAGGAAGAAAAAACGTGTGTCTGGATGGATAATGCCAAAATAAGGTGACTCCCACATTTGCTCCTTCCGAACACCACCTACAACTGCTGCTGTGGCCTTTCCTGCACCAACATGGCGGCAGCTTAGCAGGCGGCTAACGATGCTAATGGCGCTCTGCGAGCGCGTCATCTGCTCGGGTGTGTCAGTGCGTCGTATGAAGCACCTTTTAACGCTGCACCTGGAAGCGCCACGTGAAAAAGGTGAGCGGCTTCCTCCGCCACGGAGCGGCTTTAATGACATTTTCAGCTCTAATTAGAGTTAAGTCACTTAGTGTGTTGTAATGATGTTTGGCTCACAGAGCAGCAGACGCCGTCCATCAGCCAAATGAAATATTAAACTGACCTACCGCTGGATTACTTGTGTGTGTGTGTGTGTGTTTATTCCTATTTGTACTTGTGTGTCTGTGTGTCTCCGTAGCCCACTGTGCGTCCGTTTTATCCCGCACACGGCAAACACACGCACAGGCAGAGGCACAAACACGCGTGCACACATTTCTGACCTACATTTGCGACGCACAAACAACGGGGTGTCAGGAGGGGCCGGGCAACAAACAAGTGTGTGTTGGGGGTAAAAATCTGCAGGTTCACCGGGCCGTGAATCTAATGCAAAATTAGTGTTATCTGGCCGCCAAATAATTCATGATGCCGCATCCGAAACGATAGCAGAAAGACTCGACTCGTCCTCCCCGTCGGTGCGTGTCACTCTCCCCCCGCGGAGCATGTTTTATTCAAAATGTCACATGGAGCGTAAACTAGTAAATAAGTACAGCTACAATTGGCGATTCTCTGCCTTGATCCCCGAGGGACTTTTAGGCCTGATTCAACAGTAGAGAACCGGAGCGGCCTCGACGTACACGTAACCTTTCCCTGAACACGATACTTCATGTAACGCCACACCCTGAAAAACGAGTAGTGCATAAAGAGTCACACATAAACTTTACGGGTAGTACGCACAATGTACCTGCTACAGAAAGGAGTAGATTTCGCTTCGCTTTTAGTTTGCAGGCCGGAGCCCAGTTGAGTGTGTTTACTTTATTGTAGGTCAGTGTGTACACACACCCACTAACTATAGCCAGGGCCCCAGCATATAAAACCCTAAATAATAGGTCTACATTTAGAGAAATCATCGGGTGTCGCTGTGGAATGCAACACCATTGTGGTGGAGCATTTTCACAAAAGAGCAAACAACCACTGGAGAAAGCCAGCGAGGGTTTAGTGCCAGAGGTTTGACTGAATGTCGCTTTAGAAACTCGTTCATGTATTAATACCTCTTGAGCTTTTCCTTCTAGTCAAGTTGTCTGCTGTATTATTTAAACTCTCTTACACCTGTGGAAGTGAAAGACACATTCTGTAGTGAAGGGAGAACATCTTTTTTGCAATGTGCCGTCATCTTTTTCACTCTTATTGTGAAGGTTCGGTTCGCTGATAAAAACACAACAAAAAACGCATCAGAACTCTTTTAACAATTACAGAACAAGCAATAAAAAGATGGAATACTTGATAATAAATCTGAAAATAAGATCTGGACAGAGAAATGTATTCAAAAAACTTAAGACAACTCGAACCAGGCGGGTCCTCGGGTCCTCGGCAGCAGTTTACGTGTGTTTCCAGCCTGAGGCACAGGGCACACGCTGCGAGGGCCGGACGCCTCGCAGGCCACACATGATCTCTGTTTTGTCTCGATAAACAAAAGTTGACAAGAAACACAGCCGATAGAAAAGCTTTCCTTCTTCTGATAACCTAAACACGCTCACATGCAGGGACGCACACATGATTGCACACACACACACACACACATTGACACTCAAAGCCACATGTCTGAGTCAATCATATTTGCCGGCGAAGCCCTGTGATTGCAACGTAAACAAAGTGGAGCACAAAGATGGAGGACTGAGGCCTGAAGTCACCTGAGTATTCGCAGACATGAAGGTGTGTGTGTGTGTGTGTGTGTGTGTGTGTGTGTGTGTGTGTCCGAGAGACCACAAAGGGATTCCATCGCCGTTCATATGAGCTCTTTTGTTGAACCATCACATCTTTAAAAAAAACCCACTGCCTTTCAGAATAAGGGATGAATAAACGGACGAGGGGGGAAAAGGAAAAACAGTAGACTGAAACCACAGTGGAACTCGGTAATGGTCAGCCAGGCCCACCACGCCTCGGCAAATGTTTGTCCTAACCTGTTATTTCTGGCATTGTGCTGCCTCAAAGAGATCATTTTATTCTCATGGAGGAATGCGGCGGCTATAAATAGTCTGCAGATGAAGGAGGGGAAATCAGAGATTTGTAGAGTAATTACAGAGCCGGAGTCGAACCCTTCTGTTATGGCTCATTTTTCATCAACCTCTGTCTCCACAACTGTCTGACTGAAGTAAAATGGCCGTTTTCTCGATGGGAATTGCACGTCTGACCTGATATTTGACCTCTTTTTTTCGGCTTTCATCTGCTCGGTCTCAAGATTTAGGAAAAGTTTTTGGGGGAAATAACCTCTTTTTTTTGTGGACGATGCAGTTTCATCTCTGTGATGTGGGTTCGAGAAGAAAAGTGCCTCACAAGAGAAACCACACATGCGACGTGTCGCTTGTGATGCATTTGATGACAATGCCGATGGGAGGCTTCAGATGAGAGTCACATTATCCCGACGTTTCAGGTTGACCGTGAGAGACAGGAAAAAAAAACGTGGTATCGAAACATAAAGTGAAGGTCGGACCTTTGTGTGCAAAGGGAAGAAAATTAGCAAGGAAATTTTCCCGGGTCATCCTCATCTGCAATCAAATAAATTGATACAGATGCACAGAAATAAAAGGCCTTTAACACACTTACTCTCACCCTGAGAACCTTAGCACAATATTAAAATAAATCCTGCTGGAAACTGATCAATACGCAAAGCGGACCCAATAAATAAATGTCTGCTCTTTGGTTTTCGGTGCGATGTCGAGCAGCCAATCAAGTTGCCCTGACAGCCCTTGTGTCTCAAATGATCTCTGTGGAGTATGAAAGGACTTCATAATTGCTGTAATTATCAAGCATGTCGGTCTTATTTCGCAGTCAGAACTCGTTGGCAAATTCATACGACAATTAAGAAGAACTGGAGACAAATGACACGTATTGGCGTCGCCCACACTACTCAGATGAGGACAGTGTGGAGAAAGGAGGCTGTAGTGGTGGGAAATGTGTAAAACAAACATTCATGAGCTTCCTTAAGCGGGAAAGGAGATTTAAAGTGATATTTGCCAATGTATTCGAAATAGAGAAAACTCTAAATCCTGTTTCCCATGTTCTCAGTTGGAGACACTTTATAGCCTTTGTCTTGTCACTTTGTTGTGGTCGGAGGGAGGGGGAGGTGCAGTGCATAGGGTGAAAATGACAGTGTTTCACAGCACTTGTCATTAATCAGAGAGGAATTATAGCTCCACGAGACTTGTGTGGTACATACAAGGGGTCGAGGGTTGTACATCAATACGAGCCGATTGATTAATCACCAACCCACAGCAAGCTGCCAATCATGAGCTTCCCTAAAGTTGAGAAGGAGTGGCTCATCTTAAGGGAAATGTATGAAAAACAAACGTTTTTCTTGTTTAATGTGCCCTAAGGACTGAAGTTAGTTAGTTGGTCAATTATTCCCTTAAAAACCAACAAAACACTGCTTTTACTTGTATACACACACCCTCAGAGGGTAATGCGTCCAACCTCCCGCTTTTCGCATCACTCTTTATTCACAGAGAAATGTCGCCCTCGTGTGGAAAGAATATCGTACTGCACCAATCAGGAGCATCAGCGTTTAAAGAGAGTTTGACATTCAAATTGTTTTATTGCTTTATTATATTTTAAATCAATTTGAATTTCACTACACATTTAGGCAAATATTTACTCCATTCACCCATTTTCCGATTGAGGTCCTAATTTGATAAAACATTATTATTTAGCATGTGGAACTTTTTACCTACACTTTGCTGAGAAATGTCGCCCTCGTGTGGAAAGAATATCGTACTGCACCAATCAGGAGCATCAGCGTTTAAAGAGAGTTTGACATTCAAATTGTTTTATTGCTTTATTATATTTTAAATCAATTTGAATTTCACTACACATTTAGGCAAATATTTACTCCATTCACTCATTTTCCGATTGAGGTCCTAATTTGATAAAACATTATTATTTAGCATGTAGAACTTTTGACCTACACTTTGCTTGCGTAGGTAACGCGTCATCTGTGATTGGCCTGCGTAATGATGTCACACGTGACGCTAGGGGGCGCGATAGCGGCCGTCTCGGGGGTCGTACGGATCGGCGGCAGGGTGAGGTCGACGAGTGGAGGTTTCTCACAAGTTGGGGGAGCGTTCAGTAGCGACACATACGTTTTTAGGGCCATGGTTCCCTCGTCTTCATAACCAGCGTCCGTCGGCTAGAGGCTCAAGTTGTCCCGATGAATGTTGCCATGGAAGCGGAGAAGCGGAGCGAGGTGAGTGAAGCCTTTAACTGCCTCGCTGGCTCCTGACGTTAGCTAGCATGAGAATATTAACGCTAATGCAACTTAATTTAGTTAAAGTGACCTCGAGTCGTTGCTTGGCTTAACGGGGTAATGTTGTCAGTTAGTTTATCATACTTTTTTACCCGCTTGGTTTTTTCAAACCGAACGCAGCTACAAGAAGCTTACGTAAGTAGCATCTTTTGATGTGATGACGTAACGTTAACTGTTAGGGATTTGCTTCGCTAACATCAGCTTCCTCGTATGAGAGAAAGTAAATTAAACTTTGTGAGTAAACCATTGAGCATTTTGGGTGAGTAAACCATTGAGCATTTTGGGTGAGTAAACCATTGAGCATTTTGGGTGTAAAATAACGTTAAGTCATTATTTCATCTCTGAGCTAGCATGCTAACATGCTACATGAAAGTTTTTCAAGGTCAGGCTGTTCTCAAAGGGGAAAAAAGTTCCGTTTGTCATCATCACAAAGCATTGGCATTAATGAACCCATTAACCGTATGTAAGATCATTTTGTATGAATATTTGATGGTATTAAACGCGACAGGCTGCAGGTGCATGAACCTGATCCGACTTGAAAGACTTGAGTAGCAGCTGTTTATTATTTATATTTGTTGTACTTCAATGAGCGGTTAAGACATTGCTAGTATGTGTTGGTGACGCTGGCGATTTTCTTTTGATCTGGCATGAAGTAATAACATCTTTCGTACATCAAATGGGACTCGGCTCTGCTTAAGTACTAAGTCCCAGAACTCTGCTACTTTCTGGTGGGAAAGAACTTCCTCTCACGTCACTAAAGTCCTTGCTTCTTTCAATCACGTTTCAAGTTCACGCCCAGCTGTCCATCCCAGAGCAGCAGCATCTCTTCCAGCCACGAAGCGTTGCCTCCAGAGAATGACAGCCCGACCCGACACTGCCCCCGCCCCGGCACTGCCAGCCTCCGCCCCGGCACGGTTATCCCCAATCGCCTTTTTGTCGGGGGAATCGATTTAAAGGTGAAAACCGTAAGCTCAGGCGGCGGAACGAAAACGTTTGGGTTGGTGTGTCTTATTGAGGAAGGCTCGACACTAGAGAGCAGCGGAGGCCATGATGAGATTAGAGAATGTACATCAGGCATCGGAAGCCTGCTGTTGCACCGTCATATAGCTTTTGTGCCAATCATACCAATTATTTGTGTGAATTGTGTTGATTACCAATTTTAGTGATTGAAATAATCATAATAATGATAATATCAATGTGTAGTATCTCATTTCCTACAAGCTCTTTACAGGCTAATGAAGGCATTAAATGCATATATATATCTATAGATATAGATATATATATGTTAGAACTATTACAATAAAACATTGTTGACAATCTAATCTTAAATGTTATAAGTATGTTAAAAGTTTAGATGGGCTCAAACCAGCTCGCATGCAGATGTTTAACAGATGTGTCCTGGATGCACCCGACTATTACTGGCTGCTAACTGATCTGAAATGATTCATTCTAGAAATTATCCAAACCATCTTCTCTTGGAGCGATATAACCTAAGTGTGTGTGTGTGTGTGTGTTGAAGGTGAATGAGAGCGACCTGCGACACGTTTTCTCTCAACATGGTGCAGTAAAAGAGGTGAAGATTGTGATCGATCGCACAGGGATGTCAAAGGGGTGAGTTAATGGCATCATTCCTGTCCTTTGAGTATGAGAGACATTAGATACCAGAGATTATGCATACAGAGATACTGTCAGTCGCTAAAACTGTTTTGATCCTCTTTCTGTCAACAGATATGGCTTTGTTACATTTGAGACCCAAGATGATGCTTTGAAAATCCTTCATGATGTAAGTAGATCTGCCCATTAAAGTGTTCAACTAAACGCAACGTACATCGATCACTGTAGCTTATCTGTCGAAATCAGTTGTCTAATGCGGCCTCTTCTCCCCCTCTGTACTAAAGGCTAATGGAATCAGTTTTAAAGACAAGAAGCTCAGCATCGGTCAGGCCGTCCGCAGGCAGCACGCTCCTGGACAAAGTATGTCTGCTGATTTAATTCCTCTTCAGTATATAAACTTCAGCTGTAGTTGACAAATTGGACTTAACTAGAAGAGAGAGTAGAAGGGGCCGAGTGCAGGATGTGATGGTTCTGAGCGGCCCGGTAGGTTTTACTGTTTTGTGGCGTTTTCGCAGTGAAGTGTGCCCATGTGACCAGCCTCGACTGCGCCGCGCCGCGTCCAATTTCCTGGGGCCCCGCCCCCGCAGACGCCGCGTACTCCTGCCACAACGGAGTGACCTACTTCCACTGGCCCAACTCGGGCCCTCCTCCCCACAGCTGGCCTGTCAGTCCTCCCTCACATCACACCCACCTCCCTGTGGACTTAGTGAGCGATATTAAAACCAAGTCATTCTGAATAAAGTCAAAGTAAATGTGCTTCACGGGTCAAAGACAGTTGGTGACCCGTAAAGCGCTGATACACCAAAGTGTGTGAAGTGAGCACTGTGATGGCTGTTTGATTATTTGTTTTTTTTTTCTTGCAGCCTGCCCCGCCCATGACGCTTCTTGGGCCCCATCCGCCCGTCTACCAGCAACCGGCCTATCACCACCACCAGGTGATGCGCGGATTTCTCCCCATGTCTTTGACAGCAGGGATTTGAACTCCATCTAACGGCCTGCTTTTGTTTCTCCTTTGCGACCGCTTCCCTCGGTGCCCCGACCCAGTACCAGTGGAACGTCGTCCAGGTAGGAGGAGCAAAGGTGTTCCTTCTAATTTAGCTCGGGAGATTCGGCCCGGTTGCTCAGCTGTTGTGAATGTCTTGTTGCCTAGGCGCCGATGCTCCAGAACCCAGTGGTGTACTCCCAGCAGTCAGAGTATCTGGCCCCAGCTCCGCCTCCCCTACCGGTGATGGAGGACACCGCGCCGGAGGTACACATCCACCGAAACATTGATTTAACTGCGAGGACACTCGCCCGAGGAATTGTTTTGTCACGCACACATGGCACAAAGCAGCTGTCTTGAGTGTAGGGAACAATCTTGAGTTTGATTGTTAGTACATTTTGTTTTTGTTCATTGTTTTGCAGTTTGTGGAGCCGGCGGCGCCGCAGGTTTACCCGTTGTATCCTCCGACAGCTGACGGAATGACTCCTTTTGTCCTGCAACACCATCCTAGAAAGGTACGATACAATCGGCAGAGAACAGAACAACGGACCGTGTCCTCTTTGCGTATCGCTCTCCGTCTTTATTCCGTCTTCCTCCACAGAATGTGATGTTTCGGCACGCACGGGTCCACCCGAAGGCAAAGTACCGCCAGTTCTTCCCCCACGAGGACCACTACTACCTGCCGAAGGCCGCAGAGCCTCCAGAGGCCTCCGTGCTTTGCGCTCATCAACCGCTCATGTAGAACAAACACGCAGCGCCTTGTCGAGGAAACAACCCTCGACGAGGCACCACGTCAACGACCCACCGAACCGCCTGCTCGTCCTTCTCCGATATATCATCCGTTGATACAATCAGCTGTCCAACCTGTGCCTTACAACACGAGGCCGCGTCCCGTTGTAGACTCACAGCTCTCAGATCTGATGCTTTGTCGAGGCGCCAGTACAGTTGGATGGTTGAGGTTTGCGCTACGCTGCATACTGTACACTACAGTCGTTATTGTAACTCCCCCTCAAACCAAAATTAAACTCTGTGCTACTCAAGTTTAGCAGTAAACCATTTACTAGACTAAGCAATACGTCGTGAAATCTGATTATTCAGATTGGACTGTTTCTTAATGGAGCACAGCGAACGTCTTAAGCTCTTGTTGCAACGATCTGTGACGTAGTCAAGACGACTGCGGCATTTAAATGGATTTTTACAAACAACATTCAAAGTTTTTATATTCTTTTTAGGAACTCAATTGAATTTCAAACTTGAAAAATGTACAATATCGAGGGGAAAAAGTCATTTCAAACAATCACTTATTAAAAGCTGAATATTAATTTCTGTAAAACTGGCTTTAAATCTGTAATGAGTACGTTTAAGCTCAGATCGACCGTCCACAAAGCCATCATGCATCGCGTCATGCACACGGATGATGTAGCTGAGGATATCTTTCTTTTTTACCTCTCTGTGCGTCTCGAGGGGCTCAGCGATCACTATTATTTTGGAGGATATGAAGAAGGCAGCCGTGTTGATTTTTAGATCAGTGCAGAGATGGATAAGATGTCCTGCAGTATTCGGATGCTCTGAACTCGTGACCTTTTAACCTTTCAGGATCATCTGATCCACACAAAGGTGACGCGAGGAAATGAGTCCGCACCGTTGTGACGTCTTTATCAGTTTAAAAACAGGTCTTATTGGTTTATAAATGATAATAACGGCTCAATTCAGCCATGAGTATGTGCCACTTACATTGCAAGTTTTATGCCAGGAACGATCATTTGATATTTAGAAATCCCAAATGGATCAGATGACCGATTTGTTTTTAAAGTCACGTCTCTTCATCCCAGCGACTGGGAGAGCTTCTTTACCGCAGCAACACGCCTCTTTGAGCTGAATGGTTTTATTCATAAACCAGGTAGGAATAGAAGCCAGCGACGTGTTTTGATGATTTGAAGATTCCCTTGACGGTTGCGTGTCATTTCTCAATGTATTAATTAATTAGTCATTCTAGTGTTTGGAAAGGGTCTAGAGTTTAAAAGCGCTGTTTCCAATTATCAAACACACCTGCCCTCAAGTTAAATATGAATATTACACTTTAAATAGATGGATATTTTAATGATATATTTTATTGCAAATCTACTCTTTCCTTATGCTTTGATGTTTAATGTCATATGTTCAGTTTGACATACTTGTTCATAACGTTCATTTTTCGATGGGTTTTTGATGACATTTCCTTTTGTTTTATTGTGTGACTCCATGTGTTCTCTCTCGGGATCAAACTCTTGAAAGCAGACAGCGAAATGTAAAACCAAACAATAACCCACTCGGAGATATGTGTGATTTTCAGAGCGATACTTATTAAACGCTTTTGTTAAACTAATAATCAACTAACCTCACGTTTTGCTTCAATGACATTCTCTCGTTCAGTGTGTTTTCAGTTCTTCAGCGGTAAATAAATGTGTCTTTGCTAAATTAAACATGACTCTGAAATCTGTGTGTCTGCGGAGGGAGTAGTAATGTGAGGCACGACGTCATTCCAGAAGTCTTAAGGGCATAAACACATTTCAAGGAACAAGAATCCTCACGGTCTTGTTTCTTCCTCGCTGGATTCTGGAGATGGTGACGTCACCCGAGCGCCTGAATCGCCTACTGGTTTACACACGAACACGAGTTCATATAAAAGGCTCGCGGCACCGACAGCGTCTCTGTAACAATGGGAAAGGTAAACTCCTCACGTGTTGTTAAAAAAAAAAAAGACTAATAATTAATTATGTTACTAAAAATACAAATAAAGCGGATGATGAACCATTTGCAGGTCGCATTCCTGCGGGCGGAGCGCGGGCTGCTTCCCGGTGTGTGAGAGACCTCGACGCCGCCAGCGGCTGCGCCCGCTCCCGGTCCCCGCGCGGTAAGCCCCGTTAGTGCTTTTTATTTTATTTATTTATCTTTATCCACATCTAAACCTACTCGAGGAACCACCGTTATTTCTCTCGCGTGCCACGTCCTCCTCTTCGCACCACAAGCGATGCGGCCCGAGAAGCTCCAAACAGCAGAGAAAACACACCTGAAGTAATTAAGCACGGATTTTATTGGCACCATTCAGGCGGACGCCGCTCGCGCACGTCTGCCTCACGTCACGCGGCGACGCGCCTGATGGACCCCACACGAGAACTCGCGCCCCCCCACTCGCCGGAGCGCCTGTACTCCCCGGGGCGCACCAGGTACTGGCGCCCCCTGTAGTTGGGGTGCTCGTAGAAGATCCAGTTGCCGTCCCTCACGTTGCACGAGTGGACGTCGCCGGAGCGGAAGCGCTCGCTCAGGGAGGCGCAGTCGTCCGTCAGCTCCGTGGGTCGACCTCCGAACTCCGGCCGCTCGTAGATCGTCAGTCTGTGGGAGCTCTGGTGCTGCTGGGAACACAAGGCGGTGGCGGTTATGGAAAAGGGGTTCGGCGGTCTGAAATGAGGCCGCGGCCGAACCGGAGCCTACCGTGGGGATGAGGCGGCAGGACCGCACGCAGTCGTTGAAGCCCATCCAGCGGTGGTAGTCTGGGTAGTCGCCCTTCTTCAGGAAGTACTGGTACCCCGAGTAGCCCGGCCGCTCATAGACCATCCAGTCGCCGCTGTCCACTCGGATGGAGTTGCAGCGGCTGAAGTGGGAGTGCAGGTCGGAGCACTCGCCGGCGCACTCGTAGGAGCGGCCCAGGAAGCTCCGGTCCTCGTAGAAGATGATCTGGAAACATCAATGGAGGGGTTCGCGTCATGTTCTCAAAGAGGCTTCCCGTTCAGCGGCTCCGGCCGAATAACGCGCGCAGGTACGCGGAGACGCAGAAGGCGCACAGCAGAGCGAGCAGCCTTACCTTGCCCATTGATCGGCTTGCCCTCGTCACGCAGCAGCGGCCTCGGCCGTTGGCCCCGCGCGGCCTTTATAGCCCGCGGCCGACCGGGCGTCTTTGTGCCCGCGAACAAAGAGCGTGCTCGTCAGCTTTTTTGCCCCCCCGCCCTGCACAGAACAATATTTTTGTTTGAGGGGACCAGTCGGCTGCATTTGAGCTGAGGCTTCCCTTTTCCAGTTGCTTCTGGTGGACGATGAAAACACAAACACATGCGTCAGACATTAGAGTGGAAAAGTGAAGGGAAAGTCCATGTTTACATTACAACGTGTTGCTAACTCGTACTGAGGCAAATTGTGACTGCGCTGCTTATACAAATTCTATGATTACTTTAGTAACGTTTTATTTCTTCTGTGTATTTTCATCCTCCGAATATAGTCTGTTGTTGTTGTTGTTGTTGGACGCTGCTGGTCGGCTGAGGAGTAGGACTACCAGATGTTGTTGCATCACTACAATGACACTAAAGACCTCTTTACGCTGCAGGGGGCGTCCGTGACCCCGTGAGGTGAACGCGTCGCCTCGCTTCGGTGTTGTGAGACAGTTGTTCACGTCAGCGTGACGACCAGATCTCTCGCTTTTGCCCATCGTTGTTACATCCTCCAGGGACGAGCCTCTAGAATGAAATGTGAACAACTTAAGGCCTTCATGTCCAGATGTGTACTCTGTACAGTGAGGCTTTAAAATATGAGGTTGGCGTTGGTTCTGATGTACGTCTGCCATCACATTTCAAAAAAATCTCATAAGATGTGTCCGATGTGTGTCATCTCTAGATCACTGAATATACACCCACAGAGAAAATGAACCAGGGGTTATAGTGTTACCCTAAAATATAACGTGTTTTTAAATGTGCTATAAACGTTACACACGCCTGTATAGTCCATTCATTCTGTTCTTCTTTCTACGAATCTAGAGACCGCTGACTGATCAAAATTCTGTTCAGAGAAGAATTCACACAGAATGTGCACCAAATGCTTTTATTGCGCGCGTCACACAGTTTTGGAGGTAAATGAATCGTGGCTGGATTGCACAGTACAACTGGAACTACATGCAAACGATGCACAAATCACAGTTTCAGAATAAAAACCAGGCTCCTTGCTCGTGCCTCTCACTTCGACGTCTTTTTAATGTTAATTAAACAACGCGTCTGCCAAACCTATTGGTTGGATATGAACGATTCTGTGATGCGCCTGATGGAGTTGAACCTCACGTCGTCGCTGCTTATCTCCGTCAGGTCCCTGTACTTCCCGGGCTTCAGGTAGAACATGCGTCCCTCGTAGTTGGGCTGCTCGAACATCAGCCAGTGGCCCTCCATCACGTTGCAGGACTGCATCTCCGACATGTGGTGGTGGTCCTGGATGGAGTCGCAGTCCTCCGTCAGCTCCTTCATCTGCCCCTCAAAGTTCGCCCCCTCGTAGATCCTCATCTTGAAGGGTCCCTGGTGCTGGAGTGCAGCGTGGCAAAAATAAAGTTTACATTCGTAGGAAAAAGAAGCTTAACCCGTCGTCATGGAGATGACCCGCTGCCGCTCATATTTACCGCGGGGACGTTGCGACAGGAGCGGATGCAGTCGTCGAAGCCGATGGTGCTCTGATACTCCGGGTACTCCCCCTGGGTGAGGAGGTGCTGCTGGCCAGTGTAGTTGGGCCGCTCGTACACCATGAAGGTGCCGCTCTCCACCCGGCAGGAGCTGCACCGGCTCAGGTGGGAGCTGATCTCGGAGCAGTCGCCGACGCACTCGTACGAGCGGCCCTGGAAGTTCCTCCCCTCGAAGAAGACGATCTGGAGACGTGAGAAAGAGCTGCTGGTGAGCGAACAAAGAAACGAGATGCTGACCTGAAAACGAATCACCGCCGGCGGGCATCCTCCGTCACCTTTGCGCTCATGGTCACGCCGTTTGATTTCTGCTGCTCTGCCCACTGGCGCGCTGCCTTTTATGCATCATGTGACATCAAAAGAATCTGCCCCTCAATTGTAGGAAATGAGGGAGTCAGCTCATCTGCTCGGACGTCCCTCCTGTGGGATACGATCCAAGCAGCGGGCAGATTAAACTGTGACAAAGCAAATTCTAGTGATTTGCTTTGCCTTTGTGTTTTTGTACCATCATATTCTATGTTTATGTGGAGAGAACGGTGTGCGGCCATCGTGCAACTTTCATTTGAAGGTATAATACATCAGCAGATACACCACATTCTCCTTTTTACAAATTTAGTAGTTAATAAAACAAGGATCGTTGCAGCTGTACTTTGTCTCGTATGACTAGTTTATTGACGCTAACCTCATCAAACGGGTTGATGGATATTTCTGCTCCTTTGCAATATTATTTTTCATTATGTCTTAAATAAACCTTTAAATGGTTTGGATACAAAACAAGGCGCACGGTTCCTCGCTGTGAGGAGTGGTTGCTTCATTGTTATAAACAACATCTCATTCGGGCCCAAAAGAAGAATCACATTAATACAGATCACTCTAATATTATCTGAACAAATAGTGATGATTCAACCTCTAAGGAGGAGGAATCATCAGGTCTGTACGCTGGATACCTCAAAATACAACATGCTTAATGTGCATGCATGTCCTGCGGGGGGGGATACAAGCTCGGGACAGACTTTGCACGGCAGATTTCGCCACATGCAATTATAATATTCACTCAATGCCCTATTCTTTTAGAGCCACAGAAGAAATACACACAAATTATCGTTTGTCATCATAATGTGTTTTTTATAAGACATGGCCATAAGTGCATGTTGAACCACGAAGTAGTTCCGTCGTGCTGTGACAAAGATAAATGATGCTTCCGGTCTAAGTAATACTTTTATGTCATGTTGGGAATAAGGAGAAGAAATGCAAAAGTGTTCAGAATGGAGGTTTGATGAGGAACGTGAGGCCTGAAAGAATTTATTTATGACTTTATTGTGATTAAAAATAGACTCATAAGCTCACACAAGATGGAGTCCTATTTAGTCCTCAAAATGTCAACGTGTCCCTCCGAACCTCTTGGGGGATTTTCCCCACTGCTACGTTGCAAGTGTTATCCGCCGGGTTACGGTTAGCGGAGGGTGAAAGAAGGAGATTCCGGCTGCCCGCAGGCAGTCGGAAGGTGCACCGGCTCACAATTTGTTTGGTACCACTGGTTGCTTAAAAGTTTGTGTTGGAATAATTAATGGTTTAAAACAGGTAAGTCCACATAAAACCTTTATTACAAAGTTTAATTAAAAGACCATGATTAAAAAAACCTATATGTATGTTTTCCTTTTATTCCCTAGGGGTGGAAGGTGATTGTGGATCGCATTCTGGAATGTCCATCCATCCATCCATCTCGTAGTCCCGGGCCAACTGTAGGAGCAATCCTGGAAGATGTGGTCTGCCGTTATTTTGGTCCATTGAGGAGGGTCCCGTGTGTCTACTTGGAAGAGGTCCTCCTGGGATGGGTTTGAGGACCTCTATAGCATCCTCTCTCAGGTAAGTATCAAACTGTATGTATTGTTCTTTTATACCTGAAGGGATTTCCCTGTAGCTTTGAACGGGTGCCATAATGGTGCGAGCCTCCGGGAATGTTCTCTCTGCGAGTCTGAGCAACCTCCGGAGCTGCTTCTTAATCGTTGCGATTTGAATGTCTCCATGGAGGTTGTTCATTCCCACAGAGAGAACCACGACTCGTACATGGGGCAGGAACTGAATTTTTCCAGAACCCCCATGAGATGGTGGAGCTTGGGCTCCGGGAAGCTGTCCAATTGGATCTCCTGTTGTAAGTGGGGGGAAATAGTCAATATATTTTGGTCCCCCAACACTACAATGATTTCGTCAGGTTTTAGGTTCCAATGGATCACTTTTTGGGAGGTGATTGGATGTATCCTGGGACCCTGGGGGGTCGGAGGGACCCACATCCAGCCCTCGTCGCTCGGGGGCCCTGTGGCAGGCCCCGTCTCCGATGAGGGCCCGAACTCCAAGCAGCTCCTCTCCGGAAAGGGAAGGGAAGTGGAAGGGGGGTCGGGATGGACAGTAAGGGAGGGTTGGGGGTTAGGGCTGGTGCCAGGAAGGTGGTTATGTTTAGGGAAAGGGTCAGGATGGGGGTTAGGAGAGGACTCAGGGATGGGAGGAGAAGGTAGATTAGGTGTGGGGTGGGGGGTTCTGGAGTAGAACATGAAGTGTTATCCACCGGATTAGGGGTTCGGGGTTCAGGTTAGAAAGAAAACTCCAAAACCACAGAGATACTTGAAAGTAATGATCTTTATTATCATGGACAATCAGCAGTTGTCTGTGATGCGCCGGATGGAGCTCATCCTCAGCACGTTGGTCCCCCCCATCTCCCTGAAGCTCCTGTACTCCCCCGGCCTCGCGTACATCATCCGCCCTCTGTAGCCGGGCTGCTCGAACAGCAGCCAGTGGCCGTCCGTCACGTTGCACGACTGGCAGTCGGACATCAGGTAGCGATCCTGCAGGGACTCGCAGTCGTCCGTCAGCTCGTGCATCTGGCCGCCGTAGTTCTCCCTCTCGTAGACCTTCATCCGGAACTGCCCCCTGTGCTGCTGGAGGAGGACACGGCGTCACGTACGTGTCTGTCGCAGGCGACCACCAGACCACCAAAGGAAACCTACCGTGGGGATCATGCGACAGGAGCGCACGGTGTCCATCATCGCCATGCCCATCATGCCCATCATGCTCCCGATACGCTGGAAATCCGAGTACTCGCCTCTCTTCAGGAACACCTGGTTGCCCATGAAGCCGGGGTGGTCGTAGGCCACGAAGCACCCATTCTCCACCCTGCAGGAGTTGCAGCGGTTAAGGTGCGTGTGGATGTCGGAGCAGTCGCTGCTACAGTCGTAGGACCGACCCTGGAAGTTCCTCTCCTCGTAGAAAATGACCTGCGGGGGGAAAAAACAAAAACGAGAGAATAGAACCCGACAGTTTGCATCACAGGAACCTCTGGAGACTTCTAGTCAATGTATTTCTACAGCACCAGATATCGCAACATGATATGCATGATAAATATTACCCGGCCCATGGTGACACTTTTGGTTTTTGCAAATGCTGCCAACCGAGCGGCACCTTTTTATACAGACTATGAGCTGCAGACCACCTTGCACGCCTTTGTGTCAAACAACATGAGTCATCACGAGATGCACGTGGGCCTGCATTCATTTTTTCACAGCGCACCTAAATAGTTATTATTGTAGGTTGAATTCAGAATTAAAGCAAATTGTGTTTTATTGATTTTTCACTTTTTAAATGTTACTCAGCCAAAGCTTTGTGGCATTAGTTCAAAGTTCAAATCTGATATTCACACCACGTCAGTTTCTACAGAAGACACGCTAATTTATTAGAAGTTTCTGGAAGCCCGTTTAAATCCCAATATTCACAGTAACCAAGTCTGCCAGCCTATAGTGCTGCACCGTGTCACAATATAGAGTGATGACTCAAAGGTTTCAGCACAAGCCATGTGGAAATACTACGGCTGTGCAACGTATAAAAAGGGAAAGGCTTGATGGGGATGCAGTACATCTGGAATTAGCTCACAAGTATCATGGCTGTGGGGAAGGTGAGTGAACCTTTTTAAAACATCAGACACGCAGTTAACGTTGAAACGGGTTCAGACGTTGACCGAGATTGCTCTTCGCAGATCATCTTTTACGAGGACCGGAACTTCCAGGGCCGCTCCTATGAGACCAGCAGCGACTGTCCCGAGCTCACCTCCTACCTGAGCAGGTGCAACTCCTGCAGGGTGGAGAGCGGCCTCTTCGTGGTCTACGAGAAGCCCAACTTCACGGGCCACCAGATGCTGGTGAGGCGGGGCGAGTATCCCGACAACCAGCACCTGATGGGCATGAGCATGAGCGACTGCATCAGGTCCAGCCGCATGGTCCCCATGGTAGGTCGCTTTTCTTTTGGGTCAACGGCACAAATTCAAAAAAAGCTTGAGCGAAAGCTCCTGGAAAGCCAGTAAGTGTACCTCGGGTGGAGGATACTGCCTCATAAATCTCAGTTTCAGGGACTGTGCCCAGAATTTGGGGCAAATATTGTTGTATTAAATTTTATTTAATTTGAAGCTGTATTTTACATTAAAAAGATAAAAGGGGATTATGTTTGTGCCGTGCTCAATATATGTATTTGTATATGTACGTTTTTTCACATCAACATTTTGGAGACCCACACCGCAAATGTTTAGACGTGAAGGTCGGTTCAGATGCCCTCGAACGTTTCCTCCTGATGTTTCCTCATCTGCAGCACAGAGGAACCTTCAGAATGAAGATCTACGAGAAGGAGAACTTCGGGGGCCAGATGCACGAGTTGGTGGACGACTGTGACAACATGATGGATCGCTTCCGAATGTCCGACTGCCAGTCGTGCAGCGTGGTGGAAGGCCACTGGCTGATGTTCGAGCAGCCCGGCTACAGAGGCAAGATGCTGTACCTGAGGCCAGGAGAGTACAGGAACCCCAGGGAGATGGGGATGAGCGGCATGACGAGGTTCAGCTCCATCAGGCGCATCACAGACTCCTGTTAACTCTCAATGTACCCAGCTGGAAGAATAAAGCAAGCTGACAAATCTATGTTTCTGATTCCCGACTGTCATTCTGGTCCAAAGCAAATAGTGATTCCCACCTTTTAAGGCTCTTTACTTTCGCTTTATTGAAGGTCTGGTGTGTTTATGGAAGTTCTGACTTCAGTATTGAAGCCCAGAAGGGAAGCAATACGCAATCAGAAGGGTGGGAAAAAGAATCATTAGATATTTCCTCCAATACTATTATTTAGTTATTCAGCTGTGTTTAAAATCATTAACATTTACATGTCAGCTTTTGAATAATTTATGAAAAGAAAAGGACGCTGATCCATTACAAATATCTTCATGCTCTTTAATTTGATACCTTGCGCTGAAACAACTGAAGCAGTTATGAAGTAGTTCAAAGAGGTAAAGTGTATTGGAATAGAATATACAGTATATTACTCTTGTGTTTCAACTAGTGTATCATCGCCTGCTACCTACGCACACACACATCGTGGAGTCCGCCACTTTTCTACAGTAGCCTGTGATGGACAAACCAAACATGAGCTCTAAAGAGACATTTCTTTGTTATTTTTGGGCCCTTGTCTTTTTCCAACACGCTTGGTTTAAACTGTGGTAACATGAGCTATAGAGCGAGGTTTATTCAGCTGGTTGCAACCTGCAACCGCCCGATACCACTTTACAGGGAACACTACAAAAGATAATTCAGTCTAATTATCCTGAATCATCAAAATCTGGTGCTCGGGAAGACAATGACAAAGAAAGAACACTGTGTGACACTGACCCTGAGTTTTATTGTGTGCGATAAGAACAAATAAAATAGAATAAAATAACTATATTCATATACTGTATATCTACTGTTCCACATTCAAATTAAAAAATAAGGGTTGGAAAAAATGAAAAATTGTTATTTGGTTGGTGTCTCGTGTAGAGTCTGTGCAGCCCTCAAACCAGATGTCCTGCAGTGGCCTTGTTTTTGTCTGCACGCTCTGCAGCGTCCAGTGGCTTTTTGGGATGCTTTGCCATTTGCGCTGGCATTGTTTGGGGAATCAGGATTCGCTGCCTCAGAACAATGCGATGAGCCTGGATGAATATTTTCAGTTCACACAAAGAAAACTGTGCCTTGTTTTATTGTGTGTGTTCTGTATAAAGGGAATATTGGAGGTTTGCTGCATAAGGGTTTTACACAACGCGACCAGACCTTTTGGTATTAACGGAGAAGGTGCATTTTCACATATTCAATGCGGCACAACTTACACAGTAACATTTTAATTTGCATGTATATCGAAGCGTAATATGTAACGTTATGTATAGCTTTTATTCTTGTACGTGTTAGGAAGGTAAGTCAAGAGAGAGAAATTACTCATATGAGGAATTTTTTTTCAAGAGAACGCAAAAAATATGCAACACTGCAAAGTGTCTGGAGGCACCTTCCGCACTACAGGGGGCGCCAGTACCTGCTGGAGAGGGGCCTGTGCAGGCGGGGCTCTGCGTTTAAATATAAACCCACTTACATTACGTGTACTTTAACTGATGATCACTTTAAACGGATGTTTGATATGCTGCCGTCATAAGAAAGAAAAAAAAATTGTGATTTCATTCGTTTGTAACTTTGTAAAGCTCAAAGTGTATTAAGACGATCATTCAAAAAGATTTACGACCATAAAATACTTTCGACAAAAACAAAACGAATCCCAGAATTGGATTTTCAATATTCCATTTTTAAAATGCTTGACGGGTGATGGGTGGTGAGTGAAGATTTGTGCAATATAAACTTTATACATTAAACGCAACATAACAGCAAGAATAATTCAAACAAAGTGACAGCATGGCGTCTCGATTTCTGCAGCACAGAAGTGATGGAACCTCGTTCTCTAAAACAATTGCAGCATCAGCTGATGTGCCAAAGTTAATGGAGAGCTCATTTGAATGACAATAAAATCTACTGGCAGTGCATTTCATCGGCCTTTATATGAAAGTGAAGCATCGGTAATGCAGTGTGAAAGGGGAGCTTTGATTTGGTGGGGTGAGGAGCAGCACGAGGCGACCATGGAGCACACGGGGAAAGTGAGTACTGTCACTGCTTGATGCCTCTGTGAGGAGAATACTGGTTTAATGTCCTTTCTCGTCAGATATAACTTTTCAAATGGAAAAAATCCAGACACTTAGAGAGTATATAAGTGTTTAATTTAAACGCGCAGCCGACACAGAATAGAGCCACACTAAAGAGCTTTGTCGCCACCAGTTGGTCTAACAGAGCCCTGCTTTGCAGATCTTCTTCTATGAGGACAAGAACTTCAAGGGTCATCATTACGAATGCAGCAGCGACTGTCCCGAGCTCAACTCTCACTTCCAGCGCTGCAACTCCATCCGGGTGGAGGGCGGCTCCTGGGTCATCTACGAGAGACCCCAATTCATGGGCTACCAGTACGTCCTGGTGAGAGGGGAGTACCCCAACTACCAGAGCTGGAATGGCTTCAACGACATCGTCCGCTCCTGTCAGCTCATCGGACATGTGAGTCCTGGGGAACAAAGCCAGGGAAATAGTACAACAGCACAGCAACTATTAGGAAATCATCGGAGAGTTAGATAGAAGATTGACTTTCACTACTTATGTACAAAGCCATGAGATGGTTAGCTTAGCTTAGCATCAAGACTGGAGCCAGGGGGAACAGCTGGCCGGGGTTAGGGTTCGGGTTCCCACCTTTAAAGCTCACAAACAAACACGTTATATTTTGTCTTATCTCACGTTCAAGCCTTCCAGCACGCACAAGATCCGCATCTACGAGCGCGCAGACTTCGGTGGCCAGATGGTGGAGGTCAGCGAGGATCTGCCCAGCCTGGTGGAGCACTGGCGCTACCGCGACGTTCACTCGGCCCACGTCCAGGAGGGGGTCTGGGTCTTCTACGAGCATCCAAACTACAGGGGACGCCAGTACCTGCTGGAGAAGGGAGAGTACAGACGGCACGCAGAGTGGGGGGCCCTCCATCCCTCTGTGGGCTCCATCAGACGCGTGGTGGACTCATCTTAAGCGCTGTTACTTCCTGGTTTGCACCTTCCTCCACTTGTCGCAGTGAACCTTGCTCACCTGGCAAATAAAAACACACCGACCGAAGCATAAGATGTTTTATTTGGTGTGATAACCATTTTCAAATTGGCCAACATGGATGTTACAGTTGAACCATGAAAATAAAGGTTTATATTCCTTGTTTCTAGGTATCAACTTGCCCAGTTATTGGTGGCAGACAAAATATTTAAATATTTAAACACCATGAACACAACCATTTGATAAGAAAGTGTAATTTCCTAACATACAGGGTCAGATTATATCATCCTTATTAATCTGTCAGTGCGGAACAATAAAGCTTTGTGACGTGACGTCCACGCAGTGGTAGACGAGTGAGGCTCGAGTAAACAGGAGACGCTACAAATCAGTAACAGAGCTGCTGAGCTCTCCTGATTCGTGAACTGGAACTTTTATCACACACAGATTCTGGCGTTCCCGGGTGAACCTGAACATGACAATGTGCAGTACAATACATTTGTATTAAGAGCTGCCTCTAATTATTTTCAGAATATTATGTTTTTTGCCAAATCCTACTTACAAGTAAGGCAAAAACGTTTTGTGTAATAAATTGCATTAATAAATATATGAACTGTATTATAGGGTTAATGTGTTACAATCGGAATGCTATAACCTCAAACATATTTATATGTATTAGAGTAAAAACAGTATCATGCAATTACCACTATTAATAATAAATGTGTGGAACCATTCGACTTCTTTATCTGTTTTACAACAATTACAGTTGTTTCTGTTCTGTTCCTCTACGATTTGTTCATTTATTTATTTACTGACTAACCTACTTCATGGAACGGACCTGTCCCTTTAAGAGAGCTGTGGACATGAATGAAACGCAGCCATTCATAAAAACACGCACGTCAGAACAGCATGGAAACCGGTTGGCTCGCTCGTTGACTGACAGCGTGTTCCAGCCAATGGGAGAGCAGCAAAGCCATCTGGGACGGATCCAGCGATCTGAGCTCTTCATTGAGAAAAATCCACAGCCGAGTTTTATTCGAGGAGTCGCGGGGGATGTAGGGGAGGAAAATCTGCGTTTTTACACTGACGAGAAGCTTCACTTATCAAGTGAGTCCCGAATTATTGTCACGCACCTTCAGAAACATCCAGCGGACACGCGCGGGGGCGTTTATTGCGCTTTGTTTCTTCACATAAACCGCATCTTTTCGGTGTGCAGAAACGGGCTGAGAGGCCAACGCCATTTTCTAAAAAAAATCAAAGGCAACGTTGCGTCCATTCCTCCCCCCGCTTATCGACATTACGGGGAGGGGGTTCCGTCTGCAGCAGCTGTCCTCACGGCCTCTCGCGTAGTGATTCTTTCTCTGTGCGACATTTCTCAATGGTGGTTTCTCCCCCCCCCCCCCCGCTCTTTTTCTCTGAAGCTTCACTTCATTGAGAAAAACAAGGAGGTCCCACGACGCGCGCGTGTCACACCAAACCCCATTCACAAATCTTATTGTGTTTTTATTCTCGTTGTAAAAGTGTGTGTGTGTGTGGGGGGGTTCTTCCGCATGTTCTAATCCCCATCTGAAGGATGAGATAAAGATGTAAGACCTTTTTAATCTTCTAATGCATTTTTAATTTTACTGACTTGTTGGGTTCTTTTTTTAACTTTAAGCTTAAGATGGGGCCCTTTAACCATTACATACCAAAAATAATAATTCTAGCATGGAAGTTTTTTTATTTTAGTCTTGAATGCAATATCCCATTTCATTAAATTACTTAATGGGTATTGTACAGTACAACTGTGCTTTATGTTTTAGCACCTGTTAATGTATCATTTCACGTCACAGCTGCTTTCCGTTCATCTCCTCGTAGGCAGCGTCACCTGATGAACACCTTTTTTAAGGAGTATTGACTCCCATTCATGTCAGAGTTAACTTACAGGAAGATACATAACGCTGTCGTTAACCACCAGGCCTTTCTAGCCGCTGCAATCCAGCTGTGGAGGTCACGGAGGTTAGAAAAAACGCAAAGGTGGAGTTGTGTTATTGACGGGGGATTAAATCAGCCTGATGCTCTGGGGACTCAACGTCTTGTTTTTCCCCCCTGAAAGTCCCCCTTTTCTTCTTTTTTCCAGGCTGAAGACTCCTCGGGCATGGACGGCTTTCATGACCAGCAGGTGCCCTTCGTGGTCCCTGAGAGCGTGAGTTTGGTGCACTGAGCCGATCCACAACTTGTCACACACACATTCACTGCCCCCCCCTAATGTGTTTTTATTCATGAAACCTCTAGATATGTGACGCCGACGGAGCGGAGAGATGTCTCAGCGACCGGAAAAGGAAGTTCATGGACACGGAGCTGGCTCAGGACACAGAAGGTAGGCTCATCACGTCCACGTGGAAAAGAGATCAGTGTGTCCCTGTTTAGTGGATACATTTGTCTGCAAGACGGCAACATGAATATTTGCCCCAATGAATGTTGTCCTGCCGTTTTTATAACTTTCTTGCAGATCTCTTCCAAGACCTGATCCAGCTGCAGGAAATCTGGATCGCAGAAGGTGAGACCTGAGCGCAAAACACGTGACCGAAGGAGAGAAACGTGAAGCACAAAACGCATGAGAAGATTCAAATCCCTTTTTTAACATCCTTCTTCTTACCCTCTGACAGCTCAGGTCCCCGATGACGAGCAGTTTGTCCCAGATTTCCAGTCCAACAAGTGTGAGTAGCTGCTTCTTTTCTAACCCTTGTAAAAAAAAAAAATTTAAAAAAAGGCGCTCGGAAATGGACACATCCGAGAACAACGCACACGCAGAAGTACAAAAAAAAAAACTGGCGTAGAATTGTAGAGCTCTGAAGTGTCAGTTCTTACGAGAATAACCATTTTGTGAGGGTTTTGCTCTTTCATTTTCCTTTCTGAGTCATTAACATTAAAGCGTTCTTTTTACGCTGTTACATTTTCTATAACAGTCCATTAGGCACAATGTGTGGATGGACGCAGTCCAAGCGCTCCCCACAACCAGCGGTGTAAACAGTTTTACGACGGGCCAATCAAACGGCAGGAAACAGGAGGTGATATAATGGCGTCACAGATAAGACGTGAGTACGGGTAAATGGCGCGCTCAGTGCTGCTGCCTGACATGCACCGCTTGTATTTATTGCTGCCTCAACTGAACGACAATAAATGCGATTGCGTTGTGGACGGATCGGATGCGAGGTTTTATTCTTTGTGTGAGTGTTACAACAATCTCTGCACCAGCTGGCCAGATGTTTACAATGTGTGTTTGTAGCATTTTTGTGCTCTAATTAGAAAATGGTTAAATATAGCCAGCACCCTTTCATTTGTAGCGGTTTGATCTTAATAAGACATGGGCCAGTCTCCGCAATAAACATCCCGAAACCTCAGCACATTAAAAAGAAACATTGATATAACTATACCTGAATATATGAATCGAAGGACCGTCAGTAGACGGGTGATCGTTATTCATGTGTTTGCAGCGATCTTTCATGGAGCGCCGAGCAGCAAAGTGAAGAGAGAGTGCAATCCGTCCCCCTGCAGGACGCCACACGCCGACCCGTGCCTGTACAGCTACAGGTATAAAGCCAGTGTCCTCCCCTTATCGGGGGGGTTACGTTGTGGCTTCTGTATTTTTTCTTAGTTAATCCCTGACTCTTTTGCGATCGTCAGGTTATTTCCAGCTCCGTGTTCTCTCTCCTCAGTGCATGTGACAACAAGCCGCCCGCGCTCAGAGCTCCGCCTCCACCCTCCGCGCCGGCACACGGCGGCTCCCCTCATCCCGCCGGAGCTCCGCCCCCGCAGAGGCACTTGCAACCTTCAGCCCCCCGGCTGCCCAACAACTGCCCCCGAAGCCACGCTCCCACCCCGAGCCCCTCCCGCCACCACAACCACCCGGCGACCCTCCAAAGCCAGCGGTTTGCTCTGCCGCGCCCCCCCGCCTGCCGCCCTGGCTCATCCTTCGGCGGGGAACAAAGGTGAGATCTTGTTCAATGTGATTTACACTGCAAATTGTCGGGGGTGGAGGGGGCACCCTCAAACCTCCTCTCGTGACCTCCCGCCCTTCAGGTTTCAGCGGCAGCTGTCGGAGCCGTGTTTGTCCTTCCTCACGCCGGAGGAAGCGGCGGGCGCGACTTACCAGCCCCCGATGGGCGACGGCCGACCGGCGTACCAGCGACACCACTCGGAGCCGCCGGTCCCCCGCGGCCCCCGGGCTTTCAAACAGGAGCTGGTGGATCCGCGGTACCCGGAGCCGGGGCCCCCAGGGCCTTTCAACCACATCACCATCAAACAAGAGCCAAGAGACTTTGGCTTCGACACCGGTGAGAAACGCGGTTTGGATATTTGACAGCCAGGAAGATGAAATTGGCCTTGATTTCAGTGCTGACACTTTTCATCCTACCAGAGGTTCAAACCTGCCAGTCGTCATTCGGGAAGTCCTCGGTCTTGTACCAGAATAACTGCGTCGGCATCGACAGGGAGCGGCCTTTGTACTACGACGACACTTGTGTCGTGCCAGAGAGGCTGGACGGTGAGGTTCTAGCCGATCCTCGTGCCCGCTGGGAATGCAGCGAGCGGAATGTCCTCACCGTGTGTCCTTTGCCTCTGCGAGCAGGTAAGGCCAAGCAGGAGGGTTTGCCGTACCAGCGCCGCGGCTCCCTGCAGCTCTGGCAGTTCCTTCTCACGCTGCTGGACAACCCGGCCAACGCGCACCTGATCGCGTGGACGGGACGCAACATGGAGTTCAAACTGGTCGATCCGGAGGAGGTCAGTCGTCGGGAGTTTTTCTGTTTGTTTTTTTTCCTTCTGATTTGCAAGTCTTTTGGGACCCAGAAGACGTTAGAGCATAAAAAGAGCTACGTGGAGTCAATCACCTTTTTTCATTCCTCCGGTGGGCAGGTGGCTCGGCTTTGGGGCCTCCAGAAGAATCGCCCGGCGATGAACTACGACAAGCTGAGCCGCTCTCTGAGGTACTACTACGAGAAGGGCATCATGCAGAAGGTAAAGGCAGGTCTCACTCTTAATAAGGCTTTACCTTAAACATGTTCATGTCACGGGGTGAATCTGGGTATTGCAGTTCATTTTAAAAGAAATCTGGAAATATTTAAGCGTCGCATTAACATGATTGGTAACCTCTCTGGGGGGAAGGAGCCGGAGCTTATGCGGGAAGTGGAGCGTTATCAGTTGGATCTGGTGGGGCTTACCTCTACGCACAGCCTCTGCTCTGGAACCACACTCCTGGATAGGGGGTGGACTCTATTCTACTCCGGAGTGGCCCATGGTGTGAGGCGCCAGGCGGGTGTGGGGATACTCATAAGTCCCCGGCTGAGTGCTGCTACATTGGAGTTTACCCCGGTGGACAAAAGGGTTGCCTCCCTACGCCTTTGGGTGGTGGGGGGGAAAACTCTGACTGTTGTCTGTGCATATGCACCAAACAGCAGCTCAGAGTATTCAGCCTCCATAGTCCTACTGGGAGACTTCAATGCGCACGTGGGCGACGATGGAGATAACTGGAGAGGCGTGATTGGGAGGAATGGCCTCCCTGATCTGAACCCGAGCGGGTGTTTGTTACTGGACTTCTGTGCCAGTCACGGACTGTTCATAACAAACACCATGTTCGAACATAAGGATGTTCATAAGTGTACGTGGTACCAGAGCACCCTAGGCCAAAGATCAATGATCGATTTTGTAATCGTATCGTCTGTTCTGGACACTCGGGTAAAGAGAGGGGCAGAGCTGTCAACTGATCACCATCTGGTTGTGAGCTGGGTCAGAGGATGGGGGAACACTCGGGACAGACCCGGTAAACCCAAGCATATAGTGAGGGTGAACTGGGAACGTCTGGAGGAGGCCCCGGTCCAACAGATTTTCAACGCACACCTCCGGCGGAGCCTCTCTCGCATTCCTGTGGAGGTAGGGGACATTGAACCAGAGTGGTCTATGTTCAAAACCTCCATTGCTGAAGCCGCGGCGGTGAGTTTTGGCCTCAAGGTCTTAGGTGCATCAAGGGGCGGCAACCCTCGAACCCCGTGGTGGACACCGGTGGTCAGGGAAGCCGTCCAACTGAAGAAGGAGGCCTTCTTCCGGGAGGAGGGATCATCGTCAATTGGCCTGGTGGAGGTCACTGAGGTAGTCAAACAACTCGGCAGTGGCAAAGCCCCGGGGATTGATGAGATCCGTCCAGAGATGCTAAAAGCAATGGGTGTTGGGGGGGTTGTCTTGGATGACACGCCTCTTCAACATTGCGTGGAAGTCTGGGACAGTGCCAAAAGAGTGGCAGATCGGGGTGGTGGTACCCCTCTTCAAAAAGGGGGACCAGAGAGTGTGTGCCAATTACAGGGGTATCACACTACTCAGCCTCCCGGGTAAAGTCTACTCTAAGGTGCTGGAAAGGAGGGTTTGGCCGATAGTCGAACCAAGGATTGAAGAGGAACAATGCGGTTTTCGTCCTGGTCGTGGAACAACGGACCAGCTCTTTACTCTTTCCAGGATCATAGAGGGGGCTTGGGAGTATGCTCATCCAGTCTACATGTGTTTTCTGGTCTCAAGAAGGCGTATGACCGGATCCCCCGAGAGATACTGCGGCGAAATGGTTTCTCAGGAGAGTGGCTGGCGTCTCCTAGATAGGTGAGAAGCTCAGCATCCGCGAGGAGCTCGATAGAGCGCTGCTCTTGCCTCGAAAGAGCTAGTGAGGTGTTGGCGTTGGTGAGGATGCCCCTTGGACGCCTCCTAGGGAGGTGTTTCAGGCACGTCCAGCTGGGAAGAGACCCCGGGAAGACCCAGAACTAGGTGGAGAGATTATATCTCTGCACTGGCCTGGGAACGCCTTGGGATCCCCCAGTCAGAGCTGGTAGATGTGGCCTGGGAAAGGGAAGTTTGGGGTCACCTGCTGGAGCTGTTGCCCCCGCGACCCGACTCCGGATAAGCGGTTGAAGATGGATGGATTAACATGATGCTCCCCTCTGATTGGCCCGTGCTGCAGGTGGCTGGCGAGCGGTACGTTTATAAGTTTGTATGCAACCCCGAGGCGCTGTTCTCGCTGGCCTTCCCGGACAACCAGAGACCGAGTCTGAAGCCCGACCCGGACGCCATCCGGCTCCCCAGCGAGGAGGACGAGGGCGCCTACCCGGCTGAGGGGGGGGAGCAGTGCGTCCAGGGACTGGCTTTCCCTGACAGCTACCCGTACTAGACCTGCAAAACGTGAGATATTTTACAGGTGGAAACCTGGATTACTGCGCCGTGTTTGAGGTTTTCAACTTGTATGTCACCGGCGAGAAGAATTTATTAAAAGATTCTTTTAATAATCTTTTAGCCAAAACAAATCATGAAAATCTTAAATATCAACAAAAATGGCATTCTTTGTCCGAAACTGTTCCAATTGTTTTTTTAGAAAAAGTATTATTATTATGGGGGGGGGGACTGACATTTTGTGGAAGGATTTCATCATAGATAAATAATTGTCTCAGCATTTTGAGATAAAGTTCATCTCACAAATTGGCATTCAATTCAGCTGCAATTTTACTGTAACAATCGTGCGCTTTCTTTCTCATGAAAACTGCAAATTCATTATGTTTTTACTGTTTTATTCATTGTTTCAGCTTTTTCCTGAATCACAGATGTTTCCCCGTCTGTCACGATGACCCCGCGACCCCCTCAGTTGTACTTTTGTGTCACGGCCGTCGCTGTATTCCTCACGGACCTGAACTCTGGGACTTCAACCAAAAAGTATCTTAAAACCATGGGCACTCCTTTACTAATGAAATTAGTTCTTATTGTTTGTCTTTGGTAAACATTGTACTGCTTGAAAGGGACGCACGTTTTCCAGATGTTGTAGCCTATGGAGCCAAATCCATGATTTGTGATTACACGCCCCTCTCAGTTGATGCCACGCCCCCAACGCCAGATATTGGCCAAAAGTCTGAATGTGAGAAAGTACAATCCGTAAGTGGAAGAAAATATTTGAAACATGAAAATATAAGATCTGAATATGACAATATAAAATCTGCAACCGAAAGCTAGAATACCGTGACAAAAAATATATGCAATTATATATGTGTATGTGTAAAGAATGAAAACAAATTAAATTAAAGTCAAGAACTGAGTCAAAACTACATTCAACCCAAAAAATACTTTTTTATTTTGAATACATTGTCGTATTTTTCAAGACCAAAACCTAAACTTTGTTTTTCAAATGATCAAAACTTTTAATTCTGGATTTGGCTCCATAAGAGTCCTCCTATGAACATGTATGTTCAAATGTCTTTTGTGTACTTATTTCAAAGATAATATTTTTGGCATTAAATGGACTTGTAATATTTTCCTAAACTGTTTTATGACAAAGGTACTGCTACTATTTTTCTGTAATACTGCCACCAAGATGCCAATAATAAGCATGAACTTTCTTACAGCCGGCTCACCACTTATTGTACTCGGACGGTTTGCTGCATTTTGTATAGTTTATTCGCTTCAATGTGTAGAAACGCTATATAATTAAAATATATTTTTGCAAAAGGCTGCATTTACTTGACATTGTGCTATACAAGCTGCAGGGTTTAGCCCGCTAATGTATTTCATCAATTGCAGCCTCTCCGAGATAGATGACTTCCAGTCCTGCAGATAGAAATGGACGTATGTGAGTGTATGTTTTGCTCTATGGTCACGTGGTGGTTTGAGTGGAGGAGGTGGTGGTGTGTGATGGAGGCTGGAGGGAGGTTTGGACACCGGTGTGACGTCTACCCCTCGGATACTGTCTGTGTGCCTTCTGTTGATCCTTACTAATACAATAAACTATTTTACTCATTTGTTTCGCCCATTGTTCAAAAATGTGTCTCAAAGTATTCTATGGTCTCCAATTCAAATACTGACCAAGCCCCACCCACCCAGTTTATCAAAAATATTCAAAATGAAAATGCATTTAAAAGAACACAAACATTTTAAAATGCTATGAACTACATTAACACAAATAATGAATCCTAAAATCACAATCACGTGTTGAAAGAACACTGTGATATAAACATAGTGTTTGAAAAAACATTTATAGACACCCCCGAAATCTACACTGAAAAAAATGATTTTGTGGTATAGTAATATTTATTTTATTAGGTTAATTGTCACCATTTTTATTTTGTAATAGTAAGTACCAGTGAGAACTGGAATTATTCAAGTAAATGTATATATGGCATTCATGTAATAAATAAACCGTACGGGATGAGTAAGTTTTACTATATATTTCCCCATAATATTCAAAGGTTTCATGTCATTGCGCATGAACTTAGAAATACCAAGTAAGCGTTTGGAATCCGCACATGCGCCTTGTAACGTGCCTCCAGGACGCATGCGCTCCTTTCCCCGCGAAAACATGAAGACGGTGACGACGGCAGGAATGGCTAAATCACCTTGAAGGTAAGTCATTCTGGGGCTTTACTGCATACGAAATGGAGTTTTAATATGATATGATGTTAATATAAAGTGTAACATGAGCCCAGTTGCCATTACCATACGTCACGTTTCACTGAGGACTAAACGTGAAAGCACGTATCACCTACTCTCCACAACGAGCAGCATTTGCTGCCGTGAGCCCTCCCCCGTTCCACAGCACTCACAGGCGGCCGCTCCTCGCGCGTCACACCGCTGCTTCCAGCCTCCGTCAGCGCAGACGTGCGCTCCCATAGACACAGACAGAGTGCGCTCCCATAGACACGCACAGGGTGCGCTGCCAGAGACGCACACAGAGTGCGCTGCCAGAGACGCAGACAGAGTGCGCTCCCATAGACACACACAGAGTGCGCTCCCAGAGACGCATAAAGTGCGCTCCCATAGACGCACAAAGTGCGCTCCCATAGACGCACAAAGTGCGCTCCCATAGACGCAGACAGAGTGCGCTCCCATAGACACGCACAGGGTGCGCTGCCAGAGACGCACACAGAGTGCGCTGCCAGAGACGCAGACAGAGTGCGCTCCCATAGACACACACAGAGTGCGCTCCCAGAGACGCATAAAGTGCGCTCCCATAGACGCACAAAGTGCGCTCCCATAGACGCACAAAGTGCGCTCCCATAGACGCAGACAGAGTGCGCTCCCATAGACGCAGACGGAGTGCGCGTAACGTTGTGTTGGTAGTGATGCACTCATAACTTCTTAAACGGTTTGGTTTGCTATAAACGTCAGAGATGTAGGTATGCCACTGCAAACTTATAGATAATAAATAATTATGGTATAATAAATAATAAGTAAAATATACAGGTGTCCGAACTTATCACATTTTTTTTGAAAAAAAGAAAGTCTGGGTGTAATGAATGCCTCGCTTTTCCACTTCTCCCACATACATCCTCCCTTTTACTGGTTTTTTTTGTTTGCCCTTCCTTTTTCCTTTTTCTCGCTTTTTCTTCCCCATTTTTTTTTTTTTTTTTTTCCTCCCCCCCCCCCCCCCCCCCCCACCCCCTCTCTCTCTCCATTCAGTACTGTACTATGCACCTGAACATGGATCCATATATATTTTACAGGGCATCAGAGGCAACTCAAGAAGACCAGACTAGTCCTGGCGATCTGTGTCTACCACACAAGTGAAGATGAAGGTGCATTTAACGCTAATGCGCAGAGAATAGGACCCACTCTTTTTTCCACACGTGCTTTTATTGTGCCCAATATGCATATTTTTGCCAAACATTCTGCAAAATAACATGCCCAGGATTACCTAGGAACGGTTCACCAATTCTGTGGCAAACATATCTGAATTGAAATGCACCAAAATAGAGACTTTTATAATGCTTATTTGCTTTTAAAAGGTTTTCGGATGATTAATGCCGTCTAAATGGCTCTCGCGCACACAGCAGAGTGGAGTGGTCCTTGACGTTTCTTTATTTGGTTCATCCGTTCTTATTTTAAACCCACCGTTAAGGAGCATTTTAGCTGTGGATGTACACTGCTCAAAACAGTTAATGGAAAAGACATCAGATCTCAATGTAAAAAAAACTATGTTGGGTATCGATATAGACCATTAAATGGCTGAGGAAAAAAAGGATGCCACCTCTTTTGATGGAAATAAAAGTTTCAGCCTGCACAGGGCTTCATTTAGACCCCAAAATCTAAGTGAAACGATGATGTGGCAGGCTCCATTTTGCCCAAATTAAATTTCTGCAACTCAATATAATTTCCAATATCTTGTGGCCCCCACATGCTTGAATACATGCTTCCCAAACATCGCGGCATGCTCCTAATGAGACGACGGATGGCGTCCTGCGGGATGTCCTCCCAGATAAGGTCATCAGTAAGCCTCTGTTTTCAATATCACTGATTATGATGAGTGGTGGTCCAAAGTATGGTGCGGGGTCATCACAGAAATGGCCACAACCAATTATTACCTGTTCGAATGCTCTTTTAGGGGGTTCCTCCTCGATCTTGTTGACCTTATTGTCTACCTCAGTTAACAGTTAAAACATTCTTTAAATTCAGTGTTACAGAAGACTGAGGATTTCATTTTGTGGAACCTTATACAGTTGTGATTATTGATTATTAACGGATGACCCATTTTGTTGTGGTTGTTGTTGAAAGGTTGGCCTGAGATTGCTGTTTTTGGAGTCTTCGTCATCGTCAGGTGACTAAGACTCTCCAGATAAAAACGTCTGCGCAGCTTCATTGGTCTTTTTCAGATTGTGCTTTTGAATCCCTCTGAGCTCCATCTCTACACTTCATCCAACATGACAGCCACAGGCCACCCCGGTCAACATGTGGAGGAAAAGTCCAGCCATCTTTCCTGGGACTTTCTTTATTCTGATCAAAGTTCCCAGGCATTTCTTTACCTGTTTGTTGGCTCTGCCCTTTTTGCATCTTCAGCAAATGGATTTCTCTTTTTTCTGACATCGAAGAAGCAGCTGTGGCAGCCCCACTACATCCTGCTGCAGCACACATCAGCCTGCGCTGTTGGGAAGACTTTTGTAACCGCTCTGGCTGTTTTCTCCCCCGGATCGTGGCCCGCAGCACACTTCTGCACGCTGCTCTGTTTCTGTCTGACGTCGCAAATGACTTTGTGCCTGATGGCGGTGGAGCGCTACCTCTTCACCTGCCGCGGCACCGACTACCTGCGGACGGTCACCACCCGCAGCGTCCACATCACCGTGGGGCTGGCGTGGGGGCTCAGCGGGGCGACGAGCGTGCATGCAGGGTTGCTGTTGCACCAGATCCCTTTGGCCTCCCAGCAGCCAACCACCGAGCTCCAGTGGGCCGCTTTGACCACCAGGCAGAACATCACGTGTTCCCGCGAAGAACTGACGCCGGTGTTTGTCCCCCCGTTTGTCTTGATGACTTTCTGCGCATTGACCATGTGCTACTGCTCTGGGCGCGTGTATCACGCATCTCTCAGGGCGAGCGGGGCCGTAAAGTGTCTTAACCATCGTGTCAACCGCACGGTCGCATTCTACCTGTTCACCTTTTTCCTGCAGCTGGCCCCATGCGTGATCGTCTTTGCAACGGCGTCCCTCTGCGCGACCGCCACTTTCTTAGTGACGCCGCAGCTAATAATTCTCCCGTCGTGCATCGACGCAGCTTTCCTTCTCACCCGGAACCCGCAGATTAAGCCGCTGGTCCTGTCTGCGCTGCATCTGGAACGCGGGTGCGCGAGCAGCGCAGATGTGTCGCGCGGGAGCGCGGATGGGACAGAAGAGCGCGCGTTGGAGATGGAGGACCCGGCGACCGCACCTGCTCCTCCACTCGGTTCGGCGTCCGCTTCTGTTTGTTATTAGTCTCAAACTTAAATAGTCATATTTAGGTTTATATTTGTTCATCTATTTGGTTCTATGTTAAGTAGTTTGTGATGGACGCCGTTATTCGGTATTTGTGCTGATAAAATATAAAAGATTGTTGGATTTTTCAGTGTTTCTTGTTGCAGTATTTAATTGTTACATTTATTAATTGATATTTAGCGTACACCTCTAATGAGCAGCACGACACGGTGTCCTCTCACTTCACTTTTGATGATGTTCTTGCATGAATTAGTTTTGGTTTTATTACTGCTTCTTCAGTGTAAATCAGTCTGCTTACCGTCTGTGATATTCTATTTGTGACCAAAGAAGGTATCAGCTTTTTGGACATGATGTGATAAATATCAATAAGCTCTATATGTATTTGAAAGGTAAATCATGTCTCTGTCTGATGTTACATCTCATTAATTTATGTCACACCAACACATGTAATTGTTGTGGTTATTTGAACAATGATGTCGTCTTTGTGCAAAGTTAAAATAAAATGATATATAAATACATTAATTGTCAATCTTTTTTTACTTTTCTGTCCGTTTCTAACCATCTCATTCGTTGACATGCTCAAGTACATAACAACACTTACGAATAATTCAATAATGAGCCGGGTGTGATCGGCTCAAATGATAAATATTCAAATCACAGTATATCAGTATATTATGACGTTATACGTGAAGGTATTTCCCCGATTGTCCTCTGGCGCCGTAATGACGTCACTATTTAGCTCAGGTTGACAAGCGTCACAGATGACGCGACCAAAGCCGACAAACACCTGCGCTGCAACTTTCGCCAACTGGCTGTGAACCCGCTCCGTAAAGACGGGTACACCACAGAGTTAGATGACCGGAATAAGACTGACTGATGAGTTATGATGTGGACCGAAAACAAAGAACGACTCGTTTTTCCGTCATTCAATTGAGAAACCAAGAACCAAAACCCAAGTCGAAAAACGACATTTATTTTGAAAGTTTGTAACCCGGAGGTTTTGTGACCCAAATGACTTCTTCGTTTATTCGTGAAACCCATTTTAGCCACAAAAATAGAAGGGTCTAGAACAGGGGTGTCAAACTCAATTGCACAGGGGGCCAAAATTCAAAACACACTTCAGGTCGCGGGCCGAACAGAATAAACAGAATGTATATATATTAGGGCTGTCAAAAATAGCGCGTTAACGACGTTAATTAGTTGTTTGTTGTTAATTACGTCTATTTTTCTAACACAATTCACGCATGCGCAGTGGGACAAATTAGCAGGTCAGGAAAGTACCTCTTCCTCTAGGGAATGCACTTCATCTTATAGAACACATTACTGCCACCTGCAGGCATAAATCAGTACTCATCACAATAGATACTCACTAGGGAGGTGCCGTGCCGTTGGGAGCTAGAGGCGAGATGTAACAAGGAGTTTCAATTTCACCGGAGCTGTTCAAGCTTGAACTACCATGTCAACGACAAAGTGTTTGCTGGGCCGTCAGGTTCAGCGAGTCGTTTGCGCCAGTCCACGCTGAATGTTCGGAGACCATTAACAAAATCAACCTCAGATAATTTGACCAACACAATAGCGAAATGGATCGCAAAGGATTGTCGACACATTAGCATTGTAGAAGACTCAGGTTTCCTTGATGTTTTGCAAGTGGCGTCTCCGGACTCATCCTATGAGCCGAAAATGACGAAAATCCACGAGTGCTATGAAAACGAAAAAGAAAAAAGGAACATCAGTGAGTAACAACAATTACCTCGGTGTGGTAGAGGTGGAGCGAGCGCAGCAACGGCTGCCTGCGCGCAGAAAACCAGTTTGTGGAGAGGGCACCTGAGTAAACTACGTGCACGGAATATGTTTTTCTTTGCTAAAATATGGTTCTCTGTGCTCAAAACTTTAAATTACGCGCTCAGGATTGTGGCACAAATATAACGCCATAGACGACAACAATTGGGACTGACAGTGCGCGCAACATGGTTGCCGCAATTAGATTTCCACGCTATGAACACAATAACTGTGTCGCTCACATGGTGCAGAGAAGTGTCACAGTGAGTCTTGCTGACAGCGGCTTTGTAAATTCTTTGGCCAAGGCTCGCAAAGTTGTCGGTCATTTTAAGCACAGCCCAGCAAACGCTGCGGAGCTTCAAGCACAACAAGTCAGCCTGAGAAAGAAGCAGGAGCCACTGATCCAGGATGTTCTTTGGTTTGATTTAAAAGTTGAAAATGTTTTTTTCTACATAAAAACGCAACACATGACTCAAATTGTGCAAACATGTGGTTGACCACTGTTATGATTTGACTACATTTATTGCTTTCTGTTCTGAATGTTCTGAAAGTGATTAATCCTGATTCTCATTAATTGATTAAACATTTTAATCATTTGACAGCCCTAATATATATATATATATATATATATATATATATATATATATATATATATATAAATAAAAATTGTATATAAATATATAAATAAAAATTGTGCTTTTCAGAAATAACAAATAACAATGCAAAACATTCTGTTTTCTTTGCTCTTATGCCATTTTATCAGAGCTGGATGCTTTGCATCGTTTTTTGGCAAGAAGTTGGTTTGTTTGGCGTGAGGTCCCGTGTTGTGGAGACTCTCAGGATGGACTGAAAGTGCTCATCAGTGAGACGACTCCTGTGTGCTGTTTTTTTGTCTTCACTGAGAACAGCTTCTCACCCAGATATGTGCTACCAAACACGCACAAAGTTCGAGCCGCATGTAGACGGAGCTGTGTCGGACGAACAGTGTCGTACTTTGTCTTTATGTCCCATTGCACTGCAGCTCAATCAGCTGCATCTGAATCTGCACAGGTGCAGTTTCCACGTCGACGGCAAATGGGTTGCGAAACAACTCAAAATTATTTTTTTGTTCCTCAAAATCACCAAAGCGCCGTGGGAACTGCGTGCGCAGTGCGCTCAGTTCATCAGCAAAGTGCGTATTTGGGAACACCGTTGTTCCGCATTACTTGGCAACAGGGAAAGTGGGGCGAGTTGCACTGGTGCATTTGTGTCTCCCATAAAATCAGCTTCACTGCGTCATACGTCAGTGATCATGCGGTCACGTCCCTGGAGCTGGAGGTTTCAGCCATTGAGACGTGCGGTTATGTCAGCCAGAAACGCCACGGAAAGCGCTCGGCAAGGCAGCTGGAGCGCTGCATTATGGGATTTACTTTAATATATATATATATATTTAATATAACAATAATATAAAATTATCTCGCGGGCCAGATATAATTGCATGCCGGGCCGCATATGTCCGGGCCGGGCCGCATATGTCCGGCCCGGCATGCAACTATATCTGGCCCGCGAGATAATTTTATATTATTGTTACTATTGCCCGACGATATGAAGGGCTGATTACAAAATAAACTAGATCAGAGATCAATCAAACGTTTTGGGAGATTAAATACGTTCCGGGTGCTATTTATTCCGTAGCAGTCGTGTCTAGTAACGATTGAAAAAGTCCCGAAGAGAGTTCTCTCTTTATTGAACCAGCCTCGCAAACTCCTCAACGAGGAAAGACGCCGCAGGACCAGATGCGGCTTTGCGCTCCCCTAACCGGGGACAGCGTGTCCACGCCACCATGTCATTTGCCCTCCGGCATGTTCCTGTGTAGCCTTTGACTTTACATTACATGTCATTTAGCTGACGCTTTTATCCAAAGCGACTTACAATAAGTGCATTCAACCATCGGGATACAAACTCACAAGAGCAAGAAACCAGAAAGTGTAATTTCCTCAAATGAGCCAATTTACAATTTGCTGTAGGTAAGTGGCGTTACAAGTACAATTTGCTGGACCCGATCCATTCACAGCATGGTACGTAAGCACCAAATGTTTTGAACTGGTGCGGGCAGCCACCGGTAGCCAGCGAAGAGCGCGGAGGAGTTCTTCTTCTGACTTCTTCTGACTGAGCTACTCTCATAAAACAGATAAAACCTCTGAAATAAACATTATTTTGCGAAGGTTCTCAAGAAGGAGACGTCGTTCTGCACGTTTTATATGAAACATTAAACAAACCGCGCACACTATGGATCATCTTGAGTTCTGGTGTCTCTGGTAGAATCAAAGCAGACCTTCCTGAGCCACAGTTTGGATTCTTTCCTTTCTCCTCAGGGTGCTGTGTGTTAGTTCTCTTCAGCCTCTCATCTGGGTGAGCTGATCCCTGAAGGTCGGGATTGATCTTTCACTTCTTACTCTCAGGCATCAGCACGCAGACTGTGCAGGCTGCTAACTGATGTTGGGGGAGAATTTATGATCTGCACATTGTGGGTTTCTCAGGAAAACTGTGAGTGACCTTGTTGGGAAACCTGTAACCTAAACTCCGTTATTACAGCTGGAACTGATGTACGCTTTTCCTTCTGTTACGGGAGGGACAGGGTGTTTTCCTACGACATCTGGGTTTCCAACTGAAATTCCCTTGACCCGCAATCTTCTGATTGGACAACGCAAACCTCTCAAGTGTATTAAAGCTTCTCTTACACCAAAAAGCTTGGTCAGATCTTCCTGCTCATCTGAGGGAGAAGGAACAATCTGTCCCTTTTCAGCTGAATTGAGTCATTTAAACTTCTGTCTGTACTTACGGCTTCGGTTGAGGATTTCTGTATTCTTTATGATTTTTCTATATTCTACTTAGTAATAAATACTTAATCACAAGCGAGTTCAAGATACTTTTGATTTCTCACAAGGGCTTAAACCACCACAATTTGAGTGACTGAGCTGTTTGTTCACACCACCAACCTGCAGCTCTTCAACGCATAAAACCTCTGAAATAAACAGCAAGTCATAGAAGTAGTGAAATGAAACTATGACTTTACTTGACCTGCAATTGTATTATAACGGTACGGAACGGTTGTGGCTTCCAACCTGGGAGTCTATGAGTATTGAGGTTCAACTTGCCGACTCGATAAACTCCAGAATAAAGGCATCAACAGGTGTGGTGGAACAGTGCAGGGCGATAGTGGGAAGGCTGAAGAGTGGAAGATCCACGGTTCAATCTCAGCATTCTCAAGGATAAATACAAGAACCCAAAAAGTGAGTGAGTGAGTGGATGGATGGATGGATGGATGGTGAGTCAGCACAGCTAAAGAGCTGCTGTCTCAAACCTGCTCTTGTAGATTGTGTGTTCAAGCCCAGTCGTGGTATTAACATTAAAAAGATTTTTGAGGTTCAAGTGGCAATCTCAAGTTTAAATAAGAGAAACAAATAGTTAATTGCTGTATGGTGAGGTGGCACAGCTGAAGAGCTGCTGACTCCAACCTGCACTGTAGGTTGTGGGTTCAAGCCCAATTGTCGTCATTGTTGAGTCTTGATGTATAAAATAGTTTTGAGGCTTAACTCACATTCTCAAGGCTAAATAGGAGAAACGAAATGCCTGAAGTGTGAGCAGGACTGGTGGTGTTGTAATGAGTGCAGAGGACAAAACTTCTGTAAGAGCTAGTGGGTTCAAATCCCACCACTACCAGGTCCTGAGTGCACTACCGCGGAGGTAGTAGTGGGGGCTTTGTCCCCACTGGTTGTTTCACAGGAGTGGAAACAGGGGGTTATGCAAACACAGAAGGAAATGTGACTAGAGTTTAGGTGGCATTGTCAAAAAGTCTTTTGGAGGTCCAAGTCCCTCAAATGCTAATTAGCTGCACTGCAGCAAGAAAGCTACTGCATTATACTATGCACCATATCAAAGTCCTTGCATGTCTAACCTATTTTGCCAATAAATGTTCCTGATTTCTCCCTTTAGTGCATCCACCCACCAATTCTCTGTTAGCTTCATGTTCACTTATTAGTCTGGATTGTAGTGTCCCAAAGTGAAGATGGCCGATACCAATGCAGGAAGAAAGGATGAATAGCATGATTGATCCTCCAAGATGCACCAATCTGTCTCAAGGGCATTGACCAATTATAATATTTTATAAAAAATTAATACAAAATTATTTAGATAAGTGGCGTTATGAGTACAATTTAAGTGCTACAATTTGTTGATTGCCACAATCAACAAATATGTGTTCAGCTCTCATGAGGGTTAATTGACCACTAACGTTAGATAGTTTGTGTATTCAAACAGCTGAAGAACCGAGTGAACAGCCGTTAGCACAAATTAGCCGTAAGCTAATGTTAGCTCACTTAGCAATGGACGCCGCGACAAGTGTTAATATTTATCAGTGGTGGTTTTGTTGTTGTGCGGTCAACATTATAACTCACTAGTCTAATTTTTTTCATCTCAAGCCTAGTTTATGCTTCTACGTTTTCAGAGCAAAGACACGCAGACGCAAGCCCCCCTTGCGTGTCCCTTGCGAGCCTTTCCACACCTCCTTGCGTGCGTCCATTTTTCTAGACATGCGTCAAAAGCGACGCAAGCCTCCCGCAGCCCGCAAGGCTGCGATTGGTCCGCTAACTACGTCCTTTACAGAGTCTCACATTTCAGTTTCATAGCACAATACCGCCATTATTAAAACGAAGAATGTTTATAAGAGAATGGATCAGATTGAAGAAATGCGTAAATATGACCGCTTGTACAAGCCGTCATTGGCGGACTATAAGGACGCGCGGATGGCCTCTGATTCATGGAGGGAGATCTGCACAAACGTCGGTTTGCCGGTCGAGGGGAACAAAGGTGTGGAGGAAAATACTGATTGGTCAATCAATAGTTTTACAGAAGATTTATTCTACATCAAAAAGTATGATTAAAACATGATACGATTTTGTTGGGAATCATTTACTATGACTCGAATATTTATCATCTGTAATCATCCATAACCATTTTTGACATGTGTACTTATGCATGTTTATGAATGAGATTGTTAGTAACAGAGAGAAAACTAAAAAAACATTGTCAACAATATTAATTAATTTAGATATTCCAGTATGCTGGTAGCTTTATTTTGCCTTTGCACAAAGAAGGCATCATTTGACGGACACATTAGATTTAAAGGGAAAAGAGCAAAAAATGCTTACGCGTCTTTGTACTTCTTAGAAAAGCCTCAAACTTTAAATGTGTGACACTAGAGGTGGAAATGAGAGACTGTGCATCTTGTACTTCTATATTGCCTGAAAACATTACAGAAAATAAGAGGGAACTGCTGACCTATTTTATGCAAGAGGATATCAATGTAATTTAGTTTTGTCAATTGTTTTTATGTATGCTTGGTAGACCTCACGTACCGCTAGCGGTGTTAGAACATTAAACCATTACTATCTAGACAGTTTGTATTTCCTGAGCAGACTATAGTTGTGGATGAGAACTGGATGTGTGGTTTTTAACTGTGGGAACTGGACTGGACCACACGATGCGTCCGTCCTCTTGGAGCGCGAGCTCGCCGCTGGCCACCAGCTCTAGAGCGGCGGGGAAGGCTCGGTGCTCGGCCTCCCGGATTCTGTCCGAAAGACTCTCCTCTGTGTCGCCGGCCAGCACGGGCACTGACTCCTGCACGATGATTGCGCCTGCATCCACCTCCTCCTAAACACACAGCCGGGAGTGTGTTCAGTTCGGGAGAAATGATAAACTCTGGTATGAAGCTTTCCGTAGTCGGCCATACTTACTGCTGCAAAGTGGACCGTGCAGCCAGTCACTCGCACTCCCGCCTGCAGCGCCTGCTTCTGGGCATTCATGCCCTTAAATGAGGGGAGCAGGGATGGATGGATGTTCAGCAGCTTTCCTGTAAGAAAGACATGTATGAAAATGTGCGAGACCTTCATATGACCCACCACATCATCATAACAATGTTGTTACTCCGCACCGTTCCATTTCTTGACAAAAGACCCTGTGAGGATCCTCATGAATCCTGCCAGACACACCAGCTCCACCCCAAATTCTTCCAGCACACGATCAATTGTGCCGTCAAACTCGGTCCGGCTCCCGTACAGTTTGTGGTCCACCACCTACGTCAGGGCAGACATAAACTCCATCAACATCATTTATTGTGTTCCCCTTACTCCACCTAATCCCTCAGTTAATCTAATCCCTTTGCAAACCCATTTAAGTGGAAACTCGTGGTTATTCATTGTTTGTTTTCACCCGTGTCTGGATGCCAGCCAGCGACGCCTTCTTCAGGCCCAGAACCCCCGGTCTGTTGGAGATCACCACCACGATCTCTGCAGAGCTCGATGGGTGCTTGGCCTGCTCTATCAGCGCCTGCAAGTTGGTGCCTGGGACAAACATACCAGAAGACTTTAAAGACAGAGTAAATGACTACTGCACAGATCATTTCCTCAAATATTGAACTACTCCTTCAATGGACGCACAAGGCACTCTGATTCAATGCCTCTTTTCCAGAGCAATAAAAACACACCTGTGCCAGAGATGAGGACGGCCACCCTGGTCCTCTTGTCTTTGCAATGGAAACCTACGTTCTGATTGACGCCCACCTCTCCACTGGGAGCGGGACCTCCACCCTGGAGGCGGTGTTTCAGGTTGTGGACCACCACCTGCTTGGCCCCTGCGTACATTCACGTTTGTTTTTTTCACTCAAATGAATTACAGTAAAAGAGATGATTGCGTTTTAATTTCCAGCGTGTCTCACCCTGCTGCTTGTGGACCAGCGAACCCACAATCCACACCTCTTCATGAGCTTGGAGCTGGCATAGCACCGTCTGAGCATCCTCGGGGGCAACCACCAGCACGGCCCCCAGGCCGCAGTTGAAGGTGCGGGCCATCTCCTCCTCGCTCAGACCCCCCTCCTTGTGGATCCAGGAGAACACTGGTGGGATGCTCCACCGAGAGGCATCTGAGTCGTGTCACAAAGGCCACGTGGAAATATTATTGAATGAGAGCCACAAATGTTTCAGCTTCATCCACGACGCTTCCTCATCTCACCTAAATCGACTGCCAGCTCCTGGGGCAGCACCCGAGGGATGTTCTCCAGAAGCCCCCCCCCCGTGATGTGGGCGAAGGCTTTGACGGCGCCGCTGCGGAGGATTGGCAGCAGCAGGCGGCTGTAGATCTTCGTCGGAGTCAGCAAAACGTCGCCTAGAAGCAGAGTCACATGGTTACAGTCACGTGGTGGGCTTTAAAGGGGTAAACATGTAAGCAATGGAACTTTGTAATAAATCAATGTGCCAGTTGCTCTCAACTAATTATTTGGTCGACTCACCGATGGTCCGTCCCGAATCGGCAAAAAGAGCAGGGGAGCTGTATTCGAGGTTGGCCCTCTGCAGCACTTTGCTGACCAGGCTGAAGCCGTTGCTGTGGACCCCGGAGGAGGCCAGCCCGACCAGCAGGTCCCCCTCCTGGATGTCCCCCAGCCGGGGCAGCAGAGCCCCGCGCTCCACCGCGCCAACACAGAACCCGGCCAGGTCGTACTCGCCCGCCGCGTAGACGCCGGGCATTTCTGCCGTCTCACCACCTGGACATGGGAGAGACCAGAGACGTCAAGACGCGGGTAGTAGAGCGTCTGAAGGAAGCAGAGTCCCATAAACGTCCCCACAGCTCACCCAGCAGAGCGCAGCCGGCCACCTTGCAGGCCGCGGCGACGCCGCCGACCACCGCCGCTGCGACGTCCACGTCCAGCCTGCCGCAGGAGAAGTAGTCGAGGAAGAAGAGCGGCTCGGCGCCTTGAGCCAACACGTCGTTCACACACATAGCCACCAGGTCCTGACCCAGGCCGCCGTGCCGACCGCACGCCTGAGCAATCTGTGGTAATCAAAAAAATATATAGAGAAGAATTCCTGAAAGAATCACGGATCTTTCCCCGGCTTCTCTGTCCCGTCAGAGCCAAATCTGGAGAGAGTCCAGGCTTTTGGTGGTTTCTTCTAAGTTTGCCTCGTGGCAAACAAACCTTCCTTCTTCTCCATCAACGCGTCAAAGTAACCTGACACCTACCCTGAGTTTGGTCCCCACGCCGTCTGTCCCAGAAACCAGGATCGGGTCGACAAAACCGGCTCCCTTCAGGTCAAACAGCCCAGCGAAGCCTCCCAGTTCTGCATTACACCCTGATGGAAGCAAAACCTGGGATTTGACTGCATTGGAGCCGCTGACTTTACCTCAAACATCAAAATGACAGCACAACTACAAATTGTTTTAATCAGGTGCACACTTAAAGATACAATAGCCTCATTATTTAATTGCACCATAATAGTATTTAATGTTACCGGGGCGGGACGTCGCCTTGGCCAGAGGCTTGATCATCTCCACCAACTTGTTTCCAGCAGCGATGTCCACTCCGCAGCCTTTATAGGTCAGACCTCTGTCAGAGACACAGTGAAGGCTGTTGCTCTGAGTGTTACAGAATTTCTTGAATTTCCCCTAGGGGACCAATAAAGTACTTATCTATCTATCAGTCTACACCATTAAGGAGTCAATCAGGGACTCGGCCATTTAAAGACACTAGGACCCGAGTTCATATAATTTCATGTTTATTAAGTTCCACATGATATACAGTACAAAGATGGACTTGACCACAAACTAGTGTGAACAAAACACTTTCTCACACACACCTGCGGTCTGGGTTCAGGTGGGCGATGGCCCGGTGGCCGATGTCGCGCCGGTACACGGCCCCCGGGAAGCCCACGGCGGCCACGCCCTGATTGGCCGCCTGCAGGGCCGACTCCAGTGACGGCCTGACCGCGGTGACAGTGAGGACCCGCCCCCCGCTGGAGACCACGCCTCCTTCCTTCAGAGCCGTGCCGGCGTGGAACACCTGCACCCCCGAGTCCTGGACCTGGGACAAGCCTGAGGATGAACACGCCGTTAGTCTGGCGTACGCCCGGCTTGAAGTTACCAAACACACGAGAGGATTTACAATCTAAAACGTGGTGTGTGAGGTTTAAATCATTAAAGATGTGCTGCGTGATAAAAACCTGACAAGAAACAAACTAAATATAGCGACGTGTAAACATTACTGTAGTTGTAGAAAAGCCACTGGGCTCGGGCCGTGATTGGCATCGTGTCATTTGAGCGGTTAGCAATGCGTGCCTGTGATCTCCACTCCTTTCTTGTAGGAGCCGGGGTACCCAGCGCTGGCCATCACCACGGTGACCGCAGAGCTGTCCTGGTGCCACACGGGGGCGCTGGAGACCAGTTTGCCACTCATGGTGTTCAAGATCACTTCATACAGGTCGCTCTTCAGGAGGGGCAGCAGCACCTGAAGGAGTGACGGACATTAGGGGTGGGAATCTCTTGGCACATCGCGATTCGATTCCGAATCAGAGGTCAACGATTCAATACCGATTAATTGATTCCAAACAGATTATCAATTCTAAAATCGATAAAACGATTATCAATGCATCTAGATTTTTAAAACATTTGAGTTCGCTACTCAGAGGTTGCTAATCACTTCCTACTTTGTTTGATGATGAAACAAAATCAACAGATGAATTACCTTCTCTAAGAGAAAAAAAATCTGTCACAACTACGACTTTCTATCAACAATGCAGGTAGCATTGTAAAAAAGCCTATGTAAAAAAATATTGAACTGATTATTATTTATTTTTTTACTGTTAGCGCATGTCGGCTAGCTGCGCCGCTCAGTGCGCGTCGGGCGGAGGGTGTGCGTGCGTATGGCCTCAGCGAGTGTTATTTGCACCGTAACTTCAACACTCGAGAGACACAAATCAGCCAGACATTTTTCTAATTCCGATTATGAACTTTTCTGAACAGAGTCCAAATGGTTCTAGAGAGAACGGGACATATCTGATGTATATTAATAAAAGAGACAATCCCGTGATGGATGGAGGGCAGAGAAACCCACCTGACACTCGGGGTCTCCAAAGCGACAGTTGAACTCCAGGACCTTCAGCCCCTGCTTGGTCAACATCAGCCCTGCATACAGAACACCTGGAAATAAAAAGAGCCAGCGTGAACTTTATCAATGTCAAAGCACAAATAGAAGACGGCGTGCAGCGGTGCGCGCTGGTCGGCAGAGCACTTGCCCACATAAGGAGTTCCCTCCTCCCTCATCCCGTCCACGGTCTTCTGCAGGACCGTGTCTCTGATCTGCTGCAGCAGCTCCTGGCTCACCTGCAGCAGAGACGCGAGCAGCATTACACATCGGGCCAAGGAGAGTACTAGAAGGGGGCCGGACTGAGAGGAGGGAGAAGCGTGTACCTGGGGGGTGGGGCAGTAGGCCCCCATGCCGCCGGTGTTCGGCCCCAGGTCTCCGTCCTGCAGCCTCTTGTGATCCTGTGCTGGAGGCATCGGTGACACCGAGGAGCCGTCAGAGAAGCAAAGGCACTAGGAAACGAAAAGGGGGGGGTCCCGTCAATTCTCCTCTGATTTGCACAGTAAGGTGCATTTGGGGCGATTCTTTTATGGTTTTCAACTCACAGACACTTCCTCTCCTTCCAGCAGCTCCTCCACCACCACGGTTTCCCCTGCAGAGCCAAAGGCTCGGTCCTGCAGCGGCCACAGCGTCAGAGGAACAATCAGCTAAACGTGTGAAGCCTGTGCAGCTACTTTAACAATCATCAGTCACAGGAGTGGTTCAGTCGCTGAACTTCAGTCAGACATTTGTCTTCTCTCTCCCCTCCAGGCTAGTGTGACTGCTCGGATGAAGGAGCCCGGAGAGGTTTCGTACCTTCATGATGTCCATCACAGCCCGACAGGCCTCTTCCCGGTCTCCTGCCACGATGACTCCCTTCCCTGCTGCCAGCCCGCTGGCCTTCACCACCAGCGCCGGGAAGTCGGCCCTGGAGACCCCCGATCCCCCCCAGCAACGAAACAAACTGAGCGTTAAAAGACGAATAGGGCAGCCGCCGTTTCCTAAACAAGGAAATGACTTTCCCACAGTATAGATTTCTTTCTGTAAAAGGGGAAACTCTTCTGGTGGACAGTATGAAGGTGCAGTCTTTACATTTTAAATCATCAACTCGTGAAACAATCTGAGAAACAAAACCTCGGAGGAAATAACATTTTCTAACATGGTGCAAATATTGAGTTCAACTCCACAACATTGCGACAGGAGATCAAAGCTGAATTTAAAAAGAATGGTGTCATAGTTTCACCATGAATACTTCAAAACATTTCTTGGTTTCCTCTGTTCATTTCCTCTAACTTGTGTGCTCTCCCTCATACAATCAACTGTTTGCTGCCCGTCTGCCGTACTGACGTGCGGATGTAGTTGCAGGCCTCCTCGGGGGCGGTGAAGGAGCCGTAGCGGGCCGTGGGGATGCCGTGGCGCTCCATGAAGGCCTTGGAGAAGCTTTTGCTGGCCTCCAGCTGAGCGGCTTTGGCCGACGGGCCGAAACAGGGCACTCCTGCTGCCGTCAGGTCATCTACCATACCTGGAGGAGAGGTCAAAGGTCAGGGAAAAGACGCTACGGACAGCACAGTTTGTAGGAGGGCGGGAGCTTACCTGCCGCCAGAGGCACCTCCGGCCCGACCACGACCAGCCCCACGTGGTGATCCTTACAGAACTGAGCCAGAATGGCGTGGTTACTCACAGACACCTCTGCGTGGAAAGAGAGAGGAAGCAGCACGGTCACGGTTGTAGCTACGGGTGTTTCTATCGTTTAAACATCCTCGGCCATTACCAGAGTTGGAGATCTTCCCACAGCCGGCCGTGCCTGCGTTACCCGGGGCAACCAGGACTTGCTGGACCTGCGGCGATTGGGCCAACTTCCAGGCCAGCGCGTGCTCCCGTCCGCCCCCGCCGACCACCAGCACCTTCTCCGCCATGTCACCTGGGGGGCCAGAACACACCTTCAGCACCACAGCGACACCACCGGCACACTTTAAGCGCTCGGGAAGCATCTCTTTGATTAATGCAAAGCTTGACCCACAACACAAAGGAGTTAGCTGCGCTGTAACGGAGCGCTGACCTTTACAGAGGGAATTATAATCTTGTAGAGCCACAGCAGCCCGGGTCCAATCACGTGGAACAACAAGTCAATTAAATGAAACAATAAAAAAAAAGGCACGGTCACCAGGCAGCGCCGAATCAGCCGCGGCTCATCGCCACGGAAAAGCAAAGCCACGGTCAGGACGAGATACAATGAAGTATTCGCCTTCAGCCCAGTGCGGCCAGTCTGCAGACTCTACCGGCGCGCTCAACTTTTCAAGAAACCTTGGAGTGACATTTTTTTGTCGGGGGTGGACGATACGGCGGTGGGGGGGGGCAAGGGTTGCGTGACTAGAGTAGGGGCTTGTACGTTAAAAGAGACAAGAAGACCCTTTGACCCTCTGTTGAAACAAACCAGGGTTGGACTTCAATCCCCTCTTCCCAATCTGTACGGACCTGAGGATTGTGTAGAAGCTTGCGTCACTTTACTAATGAAATGTCTAATCTGATGACAGCACAAAGGGTCGAGTGTTGCACAGTTGGGGGGGGGGGTCAGTCGCTCAAATGATGAGACTCACATGAGACTCACATGTTCGGCAGTTAATCAAATACTCGAGGCCAACAGTTAGCTCTTAAAGCTCTTAAAAGCAACCCCAAGCTCAATATGAGGCGCTGTACGCTGTGATAACTTGTGTCACTTTTCACATTTTTCTTCCAGAGTAATTCCACAACTTCACTGACGTTCAAGCATCAAATTAACGGTTTCAGTGGGAAGGTTACTGCCCAGTTGCACGCGCTTCACTGAGCTGCATGCGTTCCGTCTACACTGCAGCAGAATAGTTGCTGCAGTCTGCATCATGAGATCATCTATTCCAGCATCTCAAAAAGGTCAATCGCTCCCTCACACTGCGAGGAACGTGCGAGTGTTGTGGCTTTGCGTAAAAACCATGCATTTAATCTTTAGCCTTGAGGAAAAGCAAGTTGTTGAAATGAACATGTAACGTAAGCATGACGCTTTGATTACTCACCTGTGTGTCTCAGGTGGAGGGAGGGAGGTCTATGGCGCAAGAAATATCCGGAGCCCAGTTCAGGACAGCAGTCGCCAGTGTCTTCTGTGCTTTCAGTCTGTAGGTGTCAAACTAAGCTTTTGAGTTTGGGCCAGACACTCCCCCCCTTTGATTTGGGCCAGACCATTATAGATCATAGAGGGGTGGTGCCGCGGATGGTCCGGGCCATAGGTATATATACATACATACATACACATAGATAAGATAGATCTATGTATATATTATATCTATATATAATATATATATATATATATATATATATATATATATATCCAGAGCGACTTACAATAAGTGCATTTCAACCATAAGGACAAAGACACAAAAGAACAAGGAACGTGCAATTTCATCAAATAAACAGATCTACAACTGGCTATAGATAAGAGCCTTTATAAGTACAATTTAAGTGCTGCAATTTGTCAGCGAGTCAAGGTAGAGTCTGAAGAGATGTGTCTTTAGTTTGAAGATGTTAAGGCTCTCTGCGGTCCGTTCCAATAAGCGGGTCTGTTTTAGAAAGGGAGGTAACTAAAGCTCAGGGTCAGTCACCATGGTAACTGAACCTGTGAACATAACCTGGTCGGGAGCAGGTTTTCTTCAATAAACCTCGAGTTTCTTTCACAGTCCCTCTCACAGCAGTCCACAATCACACAGCGCTCCTTCATTTCCTCATTCATTCATTCAAGTACTCTGTATCAGGTGGATTTTAGCGCAGTTCCCACAACTCTAAACAGCTGTTCTGAAGCCCAACACTCAGTTTGCCATCTCAGGATAAATCAACTCAGAGTTTAGGTTTTGACTTTGTTAAACCTCCAACTTGAAACGGACCCCCTGGTGTCTTCAGAGAACTCGTTCCACCATTTAGGAGCAAAGACAGCAAAGAGTGTTTTGCTCTCAGTAAGGGAGGGACAAGCAGTTTTACAGGTCCTCTGTGAACCAACAAAGACAACAAACGAAATGTGTAAACTGGCTGTATCTCAGCTTTAACGTCCACGTCTACTACAGACCAAAGGTCATTAGTTCATGAGCTGGAAAGACCTTCATAACAAACCTGAAGAGGAGAATACAAAGTGTCTTTTGATATTCAACAACCACAGCAGATAATACGGAGAACAAGTTTTCTACCTCTGAGCTTCAGAACAGAGCTGGTCTCTGATGTTCCTCTTCTTCACAAACCTGGAGAGTCCAGCATAGTTCCCACCATCTAGGAGGAGAAACAGGAAATGAATTAAGTGTTTTGATTTGAATTCATTTAGAATATAACCGTGTATGACAAGTAGATTAATTACATTGATTTTGTAGTTTTCTTATGAATCCTCTTTAGTCCTAAATTAAATCATATAAACATAACATGTAAAAGTTAGATACTTGTAATATAAGGCAATTACATTACATGTCTCAGGACTTTTTCATCTTATTGAAGAATGAATGTGACTTTATTTCAGTCTTTGTCATTGACACACAGGAAAAACTCTCCAGTATCTTCATATTTTATGTAAATCCACCATCAAGTGAAAGTCCTTGTGATGGATGGTTAGTTCACAGTAAAATACACGTGGAGAGAACTATTCCCAACAAGGACAACGTTTCAGTATTGAATGAGTTGGTACCATTGGACAGAATCATGAAGACGACACAGGAAACCACTTGGCAAAGAAAAGCAACCAGCAGTATTTAAACTGAAAGCAGCTTATCGACCAATAGTTTCTTTAATTCTTTATTATTCACTGTTCTTGATTCCATCACCTTGGTTACTGATCAATAAAGGGCTTAAGAAACATTTGCTTTCATGTGACTTTATTCTTTTACTTCTTCATATAACAGTGAAAGTGCTTCAAGTCCCAATTTAATCCAAACGAGGAAAAACAAAGAAGATGTAGAAACGGGGCAAACTGAAACCAAACAGACAGTGAATTTACAGACAAATACATATTAAACATATTTAAACCTTTTAAGCTCCGTTGATTGAAATATTCCATCAATTATTCTTTCATAAGTTGCTGTAACTAGAAGGTCACCAGAAGAACGATCATTACAATCCGTCTCCGTCCTCAGCCAGCAGGCAGGACGGCAGACACAAAGACAGCCGCCATCTTCTACCAGATTGGTCCGAGGCCGCTCGGCTGGCCCGGCCCGGCCCGGCATGGTCTGGTCCACTTTGGACAAACTGAGTCATCGCGGCAGACGGATCAACGCTCCTCACAGGAGACGAGCAGCTCTCTGCTGCTTCCTGTGGTTGGCTGGAGCAGCGGATGCTCCTCTGTGATTGGCCGGCTCCCGTCTCCGACTGCTGGAGCGAGGTCACCAGGCGGCGTGGAGGACTGTGCTCGTTGGTCCGATGATGCGACGCGCGCAGAGGAGAGGAGCGGTCCGAGGTAAAGCTACAAACAAATTAAGAAGGAGGAAAAAATGTTTAATACAAGTCGTGGCTGGAAATAGATTTAACAGAACCTCTTAGTTCATTCTTGACATTTACAAATAGTTTCCTGCGTGGCCGCCAAACATTTCCTGTTACAATATGTCATCGTTTTGCAGTTGGTCAGAGCTCTAAGAAGAAGCCAGTAAAGTCACAGCCCAAAATAACAGCTTTGTGACGTGAGAGGCATTAAACATTATATTGCTAATATTCATTCTTGGGAGCTTAACGTTATAAACGTGGATCGGCTTAGAGAGTCTGAGTACTGATGGAAACCGACGTGATGTGAATTTATCAAGACGACAGGCAAACACGGAGGAAGTGTCGAGTTTGCATTGGCTGGATTTTAGTTCATCTCACCTGTCGAATGACGTCTGGAGGGAAGAGGAGGAGGAGGAAGGGCGAGGTTGTGCGTTGGGTTTTTGTGGGCTCGCCATGGTCACATAGTCGTCCTGAGGCAGTGCAGGTGAACTGTGTCCTCCTGGCGGTGACATCATCATGTAACCTAGACGCTGAGCCTCGCCCGGGTTCCAGCTCCCGCTGCAGAGGTCCCCCGTCGCCATGGCAGCGCCTCTGTCCCTCCCTTGGTCCACTGGGACGCGCTGGTCCGTCTTCATTTCCACGTAGTCGTCTGTCTCGGACGTGGAGCTCCGAGGGGACGCGAGAGGGCCGGGGTGTGAGGCAGAGCCCGCAGTGGACGCAGGCTGCGTGCGGTGTGGTCTGTCGGGCTGGAGGGGACATTCAGGGGGACTCGTCTGGGTTTCAGGGTTCCTGAGGAGCGGCGCCGGACGAGCACCGGGCGGCCTCACATTCACCGCTTTGTCTCTGTATTTGGGTCGGCCGCGTTTTGAAGGCAGGAGGGCTTGAAGCTGACTGCGGGAGGAGGCCGGTGAGCGGCTGAAGTCGGGAAGAGCTCGGAGCGTCCGGACCGTCTCAATAACCACCTCGTGAATGCGATGGGCGACTGCCGGGTTCCCTGTGCAGAGCAGACAAGAAGTCAGGGTCCTGTGGTGAGGCACAACTTGGTGAAACAGCCACACCTTTCAGTTCTTCATCACCTTGGTCTCTCGCTCCCATCCAGATTTCGCCGGGCCCATTTGGTGCCGACCTGCCGAGCTCCAAGTAGAAGGAACCGTCCAAGTGACCAAAGCGCCGGACGCTGAGCAGCGGTATTGTGAGCGACGGCAAATCGCTGCACGCCGTCACTCTGACCAGGATGAGAGACGTGGCTGTGAGGCACAGACGGCTCTCCCCGGACAGAGACTTGGTACAGCCCAGACCTGTGGGCCTCACTGTGACGGGCCACACCTGAGACGGGGGGACGGGGGCAGAGGCAAAGAGCGGGCAGGGGTATTTATACCTGGTGGAAAGCTGGGAGCACAAAGTAAGGAACTCTTATTTGGTTCCGTTTGGGGGCCTTTAGAAAACCTCTCATTTCACTGCAGCAGGAGCCAGACGGCTACAAGCAGTCCTGGTTCTGTTCCTCGTGGCCTCGCTCCCCTTTAGGGGGCCCGGCCGTACGGCCCGGGTCTCCAGCAGGGACCATCGAGGTGTTTTCATTGGTTTTAGGTATGTTAAACTGTTCTTTTGGCTGTATTTTTAGTGTTTATATTGATATTTTCAGGGATGATGACGACATACTTGCCCTGTGGAATACAAGTGTGTCCGTCACCAAGAAACTGGAAAAACATTTCAGTAAAAGGTATTTTGAGGAGATCAAAACCAAGTTCTCTGCATTTTAGAAGCTTTCTGGTGGATTTATTATCAGATATATTTTATCCATTACTATGTTCTCATTCAATTAAGAACGGTTGTGTTTTCATTAGCTTAGAATGATCCCTTCATGAGTAACAGAGGTGACTGTAAATACCTTAAAATGTCACCTCGTCTCCATAGATCGAATGCTTGGGGGAAAACAAACCTCTTTGAAGGAAGCAGCGGAGGGAAGGGTGCAATAGCCGTCATCCTCTTCATCACATCCTTCTCCGCGCTCTTCATCCTTCCGCTCTTCCTCCATCAGTTTCCTCATGGCCAGGTACCAGGCTTCTTGTTCCCACTGGTCCTCCACCACCAGCACCATGGTCTGATCCTTGGCATACAGCGCCACCGTGTGACCTTTCCTAGAACTGCCGCTCCGACTCACACCGAGACAGCACCTCAGGTACATCACCCTGTGAGGGGGGACGTAAACCCCCACAGTGAATCAAAGGTCCAGTAACTTCTGCAGCTTCCTGCCTGCGCCAACGTTTCTGTTAACACGTTTCAGAGCTACCAGGTGGGACTGATAGGAGATCAGCGTCAATGGTAAAAACAATTCAGGGTTCTTTAACTTCCAGCATGTATTACGACCAAAAAGGCAGTGGATTTATTCAGGGTGTCAAACAAATTACTGACGCGTATCAAAAACATCCCTCGTCTACATTTAGCGAATCGTAGGAGTCAACGTGAAGCCCCTTGAAGATCCTAAATTGGTTAAAGTGGACTGAACGTACCCCAGCTTGCTTGAGCCAGACAGCGCAGCTTTACCAGCAGACTTCTCCTGGTTCTTGTACCATTCGAGTCGGCCTGGCCCGGTGTGACTTCCTGCTCTCAGGACAAAATATCTTCTGTGGTTCCGGTCCAGCTTCCCGAGGAAACCTTGTTTCACCACATCGCTGTGTGGCCCGCAGGAGGTCACGAGGGCGCCGGTCAGAGGGCCCACAGCGTGGGAGCCCTGGCTGCTGCAGAAGAGTTCCTCGTAGGGCCGAGATGGAGGACTCGACTGAAGCTCGTGGTGGTGCTGCTGGGAATCCGGGTCCTGCTCCATCTGACCATCCGTCACCCAGGGAGACCTCAGAGGGGATTCGGCTGGTGGTCGTGTTTGGGTGGAGCTGCAGCTGGGAGATGACGGAGGAGAGCTGGGCGCAGGAAGAGATCTCTCTTGGTTGTGTCCTTCTGCAATTTCATTTATTCCAAGATGAACACCTGAAAAATGCACACAGGAATTAAAATAACAGACTGCATTATTTATACTTTTCTTTAAAAAAAATGCAGCCGAATATATTCTCAATATTATATATATATATATATTCTCAATAGCTGATTTTATAAAATGAACCTCATGTTTCTTCTTCGAAAACCAAGAGATTGGTTAATTTACTAAAGCTGGTTATATTAGGAAAGTCTAAAATGAGCCCCAGCAGAGGGAGACAAACCACATTTACATGATTCATTGATCATCAGATATAATATTACCGCTTCACCTCATCCAACAATAGACAGAAGTGTTAATAGTTTAAATCCAGGCCTATGCCCATGAATAATTCCCCGCCTATGTAAAGAATTAATTTATATATAAATGATTCTTATATATTTGGGGGGAAGTGCTGCATTACTCGCATTAATGCGTGCCATTAAAAGTAAAGTAACCAATGTCACAAAAAATAAATAAATAAATGCATTTTTACTATTTCTATTAACGGAATGACGGTGAAACAACAGGCCGGAAACTACCAGCAGCATATACCAATTAAGCTAGCTTAGTTAGCTCGCCAGCTAGCTAGGTCGCGTTTTCCCACTACATTTAATTAAAAACGTTGAATTAAAACTCACCTGAAACCGTCTGAAGTACAAACATCCCAGCTGGACACACGCACCGTGTCGCCGGTGCTTACTTTCAGCCTGTCGGCAAAACAACGGTTTCTGAACGTATTTCCCGTTAAACTCGTCGGGGCCGTTTGTCCGCTCAGGTGTTACAGACGCTCTGCGGAGCCGTGCATGTACGTCGCGGGAGCGCGCACTGCGTTCAGCGCCGACGAGGCCCAACGGCCATATTTAGTGTAGAACCGGTTCGATCTTCTCTCTGGAGTTCATCAATGATGACACATGATCTGGAGTCTGTCGTTTGTGAACATTTACTGACGTCTATGTTTTTTTATCAGACTTCCTATGGTTGCATTGAAACAGTTGATGGGACATTATGTTTCATGATGCGAACAATTTTCTGTTGTTTTTAGCTTTGGTTTTAAGCCACACAGACTTCATATCAAACTTAAATGATCAAATGCAAGCAAAGAAAAGTTGAAAAAGTGGAGCTACATTGTTTGCAAGGAAATTAAAAATATCAGTCAGTAACCAATGAAACTTGATAAAAGATCATCAATATATAAAACCTATTACTGTAGCTTGTGTTTTTTTCACTTTTTTCAAGAAGTCTGCTCAAACAACATCAACATAATTGGAAAGAAAAATGAAGACGGTGGAAATCAAAACGTCCAATAACGATCAAATAATAACAATATACGTTATTGTACTCTCACAGATATTTCCAATCCTTTATATAGACACCAAAGCCAATAATCCCAAAAATGATCAATTATGCACTTATCAACTATGCTGTTCATCAGTCTACATAATGACGATGTAATCGGAGCATAAAATGGGGTCTATTGATTTTTATTTCAGTAAACGTTTTCTGCAGTAACAACCTCTGGGGAATAGTGCCGTTTTCGTTGGTTTGTGTATATGTATTTATTATTTGTATCTACTTTTTTCCAGATGTGGCATTAACTAACTACATCCGTGTCGGCTAGTGTCGGTCCGACAACTAGCACGGAGTGAATCAAAGTGCGCGTGCGTGCGTGCGGGCGTGTCCCGGTTGGAGGCGGAAACACCGGGAACCCGCTCCAGATCCCCTTCACTTTCGCTTCACTTTCTACTTATCGCGAGCCAACCGCACTTTAAACACAAATACGACAGCTGCGTTGTTGTTTTTAAATACTTTTAAATAACGTAATGTTAATTTCCGGTCGAAACAGAAGCGGATAGACCGACAGTTGAAGCGAGGAAGAGGACGATGTGGCCGACTGAGACGCCCACGAGAGCGGCCGGGTTGTTGTGCGTTTTACTGGCCGTGGTGTCCGCGAGCACCGGTAAGCGACCACGTTTTACGCGTTACAAAGTACCAAGTGGTGTCGCGCTGTTGCGTGTCCCCGGGGTTACGTGCCTACTGGGTTTTTGAACCTACTGGTTTGTCTACGCGTGCGTGTTTGTGTCCCCCCGCCCCCCCACTCAGCGGCAGAAGGTTTTCTGGCCTCGGCACCTGTTTCGTCACACATTCGCAAACATATTGCTGAAGATTCGTCACGCGTCGTCGTGGAACACTTTATCGGTGCCTTTTCGCGATGCCGCATACTGTGAAAATACTCAATAATTATTAACACTAAGCCACATAAGGAAGATAATATCAGTAATGTTCTATCCACAAAATGAAGAAGTGGACGTCATGATTTACAGCCATTGTAAACACTGCTTGATTAGAGTTTTTGTAGAAACCTTAAGGCCTTAATCATCTTATAAGTAATTTGCTTGATGGCTCACAATTGCCAAACAAATAAAAAAATCACCATGCCTTAATATCTCCAAGAACAAAAACTCAGGAGCAATTATAATTCAATTACATTTATTTAATCCATCCCAAAATCAAATATTAGCATTAGAGGGCTTTACAATCTGTACATATAAGACACCCTCTGTCCCAGGACCCTCACATCGAAACAGGAAAAACTCCCCCAAAACCCTTTTTAACAGGGAGAGAAGAGGAAGAAACCTGTGGGAGAGCAAAGCCGTGGGCCGTCCTTCTCCCATGATGGACAGAAGTGCAATAGATGTACAGAATGAGAGCAACAAAACATTCAATGGACAGAAGCACAGAGGCAAGACCAGGGTCCAGATAGAACCACGATCCGTGGTGACCTGTGAAGAGACCAAGCACAAAGACTGCTGATGGCTGACATGCAATAGGTGCAGAGCGGACAGTAGCAGGAGTGATGGCAAATTTCCACCGTATTATTACTTTTACAATATGACTTATCTTCCCGTTTGTAATGTTAGACTTCTCTCTATTTAGACCCTTTCAATTCCACCCAGATAAGACTAATGTTTTAGGACACCATGTTTTCAGCAAGATGATAGTCAGGGGGCGTTCTCTCAAGTTCATCAGCACCGTTGTTGATATGATGGTCTCTGTTTTGACAACGGGAAGGAGATGAATGGTTGAGCAGATGTTTCGATGTTCAGATGTTGTGCACTGGATCTGAGAAGAAGCATTGACGAGTAATCTATTATATTGTAAGATTACAGAACTGTCAGTTTAATCTTACCCATCACCTTACCTGATTTCTTTCTCAATAACATCTAAATGCATATGACAAAAAAAATGGTTCTCTTTGCGAGGGCCCATCGGTGCTCTTTTTTTTCTACAGCTTTCCGAGATATATTTCTACTGAGCAGAGGTCGCACAAACTGCAATTCTCCCTTTATACTGATGTTGCTAATTAACGTTATTGCTCAATCCCTGCTGTATTTCCGGATTTCACGTCTGTAAAGCACTTTTTTAACAACGTAGATGTAAAGTGTAAATAACTATCAAGCATCGCGGAAAAAGCACCAACACACATGTTTGGAAGTGTTCCACGACACGCCCACTAAAAAACAGTTGTCACGGTTCACTCTGAACCAAAAGGCCACCAACCAAATCGCTGCAGAGGACATGTGATGACTTTTTAACAGCAGAGAACGAACACAATACCATAGTTAGGAGTAAAATATAATGCAGTATACATATAACAGTTAGGAGTACACTAGAAACGGGTAAAGGTATAACGGTTGGGAGAACAATAGAAGAGAGTAGAAGTATACAAGTTAGGAGTACAATAGCGATAAGTACAACTTCTGAGCTTCTTTTTGCAGAGATCACAATCTACAGGAAGCTGGGCGATGGAGTCGTTCTCAGGCCGGTTAACATCTCCGTGTCCTCCACCATCGTGTGGAAACAAGATGGCAACCTGGCCGCCGAGGGGGATGGAGCCGAAATCACTCTCTATCGTGACTTCAAGGGTACGCCGAGCCGAGTGCCTCTCCTCCGTGTCCGGGGGGGCATATGTGAGCTTTTTGATTGGCTTCTCGGCTGACCTGGTCCCGTGTCTGTTTGAAGGTCGCGGTAGGCTGAACACTTCGAATGGAGAGTTGACGATCACGGGACTGACTCCAAAGGAAAACGGGTTTTACACATTGGAAACAAAGGAGATGGCGGGTCCGAAAATTCATCTCATCGTCATCTGTAAGTGGAAAAAAAATCTTCCCCAGTTTTAACGCTGCATTTTTTCATTGAATTCAATACTTAATGATATGAGACACCAGACCACATTGTTTACATACACATGTATGTATTCTTTCCCTGATAACGACAGCCCCCGTCCCCAAACCCACCGTCAGCAATCAGTGTGACCCCGACAGGACCCTGTGCACCCTGAGCTGTGACGGAGACGTCGCAGACGCCGCACCCGTCACCTACAGGTGGAGTCCAGGAGACACGGCTGCATCCAAGGAGCTACGCCTCGCCAAGGTACCCCGGTGCAGTGTACTGCCCTGATGTTTTCTCCCCACCGATTGCCGCGCGCGTGCATGAGCGGTAGTAAAGCGCTCGCCGCTCTGCTTCCAGGAGGACAGCTGGGAGGTGCAGGAGTTCCGCTGCGTGCTGCAGAATCCGGTCAGTCAGGAGAGCAGCGAACCCGTGCCCAACCCTTTCTCCAAAGGTGGGTCACCAAGTACACTCCAAACGTGCACATTTTGGCCCCGCCGCGCCCTAACGAGCCCACGGGGCCTGCTGACGTTGTTGCTTAGCACTCGTAAGAGGGCCGAACTTCTCGACGGGAGGCGTGGTGTTCGTCGCGCTGCTGGTCGCCGTGCTGCTGCTGGCCGCCGCTCACAGATGCACAACGGGTGAGAGCGGCTTCTTTTAATTTCCCCATTATTTTCCATGTCTCTTATTTTATGCTTAACGACGGGAGCGCTAATCATTGTTCACTGTTTTTATTTCCTCTAGGAATGTGGTTCTTCCAAAAAAGTAAGGAATCGCTTAAAGCAACCAAATACCCTTTTGTACAGAATTTACAAACAAGGCATTGGGGGAAATTGTAGGATGTTGCCGCAGTACGTACGTCCGAGATGAGTCACATGTTACAGTGTAAAAGTTGTTACTTGGTGACATTGTTTTAACATACGATCTGCTGTAACCCTCTCCCTGCAGCATCCATGCCATGGGAGCCAAGTTAGTACATTTAATTATAAATCTTCATACCTTTCCCTCGTAGAGGCGCCGCTTCTTCTTCTTCTGTGTTTTCTGTTAATATTACCTTCCTGTCTCCCTTCATCACAGACTTCTGGAGGAAGAACGAGAGGCCATGTGAGTTTCAGTCCGTTTTGAGTCATATCACGATGAAAGATTAACGTCTGTGTTTATATTGTTAAAAAAAATAATCAAATGAAATACAGCAACAGATGGGTCCGTATCCAATGGCACGCCTGTTCAAGAGAGGGGGCAGTCGGACGGTAAGACACTAGAAACAATACATAGGTTTACCGTACATATTTCTCCATCTGCAGTCTGTGACTCTGCACTTTGTCATGTGGCAGAGGAGACCCCGTTGTCATAGGCAACGGAGGGACGCCAGGTCACCTGTGAGGCGGAAAACACGACCACCTGCAGCGAAGAAGTACACACGCCCCCCCCTGAAAGATCATCCCTCGAAGAATGTGATCTGAAAGGAGCAGAATTTGTGCTGCTGGTTTTTGAACCGAGTGCCGAGTTGATGCCGCTGCCAAAGGGGGGAGGGGGGTCTACCTTATGTCCTTACGTAAGAAGGGAAATGAATTAAAGCAGAGGGCACAGTTGTGTTACCTGGCTTCAAACTCTAGACAATAGCAGGAAGCTCGGGGAATTTCTAACCCGACCCCCCCTCTCGTTATCATGAGCTCATCCGACTGGGGGGCGGGGGTCTGGCCTTTGAGGTCAGAAGCTCTCCTGTCCGGGTCGCGTGTTTACTAACCTGCTTCCCATTGAGTGGTGATTTTATGTGTCCTGAAGGACTGTGTGTGTTTTTGTGCAGATGTACTAGATGTGTTTTAGCCTTTGTTTCTCCTGCAGAGATGCATTCTTAGTTTTGTTTGTTGTTGTCAAATACTTTGTAGTACAACCCGGCTAAAGGTATTTGATCAAGATCAGGATCAAATCTACGGTGGCCCTGAAGTGCAAAACACAACGGCAAATAGGAACGCACAACGACATTCACTTCCTTGACTTCTTCTCACTCTTAATCAATCACTCTGTCTGGTGCTTTCTCTCTTTCTCCCTTCTCTCTATCTCTTCCTCACCACCTCACCCTTCCTCACCCCCCCCCCACCCAATTCAATAATTTCAAATTAAAAGCCCCATGGAGGGAATATTTACTGTAATGTTTGTGATGAGGCCTATCCATTAATAACTTCTTAGTTTGACTAAGAAACATTCTGTCTCCCAACCGCCCCTCACCCAATTCCATCATTTCAAAATATAATTTTCAGCAGGAAATGCATTTTCTAGTTTCGTTGTTTTCCTATTTGCCGTTGTTTTGCACTTCAGGGCCATCGTACAAATCAGCTGTTGTAATGTAATAGTTTAACAAAGCAGCGCCACGTACTGATATTTCACTGACATTTGTTACATTGCATCAAACCGTTAGCTAGTATTTATTTTGGCCTTTAATAAAATGAACGCATAAATTGTGGTTTTATATGGGATGCATTAAATATTCTTTTCCACATCAATTTACTTGTGTACTTAATGTGACTGCTGGAAACTGACTGTAGTTGAACCACTTGAGGGCAGCAAGTCGTCTCACTTCACTCTGAGCTTGTTGATCTGGAGCATAAGAAACATCTATTAATGTCAGAGTTTAGGTTTAAAAAGATTTCACTTGTACGTCAAAACATTTCCAGTGTGATTATGATATACTGGAGGAATGGTTGCTTAATAAAAGGGTGATTATGCAGACAAGGAGCTTCTCGTCTCAGCGTTCCTCTCCTTCTCTTAGAAATGTTTCATCACGTCTCCGTTCAGCTGAATAAACACTCGACTGGCCGAGCGAGAAAAGCAGATCAGAGGCCTCTTCATGCTGAGTGCAGCTGATCAAACATGTTCTTAACAAGTACGGCCGGGTGGCGGAGAGATGACTGTAAAACACAACCATGTTTAAGTATCAGGCAAAAGACTGCTGGTATTTTCATCCACCAAACTCAATTTATTTGTGAATACAAAATAAACATGTAATTAATGTCAGTGTCTTTTACAGCATTCAGACAGATTCACAAGTGCATAACGCCATTATATAAAATCAAAAATACTGAAACATAATGAATGTAAAACTACAAAATGTGGTAAAAAAATAACTACTAGTTTGTACCTAAGTTGCTGTTGCATCGGTACTACTGCATTCCTATGTTGACTCAGTCAAAGATCCCTATTAGAAACACGAGGACGTGTCTCTAGGCTTCCTGGTGACTGACTGAAGGTAACGATTCAAAGACAGAGGAAATAGAATTATCGGCAATTAGAGTTACTCTACTCGGCTGCATCTTCAGCCGACACAGCGCCGAATTATCACGTCAGATGATCAGAGTTCAGTGATGTGCATTTGGACTTATTGCCAATTAGCAATGTTTAAATCAATTGCACGTGATTTCTGTCTGCAGCTTGTTTAAATGGATCAAATAAGGAGAATTACAAATACGATGCTGAAGCTTCTACATTTCAGAGCATTACAGCAGCAACAAAATCATTTCCTCTGAAATGATGCATAAAATGGGCAGTTTGCAGCTTCACATGAACTGATCAATTTCATATTGTGATTATGAAAATGTGACGTGCAACTCGATTATCAATACCGAAAATTGAGAATTTGATTATGAAAATGATAACTGATGTGCAATTTGATTATCAATACAGAAAGAAAAAGGTGTACCGGATAAAGGTCACTAGCCCTGTGATGTCACAACAGGTGTGTGACGATAAGGTGTGAAATACATCACAAATGAATCAGCTGTGCGACTAACAGCCCTCTCTACTGGGGGGAAGGGGGGGGGGGTGCAGCAGAAGAGGCATTTCTATGGTTGTGGTTGTGCCGTCTGGTGTGTGAACTGCTCGCTGGACGTCGACGGTTAAAGCGATTCGTCGGCACAAAGCGGGCTCGAGTTAAGACATCGGTGGAGAGCAGTTTATGGGCTCGTCACTGCGCTTTGGCACCGCCGCCGTTGGAAAGGGGCTCGGCCTCGGCGGCCACCGGGCGGAGCTCAGTGGACGCCGCCGGTAGGTCGTCCCCGCCTCCTCCTCCTCTGCGCTGGTTTCTATAGTGACGGACGATGACCACCGCAGCACAGACGAAGTAGACGACGGTGAGGATGGTGTAGTAGATGAAGTACACGAGGAACTGGAAGAAAGAATTTAAAAAAAATTCAGCGTCAAATCGGACTGCAAGTCAAAATATTTAAGCAGCAAAAAATAAACACTGAAGCAGGAAAAATAGAATTGAAAATTTGTATCACTAAACATTTTTAAGCCTGTTAAGAGTCTTAGGATTCCATTTTCTACTCTTGATTTAGTAATAAGCAACAACCTGCGAGTGCACGTCCAAGGCCAGGCCCCTCCGGTCAGAGAATATCAGGTTGATGATGCTCTTCAGTATGGTCCCCAAAAAAGTGTTGATGCCGAACACCAAGGCGCACAGCTCCTTGGTGAGCGACGAGGCGATCTGGAAACTACGGAGGGACGGCACAGTGACCACCACAGAGCAGAGGGACGAGGACAACGGGTGTCCTTTCACGGCTGCTTAAATCAAAGTTTTGGGTTTTTTTTTTTACTCCGCACTCACGTGGCAATCGGCACCAGGAACTGGTAGAAGCCTCTGAAGAGCACGTAGGCCATGTAGCACACCCAGATGTTGTCCGTGGTGCCCATGAGCAGCAGCAGACCCGCCTGCAGCGCCGTGATGACGGCGATGACCAGCTCGGACCACACGTCCCACCGAATCTTCACGTAGCCGGCGGCGAAGGAAGTCAGCGCGCCTGCGGGAAGACGCACATCGATCAGAGCGCTGCAGACTCCCCGCGCGACATCGCGACTCTTTGTCGTTTAATTGTTTTGATATCGTCACTTTCCTCGATGTGGAAATAAACTATCACTGATGTAACCGCAGTCACGCCAAGGGAGTTTACTTCCGTTAGATTTTGTTTCACAAAGTTGTACTGCTTGGGTGTGACTGGAACACACTGCTGCCTTTGGACTTTGATTAAAGGGTTGTGACTTAATAAAAAGTGGCGTGACAGAAAGGAAGAGGACGTTCACCTTCTGCAGTTTGCTATAATGATGCTTAAAAAAGGGTTCTTTCATTCAGATTGATTTCTGTAATGTCAGAACTAACTAGTATTTGGTCTCATTCACCCAAACGGTGTTTTATACAAAAGCAACCGTTAATGTGCTGTATAATCCACTCCATTCCCTCCAACCATGCTGTGGTTTCTGATCTTTGCCTTAAAATCCTGTGCAAAGGATCCCGGAGGAACACGTATTTGGTCTTTCTGTGTTTGTTGCCGTTGAACACAGAGCAGTTGTACCCATAAATTACATCCAAATATCAATGCCTGATTTGCATGCTGAGACTATTCAAAGCACCCGAGACTACAACGCTGAATCCTAAACACACTACAAACTAACTACTGTAGCTCCAGAAATGTCTCACTCAGCAGGGTAGAAGCTGCCTCCACTCCCCCGTTGTAAACGTTCTTGTTCTCAGTGGCCGGATAGACTTTGTTCCACAGGATGTGAACGTAGAACAGCACCAGGTAGTACCCGGTGGAGTTGAACACCCACCACAGGGACCAGAGCCTCAGGTTGGGCCTCCTCGCCACATTTCTCACCTCCAGCAGCATCTGCACAAAAACAGAGTCCCTCCAGCGTGACGCGGAGCACGGGGAGGGGGCCGCAGAGGACGCGGCGCCCTCCTTCGGGTTCATTTTGTCCAGCTCCGACTTGGCGGCCAGCGCGGCCGCTTCCTTTTGCTCCCGGAACCGCGCCCGGTTGAAGAACAGCGAGCGCTTGGGCCACGGCAGGCACACGGAGAGCGTGAGGCCGAAGCTGACGAAGCCCAGCGACACGGCGCTGAGGGTGTAGAAGCTGACCTCGCCGAAGCTGATGAGGAGCTGGCCCAGCACCGAGCTGGTGAACACCCCCAGGAGGACGGCGGAGCGCGAGTACCCGGCCACGCGCTGGTACAAGGCCGGGCTGACCAGGGAGAAGATGTAGGAGGAGTAGGCCACGCGGCAGGCCATGGTGATGCCGTAGAAGAACTCCATGAACTGCATCTCCAGCAGGCTGGTGCACAGCAGCAGGATGATCCAGATGACCACCTGGCTGACGCCCTGGATGACGAGGACCGGCTTGTAGCGCAGCAGGTCCGTCAGCAGGAAGGCCGGCACCAGCACCGCCATGTAAGAGTAGGTCAGCACAGGCGTGATCTCATTGGTCACCTGGGAAACGACAAATCGGGTTCATTGGGTGATCGGAGCTGCGGTCTGTGTTCACAACATGTTTGTCAACTTTGATTATGAACCAATCTCGATGTCACAGCTGAGAATGAGCATAAAACAATTGTTGCAATGTTTGTACAAACTCTTAATGAAAGTTAAACTACAATCATGATTACAGCTTAATTTTTTGTGACATGCTTGTTTGGAAGCAGTGATTCAAACAAACACACAATATAATATTAATTTAGTCACGATAGTGACACTGGTATGGGAACAAACAAATAACTCATGGCTTATTTGGTTCCGTTTCTTTTTTATACTCAACATATTCTGCTCTCTGAACGCCACTTTGACAGCAAAGTAACTATTGGGATCAAATCATGATCAAAATAAGAAAATTGATCTAAAAAAGGGAAATGATTAAAATAAGAAATGAACTCAATCTACAAAATCACTTTCTTTGGCTCATCTGCCAGCTGTTCCTCACAAACCTTTTACACAGACCCACTTTGGAGGAATGTGAACTTTGACCACTGTAAGAGGGATCAGCAAACCCTCCAGGGGACATTGATTCATTCCACTGTGTTACGAGCGCTCGGCTGCATCAAGAAAAACTCCTTATAGGTTACCTTTTAGCCTGATGTAGGAGGCTGGGGTACAACTCTGCACGCGTCTCTCTTGTTTTTGGTCAATAATTGCATATGTAAGAGATGGATGCCTGAACAAACACGCACAGCCCGATGACACCACTGACCTGTTCCCTGGTCAAGTTCTTCTCAGGGCTAAGCAGATATGGTGTGATGAAGGGCTCACCGGGCTTTATCGACGCCATAAACCCGTAGAAACACAAGAATATCACGGCCCCCTTCCACTTAGTGGGCTCGGCAGCCTCCTCCGAGGGGCCTCCGGGAGGAGACGGACCCTCGGAGGCGACCATCTCCACATCTGCGTCGCCGTGTGCTCCGCCGTCCTCCGATGCCGGCGGCTTCTGGCCCGTCTCCTCCTCCTCCCCCTCTGATCGGTCCCCACTTCCTGCTGGGTCATCCGCGGGGCCACTTTGTGAGGCAGAGTGAAACTTTCCCATGTCGCGCTGTCAAATCACCGCGTGGGGATTTGTCTAGACGTGAAAGGCTTGCCGGTTCCTGATCCAGATGAGAAAACAAGGCCGATTGCTTTCAATCCGTCTCCGTGCCAGAGAGCCCTGACACGGGGAAAACCAACTTAATAGACGGGATGATGACGGTGGTTAAAAATGCCATGTGCAGGCATCCGCGTGTCGGAGAAACTATTGACCTTTGCTCCATTGTTTTGACAGCAAGCTATCCAGCAGCTGGGTCCAGGGTCATTGTTAACCTGAAAAGACAACAACGTTGGTGGTTAAGACTATTTTAACACTGCAGTGTAAAGACAGCGAGAGTCTGGCTACTTTTCTACTGTCGCAGATTAAATCACTGCTTTAAACTCAAAGTGGGCTTCAATTGTCAACAATTACAATAAATCTCAGGTTGATTTTTACAATATATTTTTTTCAGTTGAAAATACGCACAATGGCAGAAATACCCCATACAAGTTTCCTGACCCTAAACTAGTCTTCTTATTGATTGATCATACAATATTTTAAAGAAATCAAAATCATTTCCAGTAAGAAATAATGCATCTTAAGTACAAATGCTCCTATTAAATCACGCACCTGCGGAGTGAATCACATGGCCCGAGTTACGTCACGGGATATTAAGACTTAACGGTTTTAACGTAAATTAACGTTGTATGACACAAGCCCGTCGTTGAGTAACCGCTGTCAGCATGCCAGAGCCTCAATGACGGCTCGGTTAGCTGCTAACGTGCTAAAACGCTCGGGTTGTTACGTCACAACGACCCGCATACAACCACCACGCAGCGGCAACGTTAGCACACGTGTGCGACGTGATAGCGAGTCAGCTAGCCTGCTAACAGAACGTGCGAATTCAAAATAAGAATAGAAAGTGCACTCGCGCTGGTTTTATTGGCATGGGAATGACAGCATTTAAAGCGAGCAGCTGACAGCACGAGTTAACGCGCACAACGCGCCGGCCTTCTGCTACGGAAGCACCGATTCGTTATTTATCATTTTCGGGCACACGAAACCGAGTTAACGGTCGGTGCACAACTTACCTCGTGAAAGTGCTCACCAGAAGCGCTTCGCCCGCTCGCTTCCCGGCGCCCTCGTCTCTCGTCGCGTTGCCTTCTGGGAAATGTAGTTCCGCAGCTTTGTCAGCGCTTGAAAACTAATACTTTCATGTTTGTAGTTTATGAAGTCATTTGGTTAACCGCACAAATAATAATAATGTAAAAAATAACATTACGTTTTCATGTGATATCACATGCAGAACATATACAATTACATACTGTAGTGTCACCTTATTGCTATTAGTTTAAAGTTTCCGATATTGTTTTGTTTATCTGGTTCGGTCACGAATTACAGTCCCACTATTATTAGAATTAGACAAGCATCCAGGTGTTTTAAAAATATGAAATCGTCAAATTAAATGTAAATTTCAGTCATATTGGGCACTGAATATTCAAGATGGCTGTTCATGCTGCAGTGTTGCTCCCATGGTTGCATCACTTAGAGGCGTTACATAATTATGAGCAAAACAGTCTGACCATGAGGTCCACTGGTAGTATCTTCATTAGCATATGGAGTTTTGCCAGTTGTCTGTTTATTCTTGACCTCATAAACCTTGTGCCTTGATTAGGAAAAGCCCTATAAGTGTAATATTGATTGTTGTCCATTTCAGCCTATTTCAGAGTTACAACTGTTGGTCGTAGGGTAAGTCCAAAACCTAATTGGTTAGGATGACCCCGGGTAAACAAACACAGGTCCACAAGATGAAATCAGTCAGTGCAGCAAATATTGCAAAAACTTGTGTAGCATTCGCACTTTTACTGAAAAATAGTGGTAATAGTATTTACAGTTTATACAAACTTTGTAGCAGGTATAAATGAACACAAAAATATATTTCACACGAGTGAAGGCGTGTATTCCTCCTGGGCCAATAAATGCAGACCAAGATTCTTTGATTAAAAGCACTAAAAAGCGTCTCAAGAATAAAAAATACTGTTAAATTCCTCAGCAAAATGAACTGAGACTTTATCAGAGCAGAGAACGGAAATCCAAAGGGTTTCATAGTGGATGTAGACAACAGAAAAGTCAATAGATGGCAGCAGTTCACCACAATTCAAGAGTAGAGAGTTAGTCACGCTGATTAAATCATGACAAGGATCTTCTGACTTCAAATGGAAATAACAAAAAAGGGACAGTGATTGAAATACGTCTCAGAGCAGAGCTCCGTTGCCTTCTGACGTCTGAGATGTCGACCTGCTGAACCTTGACCCCGACCTTCTCTCCTGCCGGGCTTTCCTCTGAACCACCTGCATCATTTTGCTCCTGAACTTCTCTCCCACAAACGCGTAGAGGACCGGGTTGACGCAGCTGTGGAACAGCGCCAGCCCGTGGGTTGAAAACAAAGCAGTGCTCAGGGATCTCCTCAGGGCACAGCCGGGCGGGATCAAATCGGCCCTCAGGAGTGTGTCCACCATCATGGTTACGTGGTACGGCGTCCAGCACAGGAGAAACACCATCACCACGGCAATGATCACCTTCATGGCCCGGTGCTTGTGGAAACCGCGGGTGCGCAGCAGCCTGGTGATGGTGATGCTGTAGCAGATTACCATGACGACCAAAGGGAGGAAGAAGCCGAAAATGTGGCGGAAGCCGCGAGTGGCAATTCTCCAGGAGGAGGCGCTGCCGAGGTCGAAGCTCTCGCCGCAAGTCATCCTCTCTGCGGTCAGCTTGGAGACGTCGTTGAAGAGCGCGGGCAGAGCGAGGGCCCAACCGAGGGCCCACACCGTCGCACACAGGAGCCGGCGGCGCATCGCCTGGCGGGTGCGGTGACTCTCGCTGGCGCGCACGATCATCAGGTAACGATCGACGCTGATACAGGTGAGGAAGAGGATGCTGGTGTAGAAGTTAGCCTCGAAGACGAGGCTGAGGAATATGCACAAGAAGTCTCCAAAGACCCACCCCTGTATCAGATGTACAGCCGAGAATGGGATGGTTAAGGCCATCAGAAAGTCGGACATTGTCAGGTGAAACAAGTACACGTCCGATGGGGTCAGTGCCTGCTTGCTGGTGCCGATCACCCACCCCACCAACAGGTTCCCTGGTATCGCCAGTAAAAAGATGATTATGAGGAGGACGCAAAGGGCCCAAGCTTCAGCAGGCGGCAGCGGATTTAGTGGACATGGCAAGGTCTTTGGATCCAAGATGTAGAGCGTAAGATTATCGTAGCCGGTCAAATTCAGTTCCTCGTAGGTAAAGATGTACGACATGACTGTGGATGGAAAGTATATTGATACATTGTAACATGGATTTGAAAGTACAATTATGCTGCACAAATACATTTAAAAATAAGAGGAAATGGCAGCAGGAAGAGTCTTGATATTCAAATTTGAGGCTGCAAAATGTTTGTTGTGAAAAGCTTTGAAGTAACTTTTCTTAAACATTTGGGTACAATGGTAATTATTAAAACAGACCTGTAGTAGAGAATTGTACATAAGCTTATATCATCCCCGATGAGCCGCTGGTCGTACCGGAGCGATAAACCAAAACCCCTGGGTGTATCAATCCGAGCAAGGCTGTTTCCATCATTCATCAATTTCACTGCTTTGCACCAATACGATTCGGTTATTCTGTTTTTCAAAAGTTACATAATCTCCTTTTAGTTTCTTTCTAGTTTCGGCCTAAATGAATGTACTATTTCATGCGCTCACCTTTGTCTTTTTGATGTTGCTGCCCCTCCAGATTACAACGACTCAACGCCCAAAGGAGTCCGTGCAGATGATTACGACCTCTAAATGTTCTACAATAAATGTCTCTTATGACGAGTTGCCCCAGTTTCCTGTGTCCTTCCCCAATATGTTGCTGTACCGATGCAAGTTGTTGGGTAAACAGGGGCGTTTGGTAAAGCAGGTCAGGATGTGAGACTTTCTGGAAATTACACATGTTGTTCTCATTCTTGCTGTTGCAAGTGTATCAGTGTCTAAAAGTAATCAGCACCCATGTTGAGACCTCAGTGAGCATGTGGAGAAACCTGATTGTACATCAGTAATAACAGGGCACTAAACTGATAGGAATCTGTCCCTGTCACTCTTCCTCCGCCAAATCATAAAGTGCAGGTAAAGACGTCACCTCTTCCTCCCCTTTGTCTCCGTAACAACATTCTGGCGTTCAGAGCTTCGACACACTATAATCCACACGGACTTCAGAGATGTGATCATGAAGGCAACGTGACACTAAAGACCAGCATTGTTTTTCAGTCTCGGGTGACATGGAAGTCCCCCAACGAGAATGGCCTGTTCTTGGTTTCTGTATAATTTTAAAAAAGAGATAAAGGTGAACTTGGCAAAGTCCGGACTGTTCTTTGGAAGCCGACATACTGTGCCAAGTTGTGTGCATGCTTCGTGTGACAGTTTAAGGGAAATATTTGTTGGCCTCTCAAGATATTTGTCTTTGGATGTCTGAGGGTGCAAAGTAGATGAATGCATTATCGCATCAGGATTTTAAACTAAAAATATGCTGCACAAATACATTTATAAATGAGGGTAAAAGGCAGCAGGAGGAGTCACGATATTCAGATTTTAGGCTGCAAAATGTGTGTTGTGAAAAGCTCTGAAGTGAGCCAAAGTAACATGGAAGTCCCCCAAAGAGAATGGCCTGTTCTTGGTTTATGTACAATCAAAGAAAAGGTCAAGTGGAACACAACAAAGTCGTTGTGACTCGTGACCGTTCTTTGGAAGTTGTGTGTGTCCTTCGTGTGACAATCTAAGTGAAATATATGTCGGCTTGTCAAGATGCTTGTCTCTAAAGCAGTATTGGGATGATCCCTGCAAAATACAAGGCTCTAATTCCTTTTAAAAAGGCCCCGCTTTGGTTGGATTCAGTTTATGTGTGGATGCTATAGGATAACACTTTTTATGGGTTTTCTATTTGACAACGGGGTTGGCTTTGTGCCATTACTCTGCTGTCACCGCCATGATGTCGTCTCATCTGTTTGTTTTTCAATAATAATTTGGTAGAACAATGTTGAAATGCTAAAGTAAAAAGTTCAATCATTCAGAATCCTCCTTATGTAAAAGTACAAAAATGCAATCAGCTATATTAAGTAGAATGACTCATTCAGCAAGAATTCCACCGGTGACTTTTATAGTACCATTAATGTTGTTTTTAGATGGCCAATGCTCATGCATCAATCACCAATACAAGTGTCCTTTTACTGTGGCAGCTGGTGCCGGGGACACTAGTTTTAACTATCGTAAACCACAATATTCCATAAATCTGAGGTGTTGTGAGATGATTAATTGGGAAGAAAAAATGCAAGAATTGTTCTGATACACAATTTTGTATTCATTGATATACAGGATCATGTTTTGCTGTTTACAGTGTAAATTAAACCATCTGAGAAGTTTGACAGGAAATTTACACAATGCAACTTCAGTTCTTTAATTTTGGTGAACCGTCGGTGACTGAATGCCAGCTGCATTCCAACATGAATGTTTCTTCTTTATATTTGCATGTTTACAACACAGCTGTTCTTTTGTTGCATTCCCTGAACAACTTCCTTTTTTAAAAAGGAGTTATGACTGTGAAAGAACGTAACACTACTGGGTGTTATTTGGAACATATCTTGTAAATCTACTGAGGTTACATTTACATTTTCCACACATCATAATTATCCTGTCAAAGAAAAATATTCCACCCACCACGACAATTTCTTTGTCATGATGGGTGGTTGGGGTTAAAAGTATTAAATAACAGATTTTTAAATGATGCCTAATGGATGTATTCTATGTTGATTTATGTGGGTTCCATATGAACAGTTGAGTGAAATGGTAAATTTAAAACCCAGCTTACATATTCAAACACTCAAGAGACCTATGCTGCATAATTACAGTGTTATAAAGAACAGAAAAATACAGATTTGATCTTGTTATTACTCTTAAAATATGTATTAAAAATATAACACAATGAACCAAGTTACATATAGAGGGCTTTTGTTAATACAAGCTTAAAGATATAGATCATATGTTTTGATTTTGTCTGGCTGGATAGACCAGATAGACCATCTCTGTAAGGCGTGTTCTAAATAGTTAGGATTATATTATAGTTATGACATTTTTAGTCCATAATCTAGATACCTTCAATTGATTGTGGTTTATTAATTATGGATACATGTTTCGTATGAAGAATATGCATTTGTTTTTCATTAGAGCCTTTTTATATTTGGATATTTGTTAAACGCAAACCCGATCACCTGTAAATACGTTAATCCCCTTTGTCCTGTAAATCGGGCACAGATCCGTTTCTCTCCAAATAGTCTGCGAGAGGTCAACTACACCGTGGTCACGAGTTTGTTACAGGCAACATTGGGGGACCCCTCATCTGTCGGGGTCCTGAGTGTCAAATACGCGGAAGCGACTGGCGGAAGGAGCCTCGGCGGAAGCGGTCTGATCTGTCAAGGCAGGGAAAAAATAGCAGAATTTGACACAAAGAGGTTAATCCAGCAAATAGCACCCATTACCCCCCTATTGCTCGACACCGGCGCCCGCTGCGATGATCCTGTTAGAAATCAACAACCGCATCATAGAAGAGACGCTGTCGTTGAAGTTCGACGGCGCATCCAACGGGTGAGGAATCATTGTTACACCTGGCTAGCATTGCTAACGTCGGCTAGCTTCCCCTTCAGCGGTCTACCGAAGACGACGGCTGCGTTACATGGAGCGCGGTGTGTGTGTGTGTGGGGGGGGGGTCGAGACCGATGAAAACCGTTTGCAGCCGTGTTCAAGTCGACGAGTTTGTCGTTGAAAATGCTCCCAGAATGAAAAATGAATTAAATGAGGGACCCACCGCGATCGGCTTGTCCTAAACTGGGGTGTGTCTGCTCGGGCGGTGTTATGCCGCGATGTGTAAACCCGATTGGTTGTGGCACTCGTCGCAGTTATTTCCGAGTGAAGGTATCATAGCAAAGTATTTGGTATTGTTTTTCTTTCTGCTGATTACCTTCCGCATGTAAAATAAAACCATTTGCGTGGCTACATTTGATTTCATAAATGTAGCTGCTGTACCGCGATGTGGCTGATGGCAGTAACGCGTCACTCGCTGGGTATCCAAACATAAGCATCCATGTTTAACTGGACAAGCCTCTTCAAGAAGTTACTCCTTAGCCGATGGATTAAATCAGCATTTGGAATTTACATTTGCTAAGAAGTGCAGTTGTTGACACGTCGGGTCCGACAGGAGAAGCAAAACTCACTTCCGGTGTCCTTTCATTACTATTACGTCACGTTAATCACAGTACGACAACAGAGAGAAGGCGTTGGTGTTTTGAAGTCGTTGTTGCCACACAGTAAAACCCAAATGTATGTATGTAGCTCCTGTATGCCTCCCACGTCACCGCAGGACCCGCTAGCGGCTACTTGTTAGCCAACCATCGTCTCTCTCTCTCTCTCTCTCTCTCTCTCTCTCTCTCTTCCGCATTCTTGTAGTCGAGCTCAGTCAAGTCTGAGCCGCGTGCAGCTTCCATTCTATATCTTGCAAAATAGTTTAGAAGTCCTACAGAAACATTCACATTTCTTTCCGTTTAAACAATTCTCAGACTGAAATAGTGACTCTGAACTACTCTTAAAAAAAAAAAAAAAATGGATTCATTGACATTTTATTTTCTTGATTGATTGACTAATCATTGCAGGGTTTTTTAAAGGCCATAAAATAATGAAAGAAATCATACAACACCGTGAAGTCGCAAGCAGCAAATCATCACAATGCAAATCGTTGCTCCTCACCTAATTGATTCAACATGGCAGCAAATCAGTGTGTTATTTTGTTGTTGATGTGAGGGATGGTTCGGATCATATTTAACGCCGACTCAATTATATGTGACTTAACAACTCGTGGCTTCATCCGTCTTCTAATTTAATTTTCTGCCTGCAGAACCAAGCCTGAGGCCGTCGATGTGACTTTTGCAGGTGAGATTACGTGGCATGTTATCGGGAGTTTCATTTTTTCGATCTTCTTGAACGAGATCCTAATTATACAATAAACCTGTTGCACATGCTCAGCCAGTAATTGATGCTAGTTGGCACAAAGGGTCACGGCTCAAACATGAGATGAATTATCTTGTACCAGCATTTATTGAACAATCGTGGTCGCCCCGCGTTAATCGCCTGCAGGCTCTCTCATGTGTAATGCTCCTCTCTGCGGCAGATTTTGATGGCGTCCTGTACCACATCTCCAACCCCAATGGGGAAAAGACCAAAGTGATGGTCAGCATCTCCCTGAAGTTCTACAAGGAGCTGCAGGAGCATGGTGCTGACGAGGTACCACGCGCAAACGACCGAGCCACGTGACCTAAAGAAATGTGTCTGTGAGCCTGCCCAGACAGAAACGGGCCCTCACAAACGCTCAGTTATGTCCGCTTTCGAATTCTAAAATCCACATTCACCTCCGTCAGCAGCGGTTGACACAGTGTACGAGCACAAGGAGCAGAATGGGAAAACCTCAAAGTGTCTGACTTCATGCTGTTGTGTCTTTAAGGTCTTAAAAGTCTTAAAAGTCAAGTGCAAATGATTTTATCACACTGAAAATTGATTAGCGACGCAGAGGTCAACAGTTAATTATGTACATTTGATTTCGCCGGTTGTTTGAACACTGGTCGCTGTAGGAACATGCACTGCTGCAGCCAACCCCGTCACGCTGGTTTCTAACCTAAATCTAAAGCTGATCAAATATTTTAAAAAGCAGTAAGAGGTAATGATTGTTATCCACACACACACACGCGCGCACGCGCGCACACCCCTCCACCACAAGAGCTCTGTTGCCATGTAAGGAAGAAAGCAGCTGCCGAGGCCTCTGGTAGAAACAGGAAGTGAGTTTGTGTGACGCACGCCAGGCGAGGAAATGCTGACTGCGAGCGCCCTGGCCGCCGTCCAGTAACTTCCCCCATCGCTCCCTAAAACCGAGGAGCAGGGGGATAAGTGACACATTCTGTTAATCGGCCCTTGATAGAAAGACATTTTGAAAGCCTTACGCGGGGGGTGGGTGTCCTCTTGGGCCCACACATTCTCTCTCCTCCGGTTGGCGTGGTTAGCTGTGCTTTTCACAGCGAGGGTTGGAGGCCGGAGGCTTTTTTTCTCCACAGCACTTTGTCTCCATCCGGCTTCCTCCTCCTCTTGATTAGCGCGTTACCTGCCAAGTCTTCTTCATTCCAGGAGGACAGGTGTTCGTTATCAGGGAGGTCCCGTGTTGTTAAATCACAAACACCCTTCCTGTTCCTCATACACCCCCCCTCCGCCCCCTGCGTGTTATTGGTGTTGACATTTCTGCTACACTGCTTATCTTGTCAGACCACGTCAGTAGGAAGAATTTGGAACATCAAAGGGCGGCTGTACTCAACCGCCAGAGACTCGCACGTTTTGCGCCCGGTTTGGCATAAGATGCACATTTTCTTGCGTGATTTCTAAAAATCCGTTTACGTTCCTGTTCTCCTGCCTTGTTTTCTGTTGTGTGAACTAAGATCTTTCTCTTGGTGTTCACGTTATTGTAATGTCTCTCTGTATTTCTGTCTCTCAGAGAATTGAGGTGAAAATAATAAGTCATGTTTTTAAATTACAGCTTCTCAAGAGGGTCTATGGGAATTTCCTGGTTTCAACCGAGGCTGGTAAGTTAAGTTACCGATTGCTTGAGATTTATAGGCAACTGACTCTCACGCAGCCACTTTGTTCCTCATTTCTACACCCCCCCGGCCCCCCTCCTCTATCGCTATTTGTAATTATGCGGTAGTTCCCATTTTTCTTGAATGTAACAACGTAGAAGATAAAAAGCACTGGCCGACCCGTCGCCCGCTGTAGGTCTCGCGCCACGTTTCATTCGCTCACTGCTCCCACCTCTCTGGCGGCGTCCCTCTCCCCAGGCTACAACGTGTCCCTCCTCTACGACCTGGACGCGCTGCCGGCCAACAAAGACGACGTCGTCCACCAGGCGGGCATGCTCAAGAGGAACTGCTTCGCCTCGGTGTTTGAAAAGTACTTCAAGTTCCAGGAAGAGGGCAAAGAGGGCGAGCAGAGGGCCGTGGTCCACTACCGAGACGATGAGTCCATGTAAGTGCAAATCCCGGCACTCATTCAGCTGCGATGGGTAACGTGGGAAATGCTGCGATTCGTGTCGCGGCTCTTCTAAATGGGAAATGCGCCTCACAGGACGAAGCTTTTGAGCCCTCTGACGCGTGTTTCAATCGGCAGGTATCTGGAGGCCAAGAAGGACCGGGTGACCGTCGTGTTCAGCACAGTGTTCAAAGACGACGACGACGTCATCATCGGCAAGGTTTTCATGCAGGTGTGTGAGGCGAGATTGTGGATTAAATACTTCTCTAATCCAAAAAGCAAACTTTTTCAATTATGGAGCGGAGGATAAGCGTGTTGCGTGTTCTCTCCGTCCGTGTGCAGGAGTTCAAAGAGGGTCGGCGAGCGAGCCACACGGCCCCCCAGGTGCTGTTCAGCCACAGGGAGCCCCCGCTGGAGCTGAAGGACACGGACGCCGCCGTCGGGGACAACATCGGATACATCACCTTCGGTGGGTGCTTGGTCCCGCCGCCCTCCTCGCCGTCCCGCGTCTTCTGCCGCGATGCTGATGTGTTTCCACCGATTTGATGTTTGTTTCCCCCCCAGTCCTGTTTCCACGTCACACCAATGCCAACGCCAGAGACAACACCATCAACCTCATCCACACCTTCAGGGACTACCTGCACTACCACATAAAGTGCTCCAAGGTGAGTGGAGGTGCCGGGGAGTGTCCTTTCGCGGGGGAAAGAGGTCTGTACGTGCAGCTTTGTGTTTTGATGTTTGTGCGACGATGACTATCTCCTCTTCCCTGCGAAAGGCCTACATTCACACACGCATGAGGGCCAAGACGTCGGAGTTCCTCAAGGTGCTGAACCGCGCTCGGCCCGACGCCGAGAAGAAGGAGATGAAGACCATCTCGTACGTAGCCGCCGCTCGGCCTCCGACCACCTCGATTTGATTTTTGTAGATTTATAGAACTTTTCCCTTCTTTAGGGTTAATTTAGTGGGGGTTTTTAGTGTAGCACTGTGTTGTTTTTCTCCCTGTTTGTTTTTGTTGCCGTGACTGCACTTTGAAGTGAGTCAGGGAGGAATTTTTTAAACATCACCTTTTGACGATCACGTCGGCTTGACACAGAAAGATAAGACTGCCACGAAATCCTCGTTAATCGTTCTTTTGTCCTTTAAGACCGAAACCGGAGTCGTTTCACTATCGAGTTTATCAAAGAACAGTCCTTGTGTGTCTGCCAACGTGTCTTTGTTTCCTTTTTCAGTGGAAAAACGTTCTCCCGCTGAGGCCAACACCCCCCCACCCGGGAGACAACCGCGCTACACTGAGACTCGACGCCCCGCCGCCAGACAGGACTCCCCTCAATGCTCTCAACCAGCACCCAAATACATGTCCAGTCTTTCCTTTTTATGTTTTTTTTGTTGATTTTATGAATAATGTGGGCTCGAGATAAATGGAAACATGGGCATTCCCTGCTTTGCATAGTTAAAGAGAATTATTAGTCCTATATAAATATATATATGAAAACAAAATTGAAATTTTTGATACGATATCTTTTACTCCATTTGGTACTCTTGCTCGCCCCTCAACCTTCACGATGCGATATCCATCTATTGGATGATTTCAACCCCCCCCCCCCTCCCCTCTGCTTTCATGTTGTCTGTATGTCATTTGAAAGAATAAATCACTCTTAAAAGATAGTATATTTTGTCTGTTTATTTGCCTGTTCTTCTCACATTCTTGTGAAAATATATATTTGTAAATGAACCGGAAAACTCGTTGGTTTTAGTGGCTCTCAGTTTGAGGCCTTTTTTAAAGAACCCGTTGAAATAAACCATACTTAAATGAAATGGTGCTAAATGACCTTAGAGATTAAGTTTGTACTTGATGGAGGCAGATTCCTCTAGTAAGAATAGTTCCGTTCTACTTAAGTGTTCAACAGGAGTATTGATCTATGGATACATTCAAAGCATTTACACTTCTAGATCCACTTTGATGTTTTGACCATTGATGGTTCACCTTTTATCTGAATCCATATTCATAAAAAAATGAGTATGAAAAAACAAGGAAATGATTTGTGTGACTTTGTTTTTAGAATCCTTTATTTACCCACAGTAGATTTACAGGTTAGACAGCGGCAGGAGGAAAGAGTTTGACACGGGAAAGCTTTCTAGCATCGGGGCCTTTTCTTTTTATCTTCATCGTCATAGGAGGAGGGCGATGAGGTAGGAGAGGAATTGATGTTGCATATTAAGGAAAAGGTTTTTCTGCTTTAGGCGCTTTGGGGGGGCGCAGATTTGTCTGAGGAAGAGCTTTATTCCTTCACCGGAGCTGCTTCTTTCGCCTCTTCCTTCTTCTGATTAGGCACTTGGTGTTCTGGAATAAATAAGAATAAATGTGTTTAATTATATTGTACGAGTCTACAGTTCATAGAAAACACATCTTTTTTGTTAGGAGGGCTCATTACGTTGATGAATCCAGGATTAAGTGTTAAAACATGGTGTGTGATTGCATGCAGTTACAGGGGACCGTTGAGTGACACGGGCACCGGTAAGAGAAAAGGTTCGACCCTTCGGGAAACACGCTTATTTGCTCTGTGGCTCAGAAACAGATGTGAAGATCAACACCTGTCGGCATCCTTTCTTCCGAAGCAAATAAGCACGTTTCCCCCAAATTACATCTTCCAAGAGTTAATGACAGATTTCAAGTTTAACTCTACGTGTTCTGTTGCGCTTTTACCAAGCTGGCTTTGAAATCGACAGATGGGGGTCAAATTCTGATCATTTAAATATATTCTTCCCGTGTGAAAGGAGCCAATTAGGCAGCATGCCAGTCTGTCATTGACCAGGAACGTTCTTGTAGATAGAGATAAACTTTTCATCAAATCGCATCACAAACATGTAGGAGTTGTTGGGATCAAATCGTTGCTTATTCGATTGACAGGCTAAATCCTGAACTTACCGCTCTGCAGCGCATCTTCTAAAGACAACTCCACACTGTCGGGAAAAAGGAGGATAAGTATGCTAACGAGTGGGAGACAGGTACACTGTGCACCATGCACGTGTGCCATTGCTCTAAAACATGTAAAACAAGATGTGGAATGGTCGAGCTGAAGAAGTGTTGATGAGATTGTGATAACCTTTGGACAGGACCGGGCCAGCTGCCTCGCCACTGTTAACGCTCTTTGTGTTAAGCTAAGCTAACCAGCTGCAGCTTCGATGTGTCTTGTACCCAACGACATAACTTAATCTGAGCCAATGGGCCGCATCTAAAGCTCTGACGTCACACAATCGCCGCGTGGTGTCTCTGGGGCCCCGCCGTCCCTCACCTCTCGGGCTCCGCAGTGATGTCATGCATCAGGCGATGGTACTTGTTCATTTCGTCCTCCAGCTGCATCTTCACACCCAGGAGGTGGATGTTGTTTTTCATGTGGCGCTCCAGCTGGGCCCTGACATCCCTTAGCTCCGCCTCCAGGCGCAGTATTACCTGGTTGAGAGGGCTCAGGCGCTGATTGTTTTCCTCTCTGGTCTTGCTCAGGGCTTCTTCCAGTTGGTTAATCTGGAAAAAAAAGAGTTGAAAAAGTGTTTTTTAGGCTATTGGGGAGGATCTTGTGTCTAAATATCTTGTCTTTAGATAGAAAACCAAAAAGGCCAAAACCAATAGTTGTTTGGACCCCAAGCCTTTTGAAACGGTTCATAGTTTGTTTTGTTATGCGGGCAGCCAGTGACATGTTTTAAGAGTTTGCCGGTCTTAAAGTACCAGGTTTACGGGGTAATGACAAGGCAGACGGATGCTTTCAAGCTTCGTCACTCTGACTCTGATCGCACTGCAGTTGACCGTACAACTAACGCCCCTGAGTTTGGCAAAGGCTGCAGAGTCATTATTTGAAAACATGGAAAGTTCCAAAAAGGCATCTCTAAACTTCTGAATAGAGGTGTATGGTTACCTTGCTTTGAATACCCTGGATCTTAAGCTCCACTGATCTTTTCTGCGTCAACAGTTCCTTGAGCTCTGACTTTGCAGAATTCCAGTCCCCGTCATTTTTGTCCACCACCACTTTGAGGTTTTCAAACTGGAGAGGGGAAAGACTAGAATGGTGAGATGAACCGAGGTGATGGACCGAAGGGAACTATAGGTCTGTATTTAGGTAACGTACCTTGCTTTGGTACCAATCATTGTTTTCCTTCATGTTCTTCTCGGATATCTTTTCGTACTGGATGCGAATCTTGTTAACAATTTCACTGAGGTCCGAGCCCGAGGACTCAATCTCCACCTTTACCTCGGAGTTCTTGATCTTCTTGAGCAGGACCTCCACGTCCTACAAGAGTGGCAAGTTTTCGTTAGATTTCCCAAAATGCAATTTTGTGATACGTTCTTGGGGTGCATTTGTGTCAAGTCTCACATCTTTGTGTTCATTCTCGAGACGAGTGAGCTCCTCCTTCAACAGATCGATCTCCTTCTGTATCTGCGCATGGTTCACCTTGGTGTCTTCAATGGTGTCCTTCAGCGCCGCTATTTCTTTTTCTAATTCTTTCTTTGCAGTTATCTCATCGTTCAGCCTGCATACAGGGAGAGTAACCAACAAAGAGGCTCACAAACCAACGGTGAAAATAAATGAAGTTGACTAAACCACGTGTTTCACTTGTAAATTGTTTTCCAATTATTTTCCAAACATAAAAATTTGCACTCGACTCACTTTTTCTTGAAGTCTGCGTTAGCCAGTTTGCTGTTTTCGATCTGGAGCAGGAGCTTGCCGTTGTCCTTGGCGATGTCTTTCATCTACGAGGATGAATGTGTGGTATTACAAGTTGTTAACTGGAGACAATCATTTACATCTAAATACCTGCATATTATCATATTTTCTGAGAAGATTCATCCATGCAAAAATGTAAAAGACGTTTTGTACTGAGAAATGTGGTGAGGACCAACCTCCTTCTTGAGATCATTCAGGGGTTTCTCAACCTCATCCCAGTTGCGTCCATCAGCGGCTTTCCTGTTAGCCAAAATATCATCGATCTCCTTTGCCAGCTCTTCGTTCTCCCTCTCCAGCTGCCCCACCCGGCCCAGGTACCCGGACAGCCGGTCGTTCAGACGCTGCATAGTGTGCTTGTCGTCCACGGGGGCAGCGGGGGCGGCGGCGGAGGCGGGAGCGGGCGCGTGGTCGGCTTCGACGCGTGCCGCTGGAGCGACGGGCCCGGCGTTTCTCTCCGGCTCGCTGCGCAGCACATTGCGCAGCCCCTCCAGGGTCGCCACGGACGCCCTGGAGCCCCTTCCCCCGGCTCCACCGAACATGCTGGCGGCGGTGTTTGAAGGCATGACTTTCTGCTGGATGAGAGGCGGCTGAACGAAGGCACGGCGTTTTCTGACAGGAGAGTCGCGCAAGTGATGGAGACGGACGGGCGTTATACCTTTTATACCTGGCGTTTACGCAAACGATCGCCCACCCGCCCCCCTTGACGCCACCGCGCGTGGACAAACAGGTTCGCACTCAAAATTCCAGTTTTTCATGTTATTGTTTTCCACCGTACTCCTGCCCCTGTCGTGTCTCGATTGGACGCACGGTAAAACGCTGGGGAGGGGGTGGGTGGTCCCTGTCAACTTTAAAAGCAGATGATCCGGAGAGCGGCGGGTACCACTCTGCGCTCCCCCGGGTCCAACCTGAAGGTGCCATCCGTCTGCTCCAAGCCAAGCCGCAGTATGTCCAAAGCGAGAGATTTCAGCAGCCAGTCCTACTCCCCCGGCAACACGGCACCGGCCAAGAGCTCCCCGGTCGACCCGCCGAGCAAATCCAGGGAGAAGGACAACATGGTGGGACTCAACGACAAGTTCGTCAGCTTGATTAACAAGGTGTGTGGATTATATCGCCTAATTATTTGTTATGATCTGTTCAATGAAGTAAATGGTTTATTTTGCCCGTAGACTATTTATTGGCAGTAAAAAAAAAGGATATACTAAATAATTACTTTATATTATATTAATATTATAATTAATAATATTATATTATATTAATAATGACTTTAATTTATTATATTAATAATATATGAACAGAGCATTTTTTAAATTGGTTTTCAGTGGGGTATGATAAAGAATATTTTTATTAATTTCTTTGTAGTGTTAATTTGCTATTTCATTCACTCGTTTGAACCAACGGCAGATGTCACACTCAGTCCATACGAACCAAACGGCATTAAACACAAATGCACAAAATGCATTGTGACATTTGTAGAAACTCCCGTTCCAATCCGGCTGCAAGACGCCTGTTAACCTCTGTAAACAATTTTGTAACCGGAGGCCATGAAAAGTTTCTCCTTGTGCCCGCTGAACCTCGTATTCGAGGGTCACGTAGGACGCCACCTTGTGGAGGATGCTGTGACTTTCATCCTGAGGCCCGTCAGCCTCGTCATTGCTGTAACCTGGAATATGTTACTGCTCGTGCGTTGCTGCTACTTCGCACGGATGAAAAAAACAGCCGTGACACTATTTAGTTGACGGGTGACAATCCTCACGAACTCGTCTCTGTCTCAGGTGAAACACCTGGAGGATGAGAACAAAAAGCTCCTCACTAAGCGGGACATCCTCATGGACCAGGGCCACTATGAGGGAAAAGTTGACGACATCGTCAGGCATCTGAAGAACGAGAAGGAGGAGCAGATTTACAACTTGCTCCGCGACCAAGAAGCCCTTAAGTCAGAGCTGCTCGAGAACCAGGAGGAGGTGGACAACACCAAGAAGAGGTCAGTAGGTCACGGCCATGTGGTTTAGACTTGCAATATGTCCTTATTTGGCCGCAAATGTGTTAAACTCCAGCGAACTCCTATTCGATGTTTACGCTTTCTGTTGGTTTCAGGTTGGAGGAGGAGGTAGCGATTAAAGCTGACCTGGAGAATGACTTTGTCATCCACAAAAAGGTACTGTGCATTTTTTCATGCTGCATATTCATTCAACCTTTGATAAACGGTGTCTTTTCAGAATTGCAGGCACTCAACACATTGCATATCGTGAATACATAGTCGACGTCGTGGAGACGGTGTCTGCACTGTATGCGTCACATGCAGGTGTTTAATAATGTGTGTAACAGGCAGTTGATGAAGGACACTTGGATTCAGTGGACCTGGCTCTGGAGCTGGAGGACCTGATGGGGAAACTGGACTTCCTCAGGGACGGCTTTGATGAGGTAAATAAGTTGTTATTACATTACATGTCATGTTTTCTCTCTCTCTCTCTCTCTCTCTCACCATCGATGAGTGTTTGACCCAAAGGAGACGTTTAAGCAGTTGAACTCTGTGGTGCCCTGCAGGAAATCAAGGAGCTGGAGTCGCTCATCCACAATGAGAACGTGGTCCTCACCGACAACAGAAACCGGGGTCTGGACATGGACGACATCATCGCCGGGGTCGAGAATCAGTACGCCAACATGGCCATCCGCACCAGGGCCGAAGCCGAGAAGTGGAACCAGAAGAAGGTGAGGAGAAGGAAGATTCTCTCTTTGAAGTTACCAAGAAAGAAGTGTCCTAAATGTGCCGTCTCCCCTTAGATGGACACCATGGTCTTAACGGCGGGACAGCGCGAGAAGGACGTGCGTGATTTGAAAAGGGAGATCTCGGACTTGGTCCGCCTTATCCAGAGGCTCAACGGTGACCTTGAGGCCCTCCAGAGAAAGGTTGGGATCGCACAGATAAACACGCTCCCAGAGTCCGTTTGCCCGGCCGCTGATGTTGTCCGTCTCTTCTGTTAGGAACAGTCCCTGCAGATGGACGCCGACGACATGAGGAAAGAGGGAGACTCAAACCTGGAGAGGGCTCATGCTGACATTGGCCGGCTGCGGGAGGCCTTGCGGCGGGACAAGGAAGACCTGGGCCTACAGATCCGCGAGCACCAGGAGCTGATGAACCTGAAGCTGGCCCTGGACATCGAGATCGCCACCTACCGCAAGCTGCTGGAGGGCGAGGAGCAGAGGTATGTAAGGTCGCTGTTTGTTGTCACGCGTACCACCACGACCTCCATCTGCCGAACTGATCCCCGTCTCTGCTTCCTCTCCCCGCAGAATGAACTACAGGATGCGCAACGCAGGTGAGAACCGTTTAGTTACTTTTCCCGGAACTGGGGACTTTTTTACAAATTAATTAATTACATTTTTTTTTTGGATGGTTTTCTATCCTGTAAATTGATTTTGTGACCTCCTCGGTCTTCTCATCCGATCCACTTGTGTGCCAGAATTTACTGCCCGGCCACCTTTGAGTGGAAGCAGCTGTAAAATAAAATGGGAAATGTAGGAAAACTGTAACTAAGGAACGGAAAGACAATGAAGTGGAGTCCACGTGTGATTTAATTATTACAAAAACAAGCCCCGCGTCTCATTTATGCCAATCAACATATTCACATGACTAATTCCTCTATAATCACGCTAAAATCAAACCTCTCTTCTGCTCAGATTTCTAAAAACAAACAAACCAATCCCAGTGCTTACTTGCATTCAGAAGTCCACCTGCCAGAGAAGCCTCAAGCCCCAGAACCCCCCGCTGACCCGGCGGACAGCCCCCTTTTCAAGAAATTCCTGCTGATCCGGGTGAATGTGGAGAAAGGCAGAGTCGTGTCAGAAAGCTCCCATTACTCTGAAGGTTGAGCGGCAGTGTCCATCGCCCCTCTGCCTGCAGCGCCACAGCAGATCCGCAGAGAAATGTGAAACATATAATGTGAAACAAATAATGTAATAAACGTCCCTGGCATCATTATGTCTTTAAATGCATCATCGTGACTCTACCTCTCGAGCTTCTTGGCAGGTGCGGCAGTTTTCCTCAAATCAATGAAGCTTGAAATTGGAGCTGTTTGTTGATGTCAAGCTGTGTTTCAAAATAAATCTTCTCTTATCTTGCTTTATCTCTGCAAAGACTCGTGTTCCTGGTGTGTGTTTTTTCAGCTTTCTTGCAATTCAGGTCTTTGTGGAATAAATACGACGTTATCTGTCACACCGATCTAACGGTGGAAAGGTTTCAAAGTGAGGCGAACAATGAAATGAGGAACTTGTTGCTTGGCTTTCGGTTCTTACAGAGATGTGTGTTTACAAGAATCACAAGGTGGGAATCTGCATGCTGGAAATCTCTTTTCCTCCATGTGCGAATGATCACAAAGAAACCAGAGGGCATCAGAGTTTACTATTAAATACTACCATCAAATAGAATTAATAAATAAAGCGCCAGGAAGAACACGTCTGCCCTCTTATTCATGTACATAAACACACAAAGAGTCAGCCTCTTTAAGAAGGACATTATGGGAAGTCCTCGAGTGATGTAGTAATAGTCGTTACTCATATGTAAAGAATCCAGACAGACTTCATGCCCACCGCGTGTGTTTGGTTCCCCCCCACGTCTTCATTTTCCTCCTCCTCCTCCTCCTCCTCATTTTGAGTCTTACGTGAGCAATATTCCGATCTGGAAAACATGCCAGAACACGGCTCGGCCCACATACAAACGGCCCGATCCCTCCTCATGTCCCATAACAGCCGGCCCCTGTTTGCTCTTTGATTGGATTAAAGTCTCTTTTCCACCCACACACTGTACACACACTCCATGACTGTCATGCTGATAACTTACTGAATGATTATTATTAGATTAGATTTATTTTTGTGGGCCAAACAGGAAGTTGGGATCGCACCAGGTCTCTCAACTCCAAGCCAATGGGATTTTGTTCATTTTAGTTCTGGATTGTTGCAGAAAATAAGCTTGTTATTGAAACTTTTGTTTCAGCAATCCTAACAAATAAACTAAATATCTTAAGCGTAAATCGGTTTAAGGACTCATTGCTGCCAATCATGTCAGGACATTAGCATGTTACCATGTTGCTCTAATGGTGATTTTGTCTTATTTCAAACAGCACTTACTCCTTTGATTAAATCTCTCGATACGGATATTTTCCTTTGGTGAAAATGGAACGGCCACCAATCAGAAAGGGGCTTGCTAAACATTCCCCACTATTTCCTCCGACTGCCCCCTCCTCCGCCCCCTGCACCATCTGCCTCGGAGTTTCTGGAGCAGCGTGCAGGCGGGCTCCGTGTACTGCCTGTTGGCGAGGCCGAGCACCAGCGGCACCACCGCCATGCTCCCGATACCCGTGCACGAGAGCACGATGTGAGTGGTGGAGCTCCACCTGGTGTCGCTGATCAGGAACGCGATGCACACGTGCATGTAAATGAGCTGGGGCACCCAGCACGCGAGGAAGGTCATCGACACGGCCACCACGCAGCGGACGTAGCGCAGGTTCAGCCTGTGCTCGCGGTCCGAGGCCTGACCCCCCCGCTCCAGCGAGCGGTGGAGGCGACAAATGTCCTTCAGCTGGCCTCGGGTGATCCACAAGACGCGGCCGGTCATGCCAGCGATGGCCAGGATGGCGGGCAGGACGAGCCCGTACACCTCCAAGTAGATGAACGCGTTGGGGAACACTCGCCTGTACGAGCAGCACGTGGTTCTGTTCGGCAAACAGCCCGGAGGGGCCGTCGCGTTTTGGCTGCTGGCACAGCAGCCGCTCCAATCGGGCCCCGTCCAGTTATTCCACCCGAAGGCCGGTAGGGAGGCGTACAGAAGCGGTGGCGCCCACACCGCGAGCATCGCCAGGGGGAAGCTGCGGTGCATCCACAGGTTGCTGTAACGCAAGGGGTCGACGATGCAAATGTAGCGCTCGTAGTGCACCATCACCAGGTTGAAAAGGAAGGCCAGGAAGAGGAAGTTTGGGAAAAAGTGAGCCACCAGGCAGGAGCCCGAGCTCAACTCGCGGTTCAGACCCATCAGGGGTATGAAAGGCAGCGCCACGCCGGTGCACAGATCCGCCACCAAGAGGCTGAGGAAGAGGTAGTTGGGCGTGTTGTGGAGCTGGCGGTTCCAGGCTATGCCCAGGATGATGACGAGGTTGGCCAAGATGATGGAGGTCGACAGCGGCACGGTGATGGCATAGATGAGCTGCTCCCCGGAGAGCAGAGCGTGGGAGTCGTTGCCGTCCATGGCGTGCGAAACCCGCGCTCGGGTCAAGGCACGGTTCCCCTGTAGGAGGGGGGGGGGGGGGGGCGACAGGCGTGAAATGTCAACATCTGGAGAACCTTTCAGAGGAAATGCCATTGAGTAAAGATGGAAAATGGGATTAGATCTCGGGAAAAGTATGTTCTGTTCAGGCGGGAACCTCTTGAAGAAAGGTAAACATCTTGTTGGGGATCAAACAAAGCGCCCTTTCAAACTCTAATGATTGAGAGAGAACCCTTCTTCATTGAGCATGTTTGTGCTTATATTCCTTAAAATATGTTGTGGAACAAATGTAACTTTTTTTCAATTGACGGCTGAGATTACAGAAGAAGAAGAAGGAGAAGAAACCGGCTGTTACACTCCGCTTGGCATCTGTTCCTCCTGGAGATCATTTAACATGTTTGACCTTCAGAAACAAGTCGGTTTCAGGTCCTTGGTATTCTCACATTTTACAATAAACCATCATTCATAAGCCCTTTTATGAAGATCTAGTATTGTTTTCAACTGTGCTGCAGCTGCTCATGTGCAATATAGCAAATATTATACAGAACTACGATGTTACAAATTAGCAAAATGTCAGTATTTTGAGTGTCCACTAACATACAAAAAAGGAAATGTTATGGTATCAAAGTCCTGTGCCACTCTCAATAGCCCAAAAAGGCTCTATAGAAGGTGAACAAATTGGGTTTACTTTCATCGCTGCTTTGATTCTATTTGAATAAACCCCGCCCATTTTCTCTAACAAATAAAACAGTCCTTCTCAATAAAACATTAAAAAGATTTAAACCAGTAGCAATTGTGCTATTTAAATTGAATCACCAGAAATATATAAAGATAAGTTACCAAGAACCAGGTAGGATAACTAAAATAAAAACCTACAAGAGCTTTCACCTCTTTTCTGGGGATGAGCAGTCCAGTATTCTTTGGCAAAGTGAAGCCGCTTCGTATCCCGATGACCTCCACTCGGTTCCCTGTGCATCGCACACAGACGCCGGTTCCCACACACACAGACACACACACACCACAGTAGCTTCTTCTTCTTCTTTGTTTAAGAATCCTTCCAGTCAAGTCACCACAGCAGCCTCAGTGCAAACTGCAGGGAGACTCAGCAGCCCGCAGACTCTCAGAGGCTTTAAAGGGGAAGTGCACACTGCTGCGTGGTGGTCTCACTGTTGACGGGGCAGTAGTGTCCTTTAACCCCTTCACCCTCGCCCCCCCTCCACCACCCACTGCCGGGACTGCTGTCCACGCCCATGACTGGAAGGAGGATGGGGAGGCCTGGAGAACGATGAGGACATTCCTGGGTAACGTCAGCAGGTTTCACACCCTCCACAGGGGCCCCCAGACGGGTCTGAGGTTCGTGGTCTTCAAGGGAAACCGGGTTTGTGTCCTTCTGATGCATATTTTCTCAATCCTCCAAAAGGTTTACAACGTTTAAGCTGTCCCAGCGGGGTAATAATTTTGTTTATCGGGATATTTGGAAGCTGTACAAACATGTCTTTCTTTAGACTTGTGGAAAAGGGCCCAAAGGAGGAATAAATAAACACACACATGTACAAATTATATATTTGTACATGAAATTATAATTGTGTTTCATATGATATACTTTGAATTCATCACATTTGTTGATTTATATCGGCTTTTGTTTAGCAAAGCTGGAGGAGCCAGGCGGTAGCTTAGCCCAAAGACTCAAGGAAGCAAGTCACAGCTCAAAAATACATCTCCTAAAATGCCAGATTCAAACAATTTGTCTTATTTGTTCGATTTATATACTAACTAATAACAGAAATCAACAAAGCAACAATGTGTGGATTTCGAGGAACTTTGCTAACGTTGACTCTCTGCTATAAAAACAATAATTGATCACGTGTATCTGTTCATGTCGTAATTAGATTCGCCTGCAAAACCGCAACGACCGACTTTTATTCAACGAAAGCCCAACACTCGTTCAGCTTATTCCAAGTTCAGCGGGTTCAAGCAGAGGCCCAGATGTTTTCGCTCCCGTTTATTTGTCCCTTTGCTGACCTAAACGCACACATGCAACAGAGCGCGCAATCCATAACAACTGTCACGCGCACGGACGGACGGGGGGAGCGCGCAGGACTCCTCCGCCGGGGGGAAGAGATGGACGAGCCTCCGATAACGGCTTTAAACAAACGCGTTCCGGAGAAGTAGAAGACACTGCGCAGGAAGGACAAGCTGGACACGAAGCCACAACATCTCCTCCACGTCTCCGCATCGCGCAGCAGGAAGACGGAGCGTCTCCGCTCCGCGGGATCTAATCTGCGCGTTCCGTCCACAGCGGAAACATCCAGCGCGATGTGAGTAATCGAAGGTCCTCGAGACCTTTTGGCCGGCGGAGCAGATGTGAGCTTCTAAACGGGCTCAAAGTGAAGCCCGCGTTAATAATATTTGGAACGAGTAATCTAATCTCCGGATGCCTTTTTTTTCTTCCCCAGTGCGCTTTTACAAAGGAGATTTGAATGAGTGCTCCTCCCGCCGACATGTTTGCCTTTGTCCCCACGCGTATTGTTCGCCGTCTGTTTATTCTCTCGACAGTGAATAACCCCCCTCGCCTTTTGTCTGACCTCCGAGGCCAAACACGCCGCTCTGACGGATGAGGAAACGATCCCGCGGTCAGTGAACGCCGCACTCAACAGGTGTTATTCTCCCCATCGCGTCACGCAGAAGCGCGCGCATTTCGTGCACGCCGCCGGCCTCCGACCACGTGGTCGAGAGGCGCACAGGCAAAGCAGGTCCGCGCGCGTGTATGTGCCGGCCTGTCTGTCTGAGTTATGCGCGCGCACATCCACAGCCGGACGCGCGCAATGGGTCCAGGGCGCAGGTGGAAGGAAGAAGCACTTGTGCGCAGGATACAGAGTGACGGTTGTTTACAGCTAGAAAAACAACAGGACAATAGAGCTGAAAGGAGCAGAGCCCGTTTGGGCCTTTGACAAGATGTTTGAGTGGGAGACGGAGCTGCTGTCTGGCTGCACAACCGACTGTGCACCCAGTGAACCACAGACATCAATCACTGAGAACATCACTCAACACTCAAATGTACGTGCGGTAAAAATGACAATGATCAATAACCACCGTGATACACGTACATATATGCATTTAATTCCACTTTGCTTCTGCGATCCTGTGAATTTCCCCATTGTGGGACTAATAAAGGAATATCTCATCTTATCTTAGCAGAGACGCTATTTTCCTTTGTGTGACGTGGAGACTCACCCCCGAATTACACGTGCATTAATACGAGGGATGGATTCCCACGGAGCGAATAACCGCCAGGGTCAGAGCAGAGTGAATCTTCCTGAGCGTAAAACAAACACGATGTATATTTGTAGCCGCGGTGGGAGGACAGGAAGATAAATCTGCCCATAACAGGGGTGACGGCTTTATGAAGCTCCTGATAGTATTTGCGTGGCGTTGGAGGCACAGCGGGCTGAATATAACCCTCCCCATTAAATGATTAGAATCTTGATGTATTTTTAAAGGGAGTGTTACACATTCAGGCTTTACTAAACCACCGTGCGTCTCTATGAAATGTGCTTCCGCTTTCAATATTATACCCTGATTTGTATCTCGGCCGTAGTTTCGGGAAAACTCCAGGGAGAGTCCTGCTCAACGCCTCCCTGAGTTCAAGTTGAAACAAACCCCACAGCCTAAACAAGTTACTGAAACGTCCTCAAGTTCCAATGAATGTGTGCATCACCTCATAGGAGACCATCCTCTCAGGAGGTGATTGATGAGCCATTCGCCAACAAACGTTCAGTCACCCCGATGAAAGTAGATGATTTATTGTGTTGTATTTACACTTGAGTTTACATCAAAAAACTCGGCGAGATCATTTCAGAACGACGTGCCTGAGAAGTGACGCATATTCCCCATTAGTGAGTAAACCAGGACGAAAAACGTCACGGAACAACTTATAACTAGAACCAAAAATGGATCCTCTTTTCTGTCTGTGTTTTATCTTTAAAAACATTTCGCAGAGAACATTAGAAGAGATGTTGAAGGCAGCGGTTCAACTTCTTAAGGAGGTTCAGAGAAGCAGCTTCGGTTTCTTCAGGTGTGCTTCGATTATCTGGAATAAATGATCTTTTGGATGCTACAATCCCACCAAAGTAGGACAGCACGCATTTTTAAAATCCCCACGAGAGGGGGAGCATAGTCTCGCGTGTCGGAGGACAAAGAGTCTGATCATGAAATGACTGCCACGTCTCCTCCGCCCTTCGTCTTCCCGCTCCCTTTACCGATCGGGTCTTTGGAGGCAGAAGACCTTCGCCTTGTTGTCTCCGGACGCGGTGACGGCGAGGGACGCTTCCCTGAAGGAGAGATCATTTAAGACGAATAAACATTAGCGATGGAAGAAACAAACGAGAAAATATAAAAAACCACAATCACACCCAAAAGACATCCTGGAGCCGCGACAGAGACAAAGTCTCTGGTGTAGAAACACGTTCGTACCGGTTGACGGTGAAGTTGAGGATCTCGGCGGCGTGGCCGCAGTACTCGGACACTATGCCGCCAGACCGAGCGTCCCATAGGCGCAGCACTCCGTCTAAGCAGCAAGTGGCCACCACAGAAGAAGACTCTTCCCATTGCAGGTTAACGATGCCGGCCTGGAGGAACGCAGAGTGCAACATTAAAGGACCCCTCGTATGCCCATTTTACCACAGGTTGATATGGTTCCTTGGGGTCTTCATGAAATGTCTGTAACGTACTTTGGTCAAAGTACCACGAGGATCATTTAAAACAGCACCCTTTTGACCCGGTCTAAAACAGCCCTCCACAGGGTGACCGTGTTTTGAGTGCCTGTTCCTTTAAATGCTAATGAGCCAGCTTATGGTACCTCGTGGGCGCACGTGTTCCTCAGGACCTGAGTGGCGAGGTCGTATATGGCCAGAGTCCCGTCCAGGTACGCCACGGCGACGAGAGGCAAGCTGGAAATGACGAGAGCGACGAAACGGCAAAGAAACTGCAGCTCAGCTTTAAAGGCAACTACAGAATTTACTGCAGATAGTAAAACACATATTCGTTTTAAAAACACACTTATTGCGTATGAATTGGAAGCAGCCGGATTCAACTGATGCGACTACATGGAGAGCTCTCTGCAGTTTACTACTTTCAAAAGTCATCACCTCCCAACTCACATGTTGCAGAATCCCACAGATTCAACAGAGTTGGATTCTTCCGGATCGTTGGAGCCTTTGGCTTTGCCTCCATCCACAGAGAACGCTCCGACCACCTTTGCACACAAACACAGAGCTCAGAGGCTGACAGATGACTATAGCAATAGAACAATGTTCCCGTTCTTTATGGCCGCATGGACCCTTTTCGGACACCCACTTTGCCAGTGGCGGTATTGATGAGTTTGGCCAAACCGTCCACTGAGCCCGTCAGCACCAGAGAGCCGTCTTTGTTACACGCCAGGCAGGTCAGCGCCCCCCTGTGTGCGTCCTGACCTGCTCAACGAGACAAAACCAAAGCATTTCAGTAACAGGAATCAGAGTTTTCTGGGTCAGGATTGTTTCACAAAGATTCCTGCTGAGAAAAAACACAGAAGAAGCTCCGAGTTGTCTGTATTGTGGATGGCAAAATTGTTTTTGAATCAGGGTTGATAAAAAAAAGACAAAGAGTCTTTTATAACCAGTTAACACGCTTTATTTTCTGCTGCTCCTCTCTTTATAGGGGTTTAATGATGTTTTACTTATGTTTACTATTCAGCACCTCTATCTAAATAAATGCCTTGCCCATTGGGGTTGGAGCAGCACATTCACATGAAAAGTTCTCCAGAGAATCACATCCTTCTTGTAAAACGCTTTCATGATAATGAGACCATAAGAATGTGTCTCATTGTGTGTACTGAATGGATTTATGAAGGCTGACTCTCATCTCCTTAACAAAAAAACATCCGGACAAAGCTACATTTTGAGCTCACCTTTAACCACGTGGGCGGCGTTTCCCTGCTTCAAATCCCAGATACGTACCGTTCCATCGTCATAACCCACCACAGCCCGTTTACCTGGGGAAACATGTTCACAACTCAGTATTTCACACCAGGCCCGTTCAAGCTCATTTGGGTGAGTGAACGTCTCTCACCATCGGGGAGGACCTTGCCGCTGGTGGCCTGAGACGCAGAACACTGGAAGGTTTTGCAGTCTCCTGAAGGGATCTTCCACATCCACACATTGCCATCGTCTGTGCCCGCCAGCAGCACCGCAGCGCAGGGGTGCCACTCCATCCACTGGGGAGGAAGTGGATTTTTGGAAAAATAAAAGATTTTTTTTTTTTTTTTTTTGGACAAACAGACACACGTTCTTGCAGATGCAGAAGCCTGTTTGTGGATTACACGCTTTTGCCGTTACCTCCAGATCCCCCACTTCGAAGGACCACATCTCCTCTTTGGTTTCTACTTTCCAGACTTTGATCAAGCCGCTCATGTCACCGCAGGCCACCATGGAGGAGTCGTGGCTGAACGCGGCGCACGTCACAGAGTCCTTGTGACCTGTGGAAAGAAAAGGGAAAACTATTGCTTTTGTCCATGCGGCTTGCAGCTTTTATCTTGTCATTATGTGACTGCAGGTGTAAACAAAAGGATTTAAAGTTACACGCGGCCTCCAGTCTGCGTCCGACACTCACCGGTGCACTCCAGCAGAACCTCTCCGTCGCTCAGCCTCCAAACGTAGGCCTTGTCGTCCTCCCCTCCGGTTACCACCATGCTGTTTGTCACGGGATCCAAACTCACACAAAACACCGAGCCTGGCCAAAGAAAGACGGCTTGATGAGTTCGACGGACCGGATCTGCCTGCTATTGCGGAGCGTGGAATCCAGGCAAGGGGTTACCAGTGTGTTTGGAGAAGGTGAGCTCGCTGTCATCTTGGTCCTCTTCCATCTCGTCCTCGGTTTCCCAGCCTTCGTCATCGTGTCCGTGTCCGCCGTCTTCAAAGTCAACATCCTCCAAGTCATCAGCCAAGTCGTCTTGGTGAGAGAGAAAGACCAAATTACCATTGGGAACAAGATCCACCTTTGTTGAAATTCGCTGGTTGCTGTAGCACATTAATACACATCAGTATAGAAACAGGGTAAATAAGAAAGGGAGTAACTAAAATAGCGAATACATACAAATCAAGAGCATTTAGAGATAAATAAGGAAAATTGAGTTGTGCAGATAACAGTAATGTAACAAATAACATTAAACAGAATGTGATTCCCTCGAATGAAAAAAAAACCGCCAATCCTGAGCTACTCTTGGTTAATATTTTAAGATAACATAACAATGAACGTTACCTATCCCGACAAATGAGTGGCAAAAGCAAAATATATTGCCAACAGTGACCCGCAGTAGTGTCTTAAAAAGTTATCAACCAACCGGGATCAGGCTCCATCTCGTTTAGTTCGATGACTTCAATAATTTCTTCGTCTCCGTGGAGATCAATAGAATTTTGCTGCGTGTTGTCCATGCTGTTAGCGGACTGGAAGCTAGCAAAACAACCGAAAAGTAGTACAGCCACGCGGGTAAAGCTAACGTTAGCTAAGCTGAGCCTGGCTTTTAGCTAACCACTAACAAAAGCTTACACTGTCGCCCAAAAACGTCACAGTCAAGGTTGTGTAAAGATAAATATTACAGTTGTTAAATGTCAATTGAACGGTCTCCCCATGTTATGCTCACACGCTGCGACCTGATAGAGAGACGCGTAATGATGACGTATGGACGGAGTCATAACAACTTTAGCCACGTGACCACCAGAGAGCAGTGCTGTGCAAAATGATAATAGGTTTCAGAAAATACTGTTAACGTACAGTATTAGAGAATGTTTACTAAGATGTTTCGATTCCTTGTTGTGTAATTTAGCCTCATTCATGTTCATCATTATTACTAAACTAATCTGTTTTACACGTTTCTTATGGGAACATTTCATTAAACCATGATATTACAAATCAACTGCCGCTAAACTTCTAAAGCTTCTAAAACGTACTTTTTAGAAACTGTGTTTTTTCATTTTTAATGTACACTTTTAAACAGATATTGACTTGGATTTACACAAAGAGAGACACAGATGTATTCTATTACTTTTACATTAAAAAAATGTATCATGATCAGCATGATCAGCAAAATATAGGTCTAACATAGTTCCTTTTTTTGTGCTGAGTATTTCAATAGAAACCACCATAGGAAGCAAAAGTACATTCATAAGCAATTCTTGGCCAAATACTTAAAATATCCCCATGATGTGTTCCTCATGGGATGAAATGTCCCTCTCAGTCAGAACCCTGTGTGATTATCACTCAGTGGGGAACGGACACTTACAGCTGCCAACACAAAACTGTAACTTACATTTTACGTCATTTTTATTAGGATATTAGCGGAGCCAAGGTTGAGCATTGCATTGTGGGGTTTTTAACTTAAATAACGTTCTGAAAAAATAGAAAAAAATTGATGTAGCATCGTTAATTAATGCAAGAACCTTACACAAAAAAATCAGGGTTAGTTTTCTTGATGGGGAACCTTAGATTGAAGAATGATCACCTCAGTGCAATCAAAGCAGTAGAGAGCCAACCTTTTAATTCTCTCTGTTTCCACCAGCAACAAACCCGACCTCTGACCTCCCTCCGCAAGGGGAACGAGTAGACAAACACCTCTTTCTGAGCTGGCGTTTGGAGGTATATGCGAGCCTGAAGTAAACCACAGGACTAACATTGGTGGCTCCATTTAAAAAAAAAAAAAAACAAGCTGCCCTGTCTTCCTTAATCGCTCCATCAAAGTTCCCTTGCCCATGATATTTTATGAACACTTTACACAGTTTGTCTTACGAATGTTTTGGGGATCTTATGTCTCCAGCTCTATGCTGCTGGCAGAGCCCGGCCTGCATAGCCTAATAACTTTTACTGGCTGCCCCGGGCCTCCTTTTTGAGCCGTCCCTGGAAAAATACAACCGTCTCATGGTGTGGCGAGATGTGGAAGCATCAGAGTGTACATTATTTAGAGTGCGTGAGAGATTTATAAACTCCGGGCACGGTTATGAGGAACGCTGGAAAGTTAGACGACACGTTGCAGCCGCTTTGTTTGGACATTTTTGACGTTTCTTCATCTCTTAAAGCGACAGTTTGTCGCTATATTTTTTCTGGTCTTCACTGAGCAGCTGTTCACCTAAATTGAACGCCTGTAAGGTTGTTGGATTAATTTGGGAATATCGTTTACGTTTTGGGATTTTGAGGAATGATGCAAACCTGAGCTGAACAAAAACAGATTAAAAAAAAAAGAAAAAATAGAGCGGCGTCACTGTTTTTTCCATTAAAAAGCAGTTACACCACCGTGAGACACTCAAAGTCTTTTCGGGTTTTAGCAGATTTGAGGGTTCATAAATAAAATCCAGAAAAGTCAGAGCGGTTGCTTCAACGAAAGATTACACGACTGGATAAAGTTGGGATGATGCTTGGCAGGAGACAGAGGAGGAACAGGAAATAGCATGCAATAGAGATCATGAGCTGGTAGGACCTCAGAAAACATGTGATTTAGTCACTGAATCTTTTCCTTGGTTTCAGCATCTCTTGTGAGGTTTTGGTGAGCTGATTATAATTCAGCATTTGAGGGTTTTAATGCGGCAGAACAGCAGCAAATAAGTGAAGTGTATGAATCCAACACCTCTGCTCAAACTTTCAAAAGGTGAGATAATTATGTCTTCTCCCTTTCCACTTCACAGTCTGTCGAATTACCCTATTTCTTTTACGCTGCGCACTGGGAGGGCTCCTCTGTGGCGTCGTCAGGACAGCAGGGACCAGGAGAGACCAGGCGAGACCAGGAGAGACCAGGAGAGACCCCATCATGAAAACATTTCTGGGTTTATCACTCTGGCAAGATGGGTTTTGTCTGAAAAACAGGGCACTCTGTTACTTTATAGGCACACACACACACACACACACACACAGTCAGCCTGACCATGGAGGCAAATTCAGCTCCTTTGTGTGTGTGTGTAAAACGTGCGAACACACACACAGATGGAAGTACACACAAGCAGTGTCAGTAATAAGGCCCGGGAGCTGTTGCTGTGTGAGAGGTAATTACTCCATGCGGCTCAGCGAGGCTTTGATGGAAAGTTTTTACGCCAACTGGCTCGACTCTATTGCTTTTTTCTGGAATACAAGACAAGCCCAAGAACAAAAAGAAAAGCGGAAATCAAGATCAAACCATAACGGAGTAATTTAGGGACACGCAAGAAAAAAATAACACGGAAGATAGGCACATTCCTTTAAATGACAATACAATAAAGCGAAATTAGCGTTTTTTTTTTTGAAGAAAATATGGAGAAGATCATATTATTAGTCGAAGCGAATGATGAAAACCGAGCAAAGGCGACGGCGCGGTGTGCGGCTCGTACTTTTTGTTTTTTTATGTATATTTTTTTTGGTGCGGTTTATTTTAGGCCTGCTAGCTCTGTGCACCACTTCACAAGCAGATTTACCTTCCTTTCCCTATTTGATGTCCTACATGTAAACAGGAGCATTATGACGATATCTATGTTATGTTTGTTTTAATATGCAGGGGTCTGCCAACATACAGGGTTTGGCCCTAAGGAGCTTAAGCACAACATCAGAGATGCCTTCAAGACCCACCGCCTTACGTAACTGATGCTCCGCATCGCATCCACAGAACTGATCAACCTCTGTTGCTATGGATACGGCTGTCCCAACCGGCCTCCCCTGTACTCAAAACAGAGAGGAGGGACTTTGATTAATAAATACATGCACAGAGCTGGGACGAGCTAAAAATAATAAGAATTGTTGCAGGCATGTTTATTTGTTTCGTGTCTCTTAACGACAGGCAGTTTACATTGGGCAACAGTAATGGAAGCACAAGGCTTTAAATATGATTAAACAGGAAGAGAAAACACTCGACTGTGTAGGTTGTTAAAATTCTAATAAGTGTGCGATTAATGGTGAAAATAGTTGGACAAAACCGATCAAAATATTAACAGTTAATCTACATAATTGTAACAATTTCTTTTTTTGATATAAGAAATACAGGTAAAGCAGTTAAAATGAACACAATTGCAACATGAAGGGTGGTGTTGACTGCTTAAGCTTGTCTGCGGAGATAGGTCAGGCAAAAAAGCGTAACAGATTGTAAACAGTTTACGAACATAAAATGAAAACTACAAGGATATTAAAACTGCACTTGACCTTTGACCTCACGGGGGATGAGGAGTTTGAAAGTATGATGTTAATAATTTACCTTTGCTCTCTCGGCTTTGAGGATGATTAAATGAAGTTCATTCCTTTGGCGGGTCGGCTCAGTCCATTCAGGACCACAATCTGATCCAAAATGTGTGAATTCATGAGCGGAACCAGTGAGAGACGTACCCTAGAAGCTGGTTAGCACATTACAATAATCAAGGCAGCCGAACCAGGCGGTGTTTTTGTGCCTGTGGGTGGCTGCTGAGATGCAAAATCAAATATAAAGTAATGGAAATAAAGGCCCATTGCATTAGAGGAAGCGGTGGCGAAGGCGTTTTATCTCGCATCGAGCAAGAATTGGATAAAAACGTTTGTTTTATTTTGGCGCGACTAGTTGTTGAAAGTGTTGATCATGGTGGAAAGGAAGCTTCGGTATGTTGCAAAAACATTCTATTCATTAAAAGTGGTAATAACACTATATAGCATCTATGAATGAATTTGATTTGCTAAAACTTTCCCTTCAATATTGATTTTGATGAATCTATAATCTATAATATACAGTTTTTTTCAGACCAAATCTATTCATGCAGCGTAATGATGACACAGATAAACCTATAGGTTGTTACAACATTTGCGCAACAGGAAGCACCAGACTCACTATTTTTATGATACAGCATACTAACGATATAATGCTCACGATGGCATTATTAGGTTGCTATAAAGTAAACTTTATAACTAAACAATGTGTGTAACTGATGTTGGACGTTTTTATGGATAAAAAGACTATATGTTGCTTGCAAGTTATAATAAAGTCGCCCAAATACCAATATGAATATTATAGTAGTATTCATACTTTATTCTATCGAAAAAAAACATGATTAGATCTATTTTTTCGGACACAAGACAAATTGTGGATTCTTATTATGGTCAATAAATACCGTTTATTTGTTCTATTCTGTATATACGTCATATACGTATTAAAGCATGCTGCAGGCGATGTAACGCACCGTAAAGTTACTAAAAACCAACAACGACTGCGTCCCGCCGCCACGGGGACGTTTGACAAAACGCGAACACGCCCCGCGGCTTTTACTTCCCCGAGCAGCGACCATTGCAGCGCATAACAGCGCTCTGTCCTCGCGCACAACCGCCCCGCGCGGAGCAGGCGGCGCCCCACGTGACCCGCGATCCAGTATGGCGGAATCTGTCAGGAGATGAATTTTCTCGTGCGCGCCCCCCCCCTCCTCCTCCTCCTCCTCCTCCACCACCACCACCACCACCACCACCCCTCCCTAGCTCTCCCCCACCCTGCGCCGAGAGGGAGAGAAAGAGGGAGCGCGAGAGGAAGCCCAGAGAACAACATGGGAGAGGAATAAAAACAGGAAAAGAAAAGCCCTGCGGGACAGATGTGGGGACGCGGGTCTTCGTCGGCGAGCCGCGGGTGAGTCCTCGCGTCCTCGCGGGGGAGAAACGTGGCGCCGCGGCGCTTTGATGCGGGTGTTTCGGGGATGCGACGCGCGGAAAACCTCC